TATAACGGTTATTATAAAACTTTTGGAGACGAGAGAAGCGGGCGGCTGGAAATAGCGTCGCCGCCACGGAGGCCCACGTTTTATGCCTCGGAATATCACAGTGTCGTCGTCCAAAATCGCAGCCGGTGGTCGAGAAAACGATTTCGAAAGGAAAATCTGGGGAAAATTTCAATAGAGAAAGGATTGATAAAAAATTGTCCTAGAACTTCTTTTGAAAGTAAAGCCTTTGATCGAAGGGGCCAAAAAATAGTTCAAATAGATGTTCAATATAGAGAAAAGATTTTTGTAAGAAAATGTAGGGAAACTTTCAAGAAAAAGAAGAAGCTTCGAAAATAAAAATCAAGTAAAGTGAATGAACTAGGAAATAAATGATGAAAGCTGAAGGAAAAAAACCTCTCTAGTTTTTTTAAATGAGTAATATTTCTTTAAAAAAGAACCGGTATAAAAAAAGTGGTCAACGACGAGTAAAAAAATTCGTTAAAACGGGACTATGACTTCTTGCAATTGGAAAAATTCACAAAGAAGAAAAAAATTTGAAAAATCCTTCAAAGTAGATCAAGGCTTCGAATATCGGGAAGAAACGTGTAGTTTTCTCTCCGTCAGAACTTTTCAAACTCAGAGAAAAAGCCATCAGAAAAAATAGTGAACATGGAGTTAAAATTACGTTATAATATAAAAACTTCTGGTCTTTCCGACTCTGCTTGATCATGAACGGCTTCCAATCTCAGAAAAAAAAAACACGTTAGCTTTATCTGGATCAAATTTTCGAGTGAAGCTATCAACAAAGCGTGGTAAAATGAAAGACAATGATTTCTAGAGACCGAAAGATCCGAAAAAGGAATTATTCACGAGACTTCATAGTCGATGAATGGGTTCAAATATCGGGTATGAAAGTTGTAGTTTTCTTCCCACAAATGCAATATTAAGAAAAGCTGAAGCAAAATTCGAGAATACTTTTCTGGAATCTCACGATTCAGAAGTACATCGTGGAAGAGTTTCTCCGGAGGTCCAAAGCCACAGAAAACCCAGTAACAAGAGCATCTTTCTGAACCCGAAATTCGAGACAAAGCCATCAAAAAAGTTGTCAAAGCGGAGTGAAAGGAAGAACACGGCGATGGTCGTCGTCGCCGTGGTTGTCGTACACGCGAAAGGCTTAGCCTCTGCCGCCGCGGCAGTCGCCTCGTGCTTAGATCTTATCGCGACGTCGCCGTTCGCCTCCGTTTGGGCCAAAAATCCAATTTTTCCTCCTACTCACTTTCTTTCTCTTGACATCCGAGATTTGACATGGAGACGGTTTTTTTTTGTCTCAAATAGTTCTCTTCTCTCATAAGTTCAACTGGTCACTATAGAAAAACGCTTGAAAACCATACTCAAGGTCAAATTATCGATAGAGCACACCTATGGAAGGTTACGCAGCTATTTCTTCACTGAACGATATGAATCAGCTCAGATCCAATATTTCTAATGAGAGCGTACTACTCCAAAATCTTGGCGGCTGTTTATTCACATTTTTTTATTCATGAAATGAATATTGGTCAGGTTTAAAAAAGCCTCGGAAATTGAAACTTATCCGCGCCATCGATAATTTCAACAAATAGGTGATCTTTTCAAGCTTCTGAAGGCGTTTTTCAGATGCATTGAGGTAGTTACTTTTTTTGTAGCTCTGAAGAACGAAATAAATTTTAGAACTTTATGATTTCAAATAGTTTTTTTGAAATTTTTTTCAAAAATGTTTCCGTATTTTTGAGCTAGAGCTTGAGCTCTCTCTATCAAAATTAGAAAATTCGTAACGATTTCCATCAAAACCAGGAGGAGAAGAGCAAGAAAAACATGGGGGGAGTCGGCCAAAGTGATTGATGGAAATGATGGAATAAACGATGATGATCGGCCGAGTGCGAAATTGCTTCAGGCGTCCACGCTCGCCAGTTGTGACAGGCGTTATAATATAACATTGGAAAAAAGATGATACTACTTTTTGGATCGGAAAAAAACTAGACGGAAGTGTGCATGAAGTAAGAAAAAGATTGAAATTCAGTCCAAATTTCAGAAAATAAGCCAAAATTTAGCTTCACTTCGAAGTCTACAAAAATTCTTTCTAGGAGAATTGTTCAGCTGTGAAACAGTTGAGCCTTTTCGAGTTAGTTCCTGAACCCGAAAAACCGCCGAACAAAAAAAAAGCTGGAAAATCAAGCTTTCAGCTTCTGACTACGTTAAGCTTTTTAAAAAATTCAAAAAGACGGTGGATATTCCAAAAATGACCTTCGACAGCATCAGCAGACTAAAGGTATTCTATAAACTGTTTTTCTAGAGCCAAAACTGAACTCTTACGAAAAATTTCGAACTTTAGGGAGCAATAAATCTCGGAAAAGTATTATGTCCGCTCAAGACCATGTGAAATTGTTCTCCCTGTGCACGATCTTCCTTGAAATATCAATAGAGCGCACAATCTTTTCGGCTGTTTTTGACGGAAGCTTTTCAAGGGCAACTTGCGCTATTTTCTGTAATATCATGGCAAAAATTGATTTGAAATCTCGAATAAATAACCAAATTTTTCAACAGGATTCTGTGAAAAAAACCTACCAAGAAGTCTCGAATTTGATCCAAATAAAAATTCAAGCTGGAAATCGATCTGAGGTAATTTTTTTCCGTTTCGAGGTCAAAAAAACTTTCAAAGCTTGAAATGGTGAGAAAATTCAAAAAATCTCGTCTAAAGAGCTGATTTTTCGAGGAGATCGAAATTGGAAATGAAAAGTAGATTTTTGGTTTTTCAAGAAGAATCAAATTATTTTTGAACCAAATTCGAGTATACTCTTCCAGTGATACAATTCTCCGAGGTGTTTTGAATCTTCCTGAAAACCGATTCTAACAAAACTTCTGAATGGTCAACTGAAACGTCGAAAAATGAGGATAAAAAGAAGCCGCCAGACAATTTCTGAATGGGGAAAGCGCCGTGTGAGAAACGCAAGCAAATAATAAAAATCGTACTGTTTGAGGGAGGGCCAGGCAGTGTGAACGGTCAAGGCGTTTTGCATGCGAAATGAGCCTCCTCCAGCGTGGTCCTCTATGTTAAATAGGCTTTTGCTTTCTCCGACCAAATGGAATTTTTCGGCTCGGAGAAAATTTCGCTAGGTGGGAGAAGGAGAAACATTCTTTTTTTGACTTTTTTCTGGTGGACAATTTTTCGTTAAAGCAGTGTTTTTGAACATTGACTAGACTTCTTGTTTGAAAAAATTGATCTGATAGAAAAAAATGATCTCTAGTTTCATCAACAAATTTTCTGAGTGAAAAGGAAAAATGAAAAGAAGAAAAAGAAAACCAGCAACGAATTGATTTTCTCTCATCAATTACTGTATTTTCAGTCGATTTTGGCTCTTTCAAATGTATAGATATCGATTGAGGCTTAATTTTTGAATCAACTACGCTCCACGGCAAATTCAAAAATATCATGTTGATTCTTGAAAAATTATTTTTTCTTGACTTCTGCTTTATTGATAAAAATGATGAATACGGTTCAAAGCCGTTTCCTGCAAGAAAATGCGCTCTGCGGATAAACTTAGCGAAACTTTGGTTTTTCTCCTTCAAAACTTCATTTTCCTTTGAAGTCACTAATCAACTAGGAAAGTTCAACTTTCAGCCTTTTTGTCAAGAACGATTGCGCTCCATAGAGAAACTCAACGATATTCAAATTTTCTGAAAAATCAAACAATTTTTGTCTCCTCCTGTTGAATCCACAAATTAGGCCAAGTCGAGAGGGACAATAGGACCGGAAAATCCTCTCCAGACAATAAAATGAAAAGAAAACATGCGGCGGCGGTGGCGGCGGCATTGGAATATATCACAGCTGGCAGAAATGTTTGGAGGAGAAGAAAAGGAGGCGGGGCCAAGAGGGCACGCCCCTTTTTGCGGGCTTCTTCGAGACACGAATCAAAGATAAAAAACGAACTGTGAAGGAGATATAAATGGCAGGTGGCCGGCACGAGCCGATGCCGTCTTTTTTTTATTCTCCAACAACTTTTTTTGTCTCTCGGATTTAACGGCCCGATTCGGACCATTTCGCTTGGAAAAACTTTGCGCCGATTTTATGAACCTACAGTGTTGGGCGAGGCTTAATATTTCTGGTGATGGATTTTCGGGTCATAAAGGTTTTTTTTAATTATCTTTTCTGTTGGCAGAGACTGTCGAGTGACCAAAAATTGCACTGAAAACCGCTCTTCGTCTCGAGACCTCCATGGAAATTGTCTATGCTCCTTCAAAGACTTTGGCAATTAGTTTGTAACAGGCCATACTCAATAGATAGTGTCATAATAATCTTGAAGTTCAATGAAAAAATGAAATGTTTTTCTAGCTTGTCTGCTCACTCTCCACTCACTAATTAAGGAATATAGAGTACTCAGACAGGTCAGAATTTTTTAAGCTATGGTTCCGTTTAACCAAAATTTTAAATAAAATTTGGAGGGATCCCTTAAGCAATGTCATTTCCAGTTTTCCTGGTTTTATTTCAAGATTCATATGAAGAAGAGGAGATCAGAAACGTCTTATTCTAGTCAGAGGTGTAAGTGACAGCTTTAGTGAATTTTTCGAGTAAAAAGAAGAAAACCAGAAGTCGGCCATTTTCAGTGTTTTCATAGAAAAATCTCAAGAAAAGTATTTTTCAAAAAAATTTCCTAGTAATTGCTGAAGTGATCACTCCAACTTTCCCAAGAATGTTCGCGAAAGTCTGACTTGTCTGCTCTCTCTCTCTTCTCTCGCCAATTAAGGGATAAATATGTCAGTAGTTATGAAGCCGCGGGTAAATTTGAAATCTTTAAGCTATAAATTCAGTTTTTTTGAGTTCCAATTCGAAGACCAGAAAAGAAGGAGGTCATCAAAGAAAGGCTCGTTTATTATTTTAAAAAAATGTTTGAGTGACCACTTTAGTGACTAACTTCTCGAAGAAATCGAACTAGACCAGTTTCAGTAATTTCATAGAGAAAGCTACAGGAGAGCAGATTCTCTTCTCAATGAAGAGTAGAAACACTCTCCCTCGTCTGCGCTCTCCTTTCCCTCGCCAACTGAGGGATCAGAGAGCACAGACAGGTCAGGCTTCTCCAGTTTTCAACTCAAAAATCCAGTTTTTTCTCGTCCCGATCCAAGGTGCATATAAAGAAGGGGTCATCTAGAGACGCCGAATATTTTTACGACGCCGATATGGGCAGTCGATTTGATGCGGACCCGCCAATCTCGAATCGCTCGTAAAATGGCGACGTCGCCGCGTCGGGAAACTCTTGCTGCTCCTTTTACAGAACGCCTTTTTGATGACGTCACCGTCCTGTACGATTGAGGACGCCGCCGCCTGTCAGAGCGTGTGGGAAAAAAAATTGAGAAGCGTCGTAAATCGCTTATTGTGCACGGGACTGTGAGAATCGGCTCGCTATTTTTTATGGATGAATGGACGTCGAAGATCAGTTAGTCGCTATAAAAAACTTGTGACTAAAGTAAGTCTGAAAGGGAAGAAAATGTACGATCTGTGGAGAGAAATGGTTGAAAATGAAATTGAAGTGCGGGAAAAGAGCAGAAAACAAGCTCGAAGCATAGCGCTACTAAATGAGAGTAGACAAGGCCTCTGAAGAAAAAAAAACTTGTTTTATAACGGAAGAACTAAATGACGATGAAGAAGTTCCCCATGAGGAAGAGAGCCTTATTTAAGATTTCTCACTTTAAAGTGTGGTCTGAAAAATGCACAGACTCAATAAAAAACCTGAAGAGATACAGTTTAAGGAATAGATCATACAGACTTCAAAGAGCCAAAAATACGCGAAAAAGGCGGAAAAAGAAAAAACTCAATTCTTGAAAAACTCTCTAGGATTCTTTTTGAAGCTTCTGCTTTACATGAGATGCTCCTAGGACTATAGGACCTGAAAAAATCCCTGAAGATCTTCCGGATCAACCTAAGAATCTCATCGAAGCTTCTGACCTTTCTAAGAATACAAAGATCCGAAAAATCATACTGGTGCTCAAATTATGTGTTTCTTCTTATGAAGTTTCTGCTCTACTCACCAAAGTTTTAGAACTATCCGATGTAGGAAAGAATCCAAAAAGATCTTCGGGATTAACCTAATAACCTCCCCGAAGCTTCTGACCTTCTGAATGCCTTACTAGGTTTAAACAGAGCCTAAAATCGAAGAGAAGAATTAGATGATTAAGCTCACAAAAAAAATTGAAGTTCGAAAAAGTATCCAGGAACTATTTCAGCATTTCTGATCTGCTGAACAATCCTAAAACCATCCGATGTAGAAAAGAATACCGAAATATCTTCCGGATTAACCTAGGAACCTCACCGAAGCTTCTAACCTTCCGAATGCCTTCCTAGGTTTAAACAGAGCCAAAAATCGACGAGATAATGACCAGAAAAAATTTGGGACTTGAAAATCTCTTCCGGGACCTCATTGAAGCTTCTGCTCTACCGTTATGGGAAACCAAAAAACCGGCAAAAATCGACGAGATAAGCACCAGATGATGCGGAGCGGGTGTGGCAGTCAGTCAATGACGAGTCAGGATGGCCGAAGACGTTATCTGGGTTGACCTCCGGCCAACGACCTGCCGCTGCCGTCCAATAAAAAGACTCGCCGCGTTTTACCGCAATTGCTATCAAAATGATATGCAAATCGAATTGCGGATCGAGTTTCGGTGGGGGAGATTTTGACGTGGTGATTGACATGTTTTGAGCTGGAGGAGGTGGCTCCTGCCAGGCCGTTTGATCGCGGACGAAAGGTGGTGTAATTGCGTATTGTTGCGGTTTGGGGTTTCTCAATGAGAAGAAGGATGTCCATTCTACTTTGAAGCCAAGATCTAAGTTTGAATTTCTGAAGAAACTAAAGATTTCAAAAAACAAAAAATCGAAGTAGAAACTTTACAGTTCTTTGTAAAAAGTTCCTGTGGACAATTAAAAAATGTAGAGAACACTTACACTACAGATTCCATAGCATCAGGAGCCGAAAATTGCTCTTAAGTTCTGGAATCGAATAAATTTTCAATTAAAGAGCGCCTATCCAAAATTAACTCAGTTTTTCTCGGGTCTCTGACAAAGTCGGAAGTGCCGAACACTGTCGCAAAAAAGGCCGAAAAAGGACCCTTCTGTCGCCTTTATAGAGCCTCGAATTCCCGCTGGAATTTCAAGGTTAAGGAAAAGATAGGAAAAGGCAAAGACAGTAAAAAGAATTAATAGAGAGCTCAACAAAGGGGATTTATCAACCTTTACTGGCTTTCGTGAAACGTCACGAGATTCTCTATGATATTAGCGTTTCCCAAGAATCGTTTTTTTTCATGAGAAAGTCGACTAATTCTTTTATAAGCTTATTAAAATTGTATTGTCTCATCGGCAAAACCAATACCGAATAAAGATGCAGATTTTCCGTTCGTGACTCTAATCTCCTGACCGTTCACGACACTGGCCGTCTAAAAAAGTTATTATCAATTATATGAATCTTATGAAACTAGAAAAATTTTCTTGATTAAACAACTTTCAAGTCATTTTCTATGATTTAAAAAGGAAATCCTCATCCAAAAGTCTCCTCTTTCCACTGTACTTTAGCGGAAAATGCTTCCGCATCAGTACAACAACTCGAGAAGACGTGCGAACCTCATCAGGAAGGGGAAAAGTTGGTAAATGGCGGCGGCACGGCGTCGAATTTCAAAGGCAACGTCGAGGCCGGACCTTGTGCCACAATCGTTTATTGTGGCGGCCTTCGGGAGTGAATCATCGAGACTAACGAACTTTTTTCTTTCTTCCTCTCCTTATTTGGGTTTGGAGTGAGTTGATGAAGAAAGAGAACAAGTTGGAGGGAGAAAAGATTAATTCGAATAAGGGGTTTTTTGAGATAGACTAATAAAAACTCGGATTTCTTTTTTCAAATTTACATGGTAACAATGAGACTAGCTGAGCTTATTCTCTCACTCCCATTATTACTATCGAGGAACTCGAATCAAAGTTCAAATTTCACTCGAAAATCTGACAGAATGGAAAGTTTTGCGGGTGTTTGAGATGAGAATTCCGAGATTCCGATAAAGAATGACGAACGCTTCTCTTCTTGACAGATTGAAATCGCAGATTATTCCATCCGGGGCTTGGAAAAGTTCGCGTTTACTTTACTTTATGATCTTGAGGTTGAATGAGTAAGAATAGACAAAGATTGAAAAAAATAATGAATTTTTCTGGAAAATGGCTTCCTTTCAGAGCTGGAGAATATGGACAAATTTTCACTTTTTGAAAAAAAATGGCAAAAATATGATGTGGATCTTTAAAACTAGAGCATGAAAAAAATGGAATCGGAAAAATTTACAAAAGTAAACCGAGAAGAAAAAGACACAAAAAAAGTTTCTTTTTCAAACTAATTACAGCTAAAAAGTAATTTGAAAAAAATTTTTGTAATGGATAATCCAAAAAAATAAAAAGTTTAAGATTGTCACAAAAATAATTTACGACTTCGTTTAAAAAAATGCAGAGCTCGAAAGATGAATTTTCAGTCAGAAAAATCATTAAACTGCCCTTGAATAAAATCATTTAAAAGTAAAAATAAAGGCAAAGTGACAATAAAATGGGTAAAACTTTTTCGCATGATTCAAAACTTTGATAAGCCGTTATCTTTTCAAAGATTTTAATGATTTCAAAAAGAATTTTTTCGAAAAAAACCCTTTGACGTTTTGTTCCAAACTAGAGATTTTCTGAGCAACATAGAGCTCAAAATATCAAAACTCTAAGCTACTGTAGATTTGCTTTCGTTTCAAAACCCATTTCCAAAAACACTGGGATTCTGAGACAAGCTTTATCAGGAGACGAGATGGAAGAATGAGAAACGAGTCGAGAAAAAAGGGGGAAAATGAATTATAGAACGAAGGGAAATCAACGCGGGGTGCCAAAAGAAACGACAAACGTCCGAAAAAGAGTTTCGCCTTCTCGCATTAATCTGCGTCATTCGTCTTCGGAATTCAAGAAGAAGACGTCGCAGGGGCAAAACCGCCGCCGTCGCAACACAACAATTCATCGGGGAGCTGTCCACTTCGACTCATATTCAATTTGTTCATATGCTTGGTGTAAAGCTTTCTTTGGGCTAGAACAATTTTTTTTTCGATTTTTTTGCAGTTGTAAAAAAATAAAAAAGATGCTCTGAAAAAGTTAGAAAAAAATTCCACAGTTCTCTTCCTAGCTTCAAGAGAGAAGGACTGAAAATCTCAAAATGACCCCTTTTATCAGCTTTTGATGGCTTTTTTAAAGCATTTTAAGGTCTCTTCTCTCAAAAAATGGGAAGCATTCCAACTGGAAAACATCTGCAAAATAAAGTTTAGTTTTTGAAAACTGCTGAGAATATTGAATTTCTAATTCAATGAGTAGACAAAAAACAGTATGAGTAAATTTCGTGAATTTTCAGCTTTCCAATCACTAAAGGGCTTCCTTTTCAAGAGTTAAATGACCAGTTCGAAAAATATTTCGAAATTTTCAAAAATCTTAAAAAAATTCATTTTGTTACTTTATTACCTCCTTCTCATAAAATATCAAAAATTGGCTAGAAAACAGGTTTTCTTTTCTATAAAATGCTTCTAAAATTCAAAATAATTAAGACTTCTCGGAATTTCCCATCACTATATCATAGCAGGGTCCAGAAAAAAAATTATAGAAAAAGTCCAGAAAAGGAAATACTTAAAAAAGCACAAATTGTTAGAAAAATATAGCCTATACATCCTTCAAAAAATAATAAAAATCAGAAAGGGTCAGATATTAATCCCTAAAATCTCGTAGTACTAAGATTAAAATGGGGATTAACAAACGCAACTATTGTCATGCAAATCTCTTCACACCTACTTCTAATTTTCTCAAGTCTGTCCATTTTATATCGTTTACTTTGCCTGCTTTTGAGTTAGAAAAAAAAAGAATTTTAAAAGAAAACCGACTTCTTTTTCGCAGTCTTCCATTTGACGGTCGATTTTTTAGCGGGAGGAGCAATTCTGAAAATGGACAGTTCGACTCCCAAAGTGAAAACGAAACAGAATAAAATGACATTCTATTTCAAACCTAGGTTGGATCACTTTAACCAGAGATGCTCTCCGCTCACAGTGGGACTTCTGAATGAGACCAGTTCCCTAGATGTAGTTTTTCCACGCTGATTTCAAAGCCGGTCTTGAAAGCTGCCAAATGCGTCGGTGAAAAAAGTTATGAACCCTCAAAAGTCGAAAATTTTCCGATGTCTCGATTGAGCTCATTTTTAGAGAGTACACAGATCCGTCCCTCTGGTCACGAAAAAAACCATAAAATTTTTTTGTCTCAAGAGTGAAATCTACATCTAGAAAAACCTGGTCATGTTTAGAAGTCTCACGGTGAGCTAAGACCATTTCCGTAGGAGGCACTTTTCCCCTCGGAATGGCCAATTGTGATGGCTTTTCTAGCTCTTCCTCGACTTCTAGGGATCTAATAGAAAAATAAAAATTGATAACGATAGAATTTTCCAAGACCTTTTCAGCTAAAAATCAAGCTAGAATAAAGAATAAAAGCGGCCCCTTTAGGGAACGATCCCTGAAACCTAAGTGGTCCCTATGGTGGTTTTTCAGTGATTAGTCTGATTTTAAGTGACCAGTAAGAACCACTAGCACACTTCCCTGAAGCGGCCACTTTCACAAGATCTAGTTCCCTCTATAGGGGAGGTAAAGTGGCCCCTAGAGGGAACCTCCAAATGCTCCTAAAGGTGCCCTTCTAAAGACGAAACTGTCGTTTAAAGTATGAGATGATGTAGAATATCCTATAGCTACTAAATTAAAACCTCTAAAAGTATCACTTGAAATAATCAACTGTATAGAGTGACATATAATAACTCAACAGTGTCACGGCGCAGTCGATGCGCAGTGAAATATGGCCGAAAACAGCGTGGTCTAGACAGCAGATGAGTATAAATCAGCGGCGGCCTTCCTCCTCCGCAATCATACTTTTTTCATTTATTTCAGGGCCTCTTTAGGGTTTTTCTCATATTTCTACTCTATTCATCACTAGCTTGAGAAAAAACTGCAAAATATGTTTAAAACTCTTCTTTTTCCACACTATTTTCCTCAATGAAATTCCAGAAAATGAAAAAAATTTGGTTTCGCAACCTCGGTGATCCATCAAAAACTCTACGGTTGCAACGACAAAAAGCGTCGCCGACACCAAATTTTTGTTGTGTCCATTCCACACGGGACTCATTTTTCGTCGTTGACACGTGCGCCTTTAACCATTTGTTATGTCCTTAGGGAGACGTCGGAAATTCATTCGCGTCATAGTTTCGGTGTAGTTGAAATTTTGGGGGCTAAACAAGGAAAAAAAAAGCTTTAAAAGTTCTATAGTGGTTTCCTGCAATGAGTTATTGGGTTTGAAGGGACCAGAAGCTCAAAAATTAGGTTTAAAATGTTCAAAAATAAGTCCAACAAAGTGAAACCTCGAAAAGCCTCTCAAAATTGTTTTATTCTATTCAATTTTTTAGAAACTGAACATTGAACCATTATAAGCTGTAAAATCAGGCTTAAAATCATTATCAACTGCCGAATTAAGCCCAAAATCACCTCGAAAATGAGAGTTTAAGAATCTCCTTATAGGGGTTTGAAGTTTCCTTGGCTCCAAGAGCTCAAGTAGTCCCTATAGGGCCACTGACTCAAAATTCAATAAGGGGAACTTTTGCAAGCTTTAGGGGTTCGATAAAACGATTCTTAGAGGGGATCCCCTAAGGGTCTCGATGTTTGCCGAGGCCGCTCTGGAGCTCTTAAGATAGTCTACTACTGGAGAACAAACTCTCGTGGCAATACGCTGATGAAATTTCTTCCTATGCTCCTTCAATTTATAAACATCTAATCAATATGTTCCGCGCTTTTCCCATTCGCAAGGATTTCAGTTAACAAAACACCTACTTCAAAACAGAATTCAAGTTCAAAAAAGAAACAGACAGCACCATTTCTCAAGCTAGCGAATGGAATGAAACGCAATTTTCCCTTTTAATGCATCATTTTTGGAGTTTTTCATGTGGGAAAAATTTGAATTTTATGATGGAAAAACTACATTTGAAAGAAGATTCAGAAGCATTTCTCAGAGGAGTAGAACGACTTGAGAATGGGGAAGCTGCCGACGCCACAGATTCCCGTGTGATCATCTCCAGTCACGTCGCGCATCGAGATACCGGCCAGGGATTCTCTCATCACGTAGCCGATCTGGAAGAAGCGTTGATTTTTCTTGTTCAAGGCTTAGAGTTGAGAGACGTTAAATAATAAGGCTAGATTTTCTCATTCACCTAAGCTTTAACTATGATCTTTCATTTATCTTTGAAGCTTGATTTAAAACCTTGTAGCGCAATGTTTCGATGGTTTGAACTTTAGAAATATTGCCTCCAGAGACGATCGTCGCTTGAAGCGTTTCTTCGTTCAGAAGCGTCATATTTCCCTTGATGGCCGATTCGCAGATCTGAAAGCTTATATACTAACAAATTTGAGATCAGTTTTTCGAAGAATCAATTTATTGTCAGATCATTAACGAAGATGAAAAATCAAAAAATTTCAAAACTTTTTTCAAAATTCTCTTGATTTTTACAGTTCTAATCAACTACCTCCGGAGTATACTCTTGCAAGTTTTTGGCGGCCGAAGCGTGAAGAATCCTGGTGGACAGCTCCACGACGAGTTTCGACGCCTTCAAGCCCGACGCCTTCCATTTTCGGATGGTGTCGTCCTAATATAAGAAGTATTTCGAAACGGAATTTCTCTTTTGCCCAACAATGGTGCGAATTGACGAATTCTGGGAGACAAGAAGGGTTCCTGGAGGTGATGACAAGGCGACGTGGTGGAGTTTGTTGAGCATCGGAATGCTGTAGGTTGGCGAGAGTTGGAAGCTCTTTGGCGATAATCTTAAGACATTTTTATTTGAATATTTCGTTGAAAGAGGTTACAGCTTTTTTCGCGCACGCTGGTCCACATTCAGGTTTTCCGGGCAACTGGCTTCATTTTTTGCGAAGAAGCCAGCGCTGGCTCGGACCAGGCTATAGAGTTTGGATAAAAAAATTTCTTACTCAAAAACGTTTCCCCAAAAAAATTTTCTTTCTAGTTAAATCATAGTTTCTGTTGCGCTTGCAAAACCAAAAAAACTGATTTTTTTGCGGTAAAGAAAAAGTAAATCTGATTTTTGAATGATCATAATTTCCAGGATACACGAAGTCTTCGATCGATTTTGACTATCCACCGTTCGAGATTTTTATAAAATCATGAGAAAACAGGTGGTATAATCATGACCGCTTCGGGAACCGCGACGCGGGTCAAACTCGCGCAGCTCTGAGAAAAAAACCACCTCAAAGCCAAAGTGAAGGGACAGCCGTTGTGAGCCCTACTTTGGGCCATTTTCTGCTGAAGTTCTCGGAGAAAAAGCCGTGAATTGGAGCTGAAACACAAAACTTCCTATGAAAAAGTTAATTTCAATTTGAAAGACTAGACACAGATATTTTTTTTTAAATCGCAAAGAAAAAGAAACCTGATTCGACCGTCCAACAGCTTCTTCACAGTCGAACTGTACACCGCTGAAATTATGGGCGCGAAGGAATTCGAGAACGTTTCCCGTCGTCGTTTCAGATTTTTCTGTAATATTTTCTATTCTCGCTTTTTTAAAAATTATTAACAATAAATTAGAAGATACAGCAGTGAAATGAGTCGGCTATGACTCGAAAAATTAAGATAACTAAACTATGTTGAAGCTCAAAGTCAAGCACTGCTGCTCAAAAGAAAAACCAGAAAATTTACAAAATATTAGTTCTTACCGAGAAGAATCGAGGTGAAGTTTTTCTCGTTGACCTGGCACTTCAGGGACAAGACCAACCCGCATTTGACCATGTCTGCGGACATTTTCGCCTGGAAAAGGCTTCATTAGTAGAACTCCATCTCAATGCGAAGTCCGAAAATCTGATCAAGTTTCGTGTTCCATTTCGATAGAGCCGGATTTATGGCCAGAGCAGCCGACGAGGCGTCCCCGGTTGCACCGGTCGCCCGGTCTTATCAACAGCTTTGCATATACTTCCGAGAAGAAATTTTTCGCAAATCTAATTCAATAATGAGAACTTTATGTTTTAAACATCCTCAACAAAAATACACGTCGAGAGACAGAGGGATCCTAGTCGGTCATAGTGTCAAGGTGAATGAACTAACCAAAATTTTCACTCATATTTGACCTAAAATTCACCTTTTTTGATCTTCATTAGTCATTTTACCAACTTGAAAGCCTTACCAACTCTCCGAGGACCTCCTTCCGGTCTTCTCCAAGCACTTCGACGTGTCCAGTCGAGTTCAACGACGCGTGTTCAACAACAACTTCCGTGCACATTTCATAAGGCAAGAGTGAGGTCTTCATCTCGGCTGAAACCAGGCAAAGGTTCACTTTAGATCGAATATTTCAAACGTTCAGTCTTGTCGAGGACAAAGTTACAGGCGACTTTGAAGGAATGTTCGCATTTTCTGAAGTCGTGACGGGCCAGGCATCGAGGGCAGACCTAAGATGATAATGAGATTCAAAAAATAGAACATAAACAATAAACACATAAAAGAAACATTGAAAAATGATGATGGAGGTAGAAAAACTCCTAGAAAAAGCAGAAAAGCCCAATTCTAACGGTATGGACGTAATTTTCATGTTTCCAAGACGGGAAAAAAAATTTTGATCCGCAAAAATGATATAAAATTATCTTTTTTCGGCTTTTCATGGCCCTTTTTTACCTGAGCAGCGACAACAGTTCTCAGAATCGGGAAGGATTCATTTGTGCAGGCGGCCCGAGAATCGTCGGCATCGATACCGTAGACAGCCATTCCCATGCCTTCAATCGACGTCCAGACTGACTAAAAAAAACATGAGATCTATAAAAATAAGTTTTATTGAGAATTCGCTAAGATTTTCGTTGAAACGTGCTTTAAAAGACGCTAAGTCCGGAGAAATAGTTCAGCTGCCTTCGAGTCCAATTATGGGATTTTCTTGAGAAAGCCAGAGTGGTCACTAACAGTAACTTTAGGGACCCTTGAAGGTTCTCTCTAGAAGTCACGTTAAGAGAAAAAGGTAGAAAACGTTCGTCAGTTTGGGGGCTATAAAAGTACATTTCAGGAAATCACGAGAGCTTGTCCGATCGGAATTTTCTCAGTGGATCAACTAAAAAACCTTGATCTGAGCGCTCCTGGGGCTTTCGAAGGAGACGAATTTCCCATCTCTGATCATAAAAGCTGATTTGGCGTTTTCGATCCATCCGTGCTCGTCGAGGGCCGAAGAGCCGGTGCAGATCTTAAAAATATTGGTTTGACCATTCTTAATGAACTGATAGAAAACTTTTGAAATCAATCTGAACTATTGAAAAAATCATTGAAAAAAATCATCATATTTCACTTTTTTTTTTCGAGAAATTAAACTAAAAACTGAATATGCAATTTCACCTCAATAATCCTTTTTTTCTACTTTATTCATACCATTATATCTTGGCAAAATATTCAATTTCGAAACCTCTTCTTGGGCTCTGATTCCGGCATCAGATTTGAACGTCGGATGCCCCAACGGCTGGTCAGATCTGACGATCCCGATAGACTTCGAAGTGGTGGCCGCGGCTGAAAGGCTCACAACCAACTTGGACCTGAAAAATACTTCTCATTTCTTTAAAATCACAGCTGATCCCCGGCTAGCTTGGGACATTGAAAGGCGTGGCACTGTCTGCACTCTCCACCAAACCGACACTTTTTCTTTTTTTCGTGTCAGGACCCGTTCTGATGACTAAAGCCAGCCGTGAGTCAGCTATAAAACCAGGGAGTCTACGTCCGAATCTTCAAGAGTTAGAGAGCGTTCAAAAATGAGAGGGCTTTTATCTTTCTTTAAACGCCCTCTTGTTCATCCATACTCTCTAGTTTCGAAGATTCGAGACACCGGCGAGAGCAAATTTCCACACTCCGAAGAATACTGTATGTGAAATTCCGCAGGTGTGCACTTTGTGTGTTTGCACTATTGTTGCGTGGCTTATTTATCCATTTTAATATTGAACGTTATCGAAAAAGATTATAACGACAGTAACCATCCACTGTAATGTATTTGAAAAAACATCAAGACGCCGAAACTTCTCGAAATTTAAAAGCGCAGGGACGATTTTAAAACGTCACAAAACAAAAGTGCAATTCACAAAGTGCACACCTTCCACTTTCACACACAATATCCTTCGAAAATGGAAAATTCGCTCTTATCTCAGAACCCAATCTAGAACCTTGGCATTCCTCTCTCGATCCACTTGCTAGCAATCGACTCAATAGTCATTTGTTGGTCCGGAAGAGATTCGACGGCCCTTAAGGGACTGCTCAGCGTCGTGACGGAAGCCTTGCTCTCATGGAGTCGGTGCGTTTGGAGGACTACCAAATCGACGGTTCTAAAAAGGGAGCCAGTTCAAAAGTTTAATTTCGGTCTCAAAAAAAAAAAAGTTGACTAGGTTCTGTTTTTTTCATCCGATTAAGACCACTTTTTTGGCACCTTGCTGCGCCTTCAAGTTTGGTAATGATTCAACGAACTGAATTTTTGATGATCTTAAGAAAATCTGAACAATTCAGACCTACAGACAAACTTACCGGTCCAAGAACAGCCTACTCAACGAATTTCCATAGGAAGATGAATTTCAAAAACCAACGAAGGAATATATTTTAAATACATTATTTAAGTAAAAATCAACCTTATTCGAGCGAATTTTACTTTGTTCAAAAAACTTGAAATGAATAAAATCGAGAATCGGTTCGAAGATTACTTCCTTGGGTTGCATTAGGTGCTAAACCTTTCAAAACCGGTCGAAAATGAGCCAATTATTGAGCTTTTGAACCTTATTAGAGTTTTTGATAAATTTACATCGGACTAGTCTTATTTTATCATTTATAGAAATATATTGGCATCATGTTTAAATGTGATTTTCGAAAAATTTCCTTTCTTAACAAAAAAAAGAATCTCACTGATTCAGCTTCTGAATGTCGTAGAGATTAGCTATGGTGCTTTCCGGATTTGCAGCGAGGTGGATTTTCAAGTTCTGAACAAGAAGAAAAGCTCAAAAGTAGCTTCTCCGTGTAAACCTGGTCCAGCTTCTTCAAATCGTCCAACAAATTGTTGAGGAACAACTTGTTGACCTCGCTGGCCATGGGTTCTTTGATCCAAGCGATTTCGATTCCGTCCAGGTTTTCTTTTTTTGAAAGCTGAATATGAGTTTGAAATGGAAGAAAATTGAGTATTCTATGAAATTTTACGAAAAATACAGAGGAAAATCGGGAGATAAGAATCTGCTCGATTTCCGTCTGCAAGAAAAACCTCACTAATTGTGACAAATAACCCCAAAAATTGAATAAAAGACCAATCCATAGCTAAGATTTAGCCATTTAGAGCGCTTTCGTTCCAATTTTCAGACTATCGGTTCCTTTCGAAAGGCATGTTTGAACGAATGAAAAATTAAAGACCACACTTTTTCAAAATGTTCTGAACATCAATTTGAAACTTTTACATCGTGGGAATTTCCAGTTTTTCAGCAAAAAAATGCCCAAAAGCTATGTTATACAACTCCAAGATCAAAAAACTTAAGAAAATTTGAAAAAATAAGGTTTTTCCTGCCTCTAAAAACCATTTTCGTTCAACTGATCTCATTAAATTTCCTTCGAAACCACCTCAACCAAATTCTGAACAAAAGCCGATCTTCTGATCAAAACCGTCTGCCAGACATCGTTGTTAGTTCGGCTGCCGATCGATAAGAAGATCTAAAAGGGGATACGTTGTGGGATTTGACTGCGCATCAACCTTCGGCGCAGCGTCGCCAAAGGGTTCCCTCCATTCGCGGATTCTCGGAAGGAGATTTTTGACGGAATTCGGGATCACCACGTTCTCCAACACCTCAAGAACAGAAGGGGTAGTAAAATTGAAAGATTCTGACATTTAAAGGAGTATGGCAAGAGTTACTTCGAACGCTTTCACTAAAAACACTCCTTCAAGATCAACACTAACATCAATGTCCACAGGACCGACGACGACATGACTACACCAATGGGAGGCGATCGAATCCAAGGGGAAGTCGTGTTCCATTCGTTCAGCGTCGAAATAACACAGTCTGGTGCAGTTCGTCTTTTGCGACGGTTTCGTCTTGGCCAGGACCTGAGAATTTTTGTTTCGGATATTATTTTAGACGAAATGACAGCAGCCATTATGTGAAAAGCGACTTATGACTCATCAGCATTTATAGACGCGACTTGAGTGTTCCCTCCAAAAATCAAATTTGCCTGGATTTCCTATCGGCATCTCCCACAAAAATCTCACAAACCTTCATGGCGAGATGGTGAGCCGGCAGAGGATCCTTCTTGCAGACGTTTTTCGGGTCATCTTCTTCGACGGCAGAGATTCCCAAACCTCCGAGACCTTCCGCAAGGACCCAGGTCATCTAGGCGGGGAAAACGGCATTGAACTTTGTAAATGATAATCCAACGAAAATTCTCCAAATTCAATCTAGAAAAGCTTCATCGCGTAAAAATGATTATAAATGGTCGCAAGTAGAATGTAGAATAGACAGAGGCGTCGCGGTTGCATTGCGGTTGGAATCGGCTCTTCACTTTATTTTAAAAGCTCGAGCGCAATAAGTTTCTGGTCGGATGCACCTCAGAGCGGTGCGAGCCATTCTCCTAGCGCCGAGCGTTGGATTTTTTGCCAAGAAAGGGTGTCACCAAAAGTCTAACTTTCTGCGCTCTCCATTTCTCTCGCGCTTTTTCGGCCTTTCCATAAAAGAAAAGAGAGCGCAGACAGTCAGAGTATTTTTTTCCGAAGTGATTTTGAAAGGAGTCCATACGTCTACCTGCTGCAAACGTTGCATACCCAAAACTCTGATTCTTTCAAACCTTTTTTCCCAAGCCCTCAGAAGTCGGCAAATTCGAAGAAGTCCACGTACTCCGGTGCAGTGTGATTTCATTTAGGGCTTGTGGGTTTAGGAATTTGGATCCTATGGATTTTTTTTGTACAAAATATGTCGTTCATTATGTACCTCGAAGCTTACAAACTTCCTGCTGGTTCACCAAAACGCCCTCTTCCAGTGCGAACTCTCCAGCAACCACTTTCATCACGTTTTGGACCTAAACTCTCAATGAAATTCCAGGTCATGGTCCTGGAATGATGAGCGAAATAGTGGGCAAACAAAAGAGAGTATACAGGAAAATTTTGGTTTTTCCTAGCTAGAAACCGTATAAACTGGGGTGCAAATTTTGTTTTGAGACCTGTTTTTCGAAGGGTCTCTAAGCGAAAGTACAAAAAAAAAGTTGCGGTTACGGTAACTTGTTTCTCTCGTTTGTTTCAAAAAGTGACCAATTTGGGCAGAGCAATTTTTTTCGACTACTAAATATTTTTCAAAAGTGCCAAAAAAAGCGTTAAAAAAACAAGAAAAATCGCGGTTTTTTTTTCCAATTTTCTAGTCGAAAATCCATCAGGTTCCTGCCTAAAAAAATAGCTATTTTTTTTCTTTAAGCTTTAAAATTTTAGACTCCCTCTCTCAAATTAATAGTTCAACTTCTATAAATTTATCTTAAAATATTTTCCACCTTGTACTGCCATCCTCCGGCGGTGAACCCAACGACGATCTGGTCCAGGACAATTCCACCGTCTTCCAGCCTCAAAAATTCATATTTCCAAAAACAACTTTTAGTAGAAATATTCACTTTTTGACAGCGCCTTTGATCGTGTCATGCGATTCGATGTCGCCGTAAGCTTCCAAGGTATCGATGTGAGAAACTAGGTACGGGTCCTCACTGGCCTGAACGAATACAACTTCCTCATGGTCGGCGTTTTTTTAAATTTTTTCTCCAGACCAATAAAAAAAGGCTTTGTGTAGACAGTTTGTGGAAATTTTTTTTAAAGAAGCTTAATTTATTTCAAAAATCTCAGATCAAAAAAAAAAAAAGAGAGTCTTCTTGGATCTGCCTATTGACTACTTGAAGATTGAAGGCATTTCATAAAAATAGTTATGGGTAATACTTTCAAATCTTCCCAAAAAGCAGAAGAAGCGTGTTTGAAGATAGAATAGGAATTTTAAATATTTCTCAGTCGACCTTCGAAAAACACTTTTTTTCGCGACAGTTTTTCGAAATAAAAACTTTTTTTGTTGTAATATTTCTCTTTTCTATTCCCTCCACTAACAGGTGTCTTGCTCATGTCAAGGTAGATGTACTCGACGAGCGGAGAAACGTCCCGAAGTCTGTCGACAGCATCTGGAGGCCAGATTTTCTGAGAACTGACACTGAGGATCGGCATCGCCAGTTCCGTCGATGCGGAGAGTTCCTGAGAAGTTTTTTTAGAAAACAAGAAAGGCTCAAAAAAGCTAAGTCCAACGAAATCTCAGCTGGACATTGGACTTATCTTGAGAGGTGAAACAGTAAATTCCTGAAAGAATACCTGCATGAAGCCGATGATGCTCCTATCGTGCAGATGTGGACCGTCGAAGGTGACGAAAAGGCCGTCAAATTTACTGGCAAATATAAATCTTGAGAAAATTTGTAAAAAGTCTAGAAAACTTGTCGATGGCTGCTTCGACGGCGCCTTTGGCCACGATTTTCGCGCCGAAATAACTCGGGAAAGCGGATGAGCGACGGACTCCGAAGAGCAACTTAGCGCTGGGATGATAGCGGCGGAGTCTGAAAATCAGATTTTTTTCGGGGGAATCTTCAAAAAAAAAACTGGGTATAACAAAACGTGAACCAAAATGGAAATTATTAAACTTCGAAGAAAATAGTTGCGATAAAAACTACAAGAAAAAAAATAACATGATGAAAAATGCCGTTATGAAGCGCTAAAACATGATGAACCACTATCAAAGTTAACTTTTAGACTCAACCTCAATTTTGCGCTTTTCACCTTTTCTTCTACCATTTTTTATCCTCCAACTTTTTTATCTTTGTTGAATTTTCTTCTTTTTGTAATAAATTATTTCCAGAACCTCAAGAAACTGCGAATGTTGCCAGGACGGCCGGCATACATCAAATCAAAAGTTCTGAAGTTGGGACGCCCATTATAATTGTCGATGTCAACGTGACCGTAGACAAAGTGGGTGCAGGTCAGGTTGGACAAGGCGGCCGCATCGAAAGGTTCTCGCTGAAAATGTTCATTATTCGCCATAGGAAAATCGGGATGAGGATACAAGTAGAAACTTCAAAATCAGTTAGAGTAATAGAATGACAACACGAAATAATAAAAGAAAAAAAAAGGAAAAGCTCGAAAAATTCTTCGTACGGTGATTTCAGATTGCAAGCTCTTGAGTACCGTACTTTTAGTGAAGGACCGCGGAATCAACCTCAAATTGAACCACTAGATATGAAGACTTCATGAAACGTATAGTGAGCGGTTATGATCTTTTATACTTTGACTAAAGAAATGTGTTGTCAGCCTTTTGAAAACCCCAGCAGAGATTTTTTATAACTCCGTTTGTCACAATTTTTTCCGCAGAGCTACAGTACTATTCTTTTCGATGCGTAAAGCTTGTCTCTGTGCATGCGCCTTTTACTGAGTCTGAAGACTTCCCTCTTATTAAAGGCGCATGCACAGAAACGGGCGGCGCGCATCGAAAGGAAATGATTCTTCAGCTTCGAGTAAAAAGTTGTGACAAGCTGGTACGTAATGGGATTGAAACTTTTCGGCTAATTTTTATTCGATGAAATTTCTAAAACTAGTCGCATATAGGTATTTTAAATACTCAATCTGCTTGGAAATACACAGAGAAATGTTTTGAAGATGCTAAAATAGAAGAACTTCTTACAGACGCCTTGATGAAGCAGAAGAAAGCCGGGTTGGCCGAGCCGATCGCAAAGACGGAGAAAAGAAGAGCCAAGGAAGCCGTCCACATCTCGGCAGCAGACGATCCGACTCGAATGGCTCCATTTCGCGAGACAGGGCTTTTAGCAACAAAAAATTTCTGTCTATCGTTTCCCAGAAATCTTTGAGGATGTTTTGGGAGCTGCAATGTTTTCGTTTGGGGGCGGCGAAACGCTTTTCTTTGAAAAATGGGTTCAGAGCGAGGACAATGTTTGAGGAAATTGTGATAATGGTCTACGATAAAGAAAGAAGTGAATCTGCTAGCTGAAAATTTTAATACCGGTCCAGAAAGCTCGTTTAAAGGCATAGGGGCAGTAAAAAACGGTGTTTCAGTTCAAAGCAGTACTTTGTAGAGCTTTTCATTGCGAATCGAACGGTAAACATGAAAACGTACCGAATTTCTTAGTTTTGGAGAAAAAATAATTCAAAGTCGGAGAAAGGAAATCTTGAGTTCCCGCCAAAAAGGCGCTTTGCAGTAAAGTTGCTCTATGGACAACAGGCTTCGCCATCTTCCGGATTTTCGCTTTTTTCTTCGTTTCTTTCAAATTTCAATTTTTTCTGTTAACGCCAAAGTTCTTTTCGTCACAAAAGCTTTCTATTCATGTATAATTTGCAAACTTTGATCGCAAAAATGCTTCTTTGGTGAAAAATGATGATTTTACACAGGTTTCGATTGGGATAGCGATATTTTGTGTTTTCTTTATTATCAATGTGTGTTTTTTGTTCGACTAAATGTTTTTCAGAGAAGAAACCTTTAATTTGAAGCAGATATCCGGTTATTTCTCACAAAATGCGAGTCTAATGAGACGTCCGCAACATCGCGTCTACGGCTACTGTAATCAGTTGTCTGAGCACCGATCCAAAGCTTTTTTCAAAAATAAAAGCGGGAAAGTAAAATCGCGTTTTTCTTTTAAAGTTGTCACATCTTTAATTTTTTTGAGCACACCATTCGATTCGCAAAGAAAAACTATATAAGATACTGCTTTCACCTGAAACCCATTTTTTACTGCCCCTATGCCTTTAATGAATGATGAATATTTGCCTTGCAAAGTTCTTTTTCAAATTACCTTACGTTTTCAGAACCGAAGATTCTCTGAACACGCTTAGCCATTCTCAATGCGACCATTCTGCAGAAGACTCAATTCTTTGAAATATAATTCTCACTTGGTATTTTCTTAATTTCCTCTTTTCTGCCTAGAGAATCTCAACACAAAACTTGCTATCCAATCATCCTACAACTGAAAAAAAGAAACCTTCTTCAGGCGCCTGATCTTTATTCCTTAGATGGAAAGGAAGAGGCGATGTTTCAACCCGATTGCGCAACCTCATTCTTCCACGCCTTATCATGTCATACCCAGTTCCCATTTCCTCCATCCCCACCAATCTTCTCAATTTCTCAGTGTTTCAGAATGATGCCGTCGCAATGTCTACCTGTGCTTCTTGTTACCTTTTTGGCGACTTCAGTTCAAGCTCTCAAGTCTTTGGATCAATTCATCATTGAGCTGGACCAGTTCATTCCGACTATTCAGCAGGAGATCGACTTTCTTTCTACTGGAGAATATGCTGATGCGGTAAGTTTTCTGTTAACAATTTTCGAACTTTTCGGAGAAGCTAAAAAAAAAAGGGACATGAAGTTCTCAAAGTTAAAATTTACGCATGACCTGACTTAAGACTGAAAAAATTTCCGTTCATAACGAAAAAAGGTCTGTGGAAAATGGCAAAAATGTTCTGCTTTCAACAGGAGTCGAACCAACAACCTTCTGAGTAATGAAAAAGTTTCAAACCACTTATGACGCTCCTTGTAAGGCTGAATTGTAGAATTCAAAATCGGCAAAAATTTTCTGCTCTCGGCGGGGATCGAACCAACGACCTCTCTTAAAAACTACTTTTTAGCAAGCCCTGCATCAACTCACCTCCTTCTACCCAACATTATACCTAACGATCCAGAGGCTTAGAGAGGTTCGTGTGTAGTTTGATCAGCTGTAATGGGGAATTTGAACGGATTCAGACGGGAATGGAAGCGGAGAAGAAGAGAATCACGACTGGCGAGAGCCGAGGAAAAATGTGCGGAAAAATGTTCCACTTCCAGTATCATGACGTAGGAAAGAAACGCGACGAAGTCCTCAAGGCCATCACCGCAAAGAACGTCACTGTTCAGGTTAGACCATTTACGCACAAGTTTTGACCGTAAAAGGAAAGCCCATTTTAAAAGTCGCCAACTTTCCTCATTTACACTATACTTTTAAAAAAAGTGTGAAATTGGTCAATTTTCGGAGCACTAAAAGTGCTCATTTTCAATCAAGTTTTTGTAGAGAAGTCAATTTCTGTTTTCATTTCTGTTCTAAATGCAAAAGTTTCATTGCAAGAAAATATAGATAACAGGAAATTCAACTAAATAATAAAAAATCAAGAACGAAGAAGAATAAAAATTTATTCGATTTCATACATCAATCAAGAATCCACTCGCTTGGTCACAGGTTGGTAAGTTTTTTTTGTACTGCGGGGGAGCCATTCTAGAACTTCCCCTATACTACTCCCAATTCACAACAAAGCACTCAATTGATATGATATTTCTGGTCGTTAATTATTCTTGATTACCTACTTGAACAGAAGAACATGTGAACTCAAAAAAGGAACCGAAGGTTCAAGAAAAAGTCAATTTTTGAGTAAAAACCCGATTTTCAGAGCGGCAAGCTATTGCTCCACGCAATGAAGGCGTCACTTGAGGAATGGCGGGCCAAATCTCTGGCGCCTTGCGTCACGAAACAACCATAAATTATTTGATTCAAACATGTAGATAGTAATAAATTATATCAGATTGTAAAGCAAAAATTAAAAAAAAAAGGAAATTCAATCTTCATTCAAGAACGAACAGAACGACGCTCGCGTTCCTTCGACAAGGGCGCCGGTTCTCTTGAACTGTTCGAGCCGCTTAAAATGATCATTTTCTTGGAGCTGATCTAATTTGAAGTTCTAAAGTGGCCGCACTTAGAATGGATGCTCAGCGAGCCATTCCGATTGCGACAATTGCGCTTCAAATGGTAAAAAAATTATTATACGCTGAATCGCTTAAAATAGTTTTTCGCAACAAGTTTCAAGTCCGTGATGGTCGTATTTGGAATGGCTCGACGCGCATCTAAAATTAAAATGAGCCATTCCAAAAATGAGTCACTCCAAGTGCGACCAACGCGCTTAAATCGTAGTAGAGGTAGTATAAAATGAAGCGCTTTAAATGATTTTCTTCACCAATTTGGAAGCCCGTGATGGTCGCAAATGTAATTACTTAACCTGTATCTCTAAAGTGCCCCGATTAAAAACGACTCGCGCCCTATGGCATTGGAAATAATTGAAATTCGCGCCGATTTGAGCCATTTTAAGTGCGAGCAGGTTGATTGTGTGAATACAAGCATAGGAACTATATACAAAAAAAAACTGACCTCTCGTTGTCGATCAATCGCTGAACCTGACTGAGTTGATCGGAGAGCGGCGCGATTTTTTGGCGGAGTTCCGCGATGTCGCTGAGTTGCTGCGAATTTCCAATCTTCTCTTCGATAGCCGAAAGAAGCTCCATGCCGCGACGCACGTGCTGCAGGGTGATCGCGATGTGGCACTGGAAAACTTTTCACTCTTTCACTCTTCCTAGTAATATTGAACTTATCGCTGATTTGGAAGCTATAAGAAGATGCTATATGCATAATGAACTTTTCTCGAGCACTGACAAAAATGGCAAAAACAAAATTACAGCAACGGGATTCGAACTTCCGTCATATGTATTGTAGTCCAGCGTGTAAGTTTCCCAGAAAAATTTTCCCCTCTCATCAAAAGGATTTTTTTTTTCTACCCATGTAAGCTAACAATAAATAGAGTATATAAAGAAGGGTTTCTTTTTTTTCATTGCTTTTCATCTTCTCCCATATGAAGACATTTGATAACTAATTCACAGTTTCGTGTGAACCTAACCTCACTCTGATCTGAAAGACGTCAGAAAGAATAATTGGTTTAAATTTAGTCCATTAACAACTCCTTTCCAGTGTAAAATCTAGAAAAAAATCCCGATTTAAGGAAAAACCGATTTTGAGCTTTTTCTCGACTGGAAAATGGCAAAGGATTATTTCACTTAAAGTTTTCGAATCCTCGTTTTCCAGATTCTACAGCCAAAAGACTACCACTACTGTACGTTAGTAGGCTCGCAGAAGCCTGTGTAGAACTTTTTCCCAATCTCTATAGTTAGTTAAAATGTCCTTTCTGGAGTGTGAGGCCATGGAAAAAAATTTGAAAAGGTCTTGACGCGAAAAGCCATTCATTATCATTTTCAGTCAGAGCGCTGTCTTTGGAAACCCCAGAGAAGGTGCGTGAAAAATAAAACTTGAGGTTCGAAAAACCCACCGAAAGCTCTCCAACACCGTACAAATCCATTCAAATGATCGTCTCAAACAAAAATGCCTTCAAAAGACACGTTTTCCAAACGTGACGATTTGTCTATTTTCCGCCATTTTTCGGTGTTTCCCAAGTAGTTTTTTGAAAACCTGAACTTGGAAAAAACATAGGCGAAGTTGGAAGAAACCTTTTCAGGCCCTTTGAGAGTCCGTTATAGGTGCAAAAAATCCCCATTAATTGTTCCTAAACGGGTGGCAACGGTTTCCTTTTTACGTCCTTTTTCCATCCTTTCTTCGGCCTTCATACACCCTTTTCGGACCCTTTTGAGAAACACAAAATTTTTCGAATTGAGAATACTCTTTACCAGTGACTGTGTATGAACCAAAATGTGCGACAGTAATGCAATCGGAAACAATCAATGACCGAGACTATGAACCTCTCTTGTAAGAACACTGAACAACGACTGAACTTGAACAAAGTCGTTTTGGCTACGCTACTGTAAGTATTGTTATTTTTGGTGTTTTTCAAGATTTTAACTAGAAAAGGCTGAGCTTGAACAAAGTCGTTCTGAGGTTTGAAACGGGAAAGAAGTGTCACACGTGGGATTCCCGTAGGCGTCGTCGTCGCTTTGAAGTGCCGGATTACCGGCAACGTCTTCGGCACACAGGAAACTACTTGAAACGAAAAGGTTTTTTTTTGTTTCTTTGGATTGGTTCCTGATTTTTTCTGGATTTTTTAAAAGAGGCTTGTTTTGATGGAAGAAAACACAAATATACGAAAAAGTAAGCCTTTTTGGCGTATAATTAGTCACAAGTTCGCTCCATGGATGAGCTGCTAACAATGTGGTTTTTTTGAAAACCGAGTTGATTATTAGAAAAAAATCCCGAAAAAGAACCCAAGTCGTCATTAGCGGAAAAATGAACGTCATTTGCGCTCCATGGACAAAATTTGCTATTTATCTGTATTTTTCTGGATTTGTTTTTTTGGATTTTTTTGAGGTTTTATGGTCAATAAAGGAGAAAAAATAATTTCAAGCAGCCAAATTAAAATTCGGCCAAAAATAAGCAAGATGTGCGCTCCTCGGAGAAACTTGATTCAAAGTTCTATTTTTGAGTAATATCTAGTTTTTCCTTTTTTTACCAGCATAATTCCAGTCAAATATTCTCAAAACTAACGAAAAAACCCTTACTACTTAATTTTTCAAGATTTGTCATAGAGCGCACATTTAAACAAATTTCAGCTCTTTCAAAATTATTGGCAGAAAATGTTGAGTTTGATACTTTCGGGTTGAAAAAAAAAAAAATTTTGTTTTCTTGGGTTGATTCAAAAAAAGGTGGTAGTTAAAAATACTTCTTTTTTCAGGTTCCCACAAAAAATTAATTGAAATTTGTGGGTTTTCGTACGCAATCGAAAAATGAGGAAATTCTTGGGAAAAGTAATATTTCCTGCACAATAAAAAATATAATGAATCGTTCCAAGTTTTGTATATTTTCTATGGACCTAATGAAAAAAATTTAGAAGTTTTTTTGAAATTCGCAAAAGAAATGGAATACAATTTTTTTTTAAAAACAGCTTTTGAAGATGATTTTTTTCCACAAAGTCAAAAAAATTAAAAAAAGTGTTCAAAGCCGCAAAAAAATCAGAAATCTTTGGAGAAATTCTTTTTATCACTTTTGACAGATCTCATGTAGATAAAAGCAAAGCGCTGCGGTCGCGATGCGGTTGCCTTGAAACGCGCCCGACCCGAAACGAGTTACGCTCTTTGGTATCGTAAATTAAAAACCAGCTGTATCCGCAAAACTTCGATTCATTTTAAATGCCGACAAAACTAACTAAATCCCCACCTATTCTACTCATTAACTAAAAAACTTGTTTCCATGAACTCAGTTCTCAAACCAAACTCAAGACCCTAAAGTTGTCACTATTTTCCGATTTTCTCAAGCTCTCGAGGCTCCGCCCCCTTTCTCAGCGACAACCATAAAAGGCGCTACCGTCGCCGAACCTTCAACTTTTCCGAATCTTTTCCCATTTCAACCCATTTTTTCTTTTGTTCCGCCTGAATTCCACTGAGATTCGAGTCAATTTACCTTGGAAGTAGGAGGAAAAGGAACCTTCCTCGTTCGAAATTTCGTTTTTAGGTCAGACTAGATTTTCATCCGAGGCTTGAACTATTATTTTCGCTCATTTTGTCGCATTTTAATCAGAATATCAGATTTTCAAGCTTCATTTTTTTTGTTCTTGTTCAACCGAATTCTCTGCTCTGATCTTATCTGCCTACACCTACGCTATAAAAATCGCGATTCCTCTGACTTTTCTTGGATTCAACTTAACCAACCCAACAAAACCAACCAGCAGAGAATGCGACCGTTCGTGCTCCTCTGCTTGTTGGTGATAGCGGCGATGACGTCATTCGTCGACGCGTTTCCGGGTCTTCAGACGCAGTCGCGGTACCGCAAGAGTCAGCCACGTGAGTGACGTCATTTCTTAAGTTATAAAGTCAAAAGCTGGCGTCATAAAAAATAGTAATGACTCTAGCTTGTAAATATCTATCAGAGATAAATCATCCATAAATCATACATGATTTTTTAAACGGTTTTTTTTTCTAATGACATCATATTTTTTCGACGACAAATAGTCAGAAATTGACGTAATATATGAACTTCTTTATTCTTGAGCTCATCCTTACGAGAAATTCAAAAAAAAAAAGTTTCGAGGATTTGCTTTTTCATTCACGTGAAAGCGGCTTGAATTCGATTTTCAGTTAAAATGAGAAAGTTCTAGAATTTGAAAAATACTGTAATTTTTGCGCAGGGCTTGTTAGAATAAAAAATCCTTACTTATCCACCAACTTTCTGAAAAAATCGACACATATTTTCGCGCTTCATTTTTTCAATCTCAATTTTTTTTGCTTGCTGGTGCTTCAAACTTATTTTTCTTTAGAAGCGCTTAATTTTTCTGAAAAATTCTTGACCCTTTAAAATTTGTGATAGACTAGCTGCCACACAGGGAAGTTCTATTTACAAAAAAACTCATTTCATCATAAAATTTGACAAAAAGAAAAAAAGTATTTTGTTAAAAAAAGAAGGTACAAAACTCAAAAAGTTTACTAGTTTGTACTTACAAATAAGTTATCAAGTCTGTCCGAAAAATTCTCACTAAAAATTATTACAGCAGATAAAAATAAATTTCAAAAAGGTCTCGAGGCGAAGAGCGAGTTATACCATAAGCTTAGTCCTTTCGGCCTCTAGAAACTCTTTTTGAACTTCTTGAATTCTTAAGCTACATTTATCAATAGTATCCGAAAACCAGCTTGAAGAATTATTTTCTTTCACTCCTTTTCGAATGTGAACCGCCCAAAATCATCATTGTTTCAAGCGAAAAAGGTTATGAAAGCACCCACGAAAAACTACTCCTTATTCGGAAAATAATCACCGTTTTTTTTTTCGAAATTCTGAATTTATTTACAGAAGACGCCAACATTCAGCCGTTCATTCGGTTCCGCAAATCGCTGCGTCCCGTTTCCTGGAACAACGACGAGATTTTATACGAAGCGTCGCAATTTTAAGAAGACAAATCAATAACTTTATAATCAATATATTCAATACACTTGAATACGTGGAATACCATACTTGTTGAACAGAGAAAAAAAAACGGCCGTGCGGAGGGACAAAAAAATGGCGAGAAACAATTTTTAGAATGCAAATTTGTTGTATTTTTCCCCTTGTTTTGAAATTTCCTAGACATTTTATGGTTTTAAGCGAACAGAAGAAGTTTAAGAGAAAGTGCGGAGGAATGTGTGAGATCCTGGAATAAATATTCTTTTTGTTTCTTTTTTGTTCGAAACAGCACAAAAACTGTTTGAAGAAATATTATAATCGAACGAATTCAGTTTTCAATCAAAAAATTGGTAGAACTCAACGAATTTTCAATGAAAAAATTACGCGAAAAATGGTCGCATCAAAACGGAGCTTTTATTTGATTTCTCAAAGTTTTTGATTTGGTTCTCAACTTCTAATATACATCGTAATTGCGTTATTTTTTAACACATTGGTCAGCGATATGTTACCAAATACAAGATATTCTTCCCTAAAAAAAGCGCATTGATTTTACCAATAGTGCGACTACTTTTATACGATGGTACGACAAAATCTCAAGTCCGCAAATCTCGAGGACCGTAATCTTGTGTACGCAGATCTAAAGTCCCATAATCTTGGAAACCAAAATCTTGGAGACCAAAATCTTGGAAACCACAATCTTGGAAAGTAAAAATCAACGCTTTTGCGAATAGATTTTATCAGAAATTGTATTCGGTGATCCAAACGAGAGAATATAAGTAGATAAAGTGCAATAAAGAAGACTAAAAAGGAAGATTTTTGCTTTCCAAGGTTGTGGTTTCCAAGATTTTGGTCTCCAAGATTTTGGTTTCCAAGATTATGGGACTTTAGATCTGCGTATACAAGATTACGGTCCTCGAGATTTGCGGACTTGAGATTTTGTCGTACCATCTTTTATACACCCATTTCATTTTCTATTTTATATCACGATTCAAAGCCTCTCTAGAAGATGCTGTTGTTCCAAAAATGCAACTGGTTCAGAAGCGGGCCGACGGACGGGTATTGCGGTCCCATCCCGCCGTGCAATATAATCACAAGGATTCATCGCCCGAGCTCATCATTTTCAGTTGCAGATCAAGTATTGACCCTTACTGATGACAAAGAACGACGCCGCGCTGAGTGCAGCCCTCGTTTCTCTGCGCCTGACTCGCGCCGACTTGCGCGCCGCACTATCTCTCCGCATACGGCGAGGTCGTTTTCCTTTGGAAACACTTCGTTTTTAGAACGAAGAAGAATAATTTAAACCATTCAAGGGTTTTTCATGCACTCGAAGAAAGACTTTGAGATTTTTCGAGAGCTAAAAAGAAAATTGGAATAAAACTGACTTGTTTACGTTAACGTTTCATTGATTTTATGATAGATTTTCAAGCTCTGTTCATTATTTTTTTTCAATTCTAATACATCTCAAGAAATAAAAGAACTGTTAGTAGGAGTTTGAAACAGAAAAATATATCATTAACATACTTTTCTTTTTTTTTTCTCGACGAAAACTAAACTTTGAGCTTTTTTCGAATAAGTAAAAAAAACAGGTTTGTAACTCACCTGCCCTGGAACTAAAGAAGGAAATCTCTCCTGGTGTTCAGCTGATCCGTTCCGAAAAAGTTTCTTTCAAAGCGCTCCAGTGAATATGCTGAAAACTTCAATTTTAATAAAAATTTAGCTACTCAAAAAAAAAGACCAAAGGCACTGATAAAAGATTATTTAAAAAAATCCTTGCAGAAGTGTTCTACAAACAATAAACCAAAAAAAAAAACTCAAAGAAAATAAAAGAAATATTAAAACTAATGAAAATAAATTTTTAGAAAATCTTTCAAAAATTGAACCATGAACTAACGCGTCGAAGTGCGTGCAGAAGTTCAACGAACTGTAAAGCAAAATATCATTTTAACACTCTTTTTCACATCTTTCTAAACACGGTGTTCCGCGCAATGAAAAAAATGCGAAATTTTTGGGTCCCAGCGGCATATTATCCGTGGCGCATTATTGCGCCCTTCTCATGGTTCCTGATGCAAAAAAATTGAATTTCTTCACTTTTTTTCCTTGATTTTTTTACTTTTTTTCTATTTCTTGCATTTATGTGATCCGCCTCTCTATGGGTACATCTTGTGGAGCTTTTAAATTTCGCATTTTTTTCTAAACCGGTTTCAGATCTTTAACTTTTTCAAAAAGAGCTGAAGATTTTTTTCTAAAAAGTCCTAATTTTTTTCAAAAATTTTTGAAATCTGTTTCGCGACATGAAAAAGAGTCATTCTATTTTGGGAACTATAGTTTTTAATTTAATCAGTTAATAATAAAAAAAGTTATTATCCAGTTCCTTTGACGTAGTTTAAAACCGGTTTCGTGTAAATTAGAGCCAAATTGAATTTGCTGATGCAGTTTAATGATTTTGATATATGAATCATCTAAATTATATATTTTTTTTCTAGTTTTTTGATGGTTTTTCGGATTTAAACAAAAATTTCGCCATACGAGGTTTTTTTTAAAATTTCTGCTTTCTATCCATTATTTGTTTTTCTGAAACTAGGTTTTCGAGGTATATAAAATGTTTTTTTTTCATTTGCTCCTCGAATTTTCCTCATTTCAATATTTTTCGTATTTATAAATGCTTATTCAATGGGAGCTGCTTCACCTTCATATTATTTTTTGTTTTTACTTTGTAATCAGTAATTTAGAGTTTTCCCCTCTTGAAATCGTTCCTAAATGTTTTTTAACGTAAGTGAATGTTTATTTCACATCATATTCTTCAAACTGACAAATTTCGAACATTTCAGGAGCTATTATCCTGAAATCGCAAATTCTAAAATTGAAAAAAAAAACATTTTGAGTATGCGATATTGCGTCTCGGTGTGCTTACACCCTAAGCATCATAATTTACGAAAAGTCTTGACCTTGCGTAATAAAAAAAACACCGTGTAAACTTTGTTTTGTTTATCAGCAGGACATCTTGAAGCAATCAGGCGTTTGTCGAAAACTTTGAGGAACGGCCGGCGGGCTGTTACAACAAGAGAGACATCGGATCTTATCCGATCTCCCAAGCCTTTCGATACATTTTCACTTGTAACTTATTTGCGTAGCTCTTTTTTATTTCATTTCATGTTTACCTCATATCAAGTGGATCTTAACCGTTGTTATAAGTTGAAATCGCTCTAAATCATCCTACTTTGTGTTTAAAGAAGGTTTTTTTATACTGATATTTTCTATTCTTCTTCTCATCACACACGATATTCTTTCTGAATTTCCTTTTTTGTCAAGAAATACCGTCATTTATTGGAAAATGTTTTGGCGATCATTTGGAGCTTTCTGATTTTTCAGTTCGGTTAAACTATCACCTCAACTGTACTCTCGTAAGTTTCGGCAAGTACTAAACACGGATTCTTTTCGATGATTATCTCCAAAAAAGGGCCGCAAAAGATCGCAAAACTTTGATTGTGGTCCCAAGAGGCTGTGGCAAAACTCTGGCAAAACGGCCTCAAAATTGGCTTCCCTTCCCAAACTTGTAAATACGTTAACTTTTCTTTCGGTTTTTTGTCCAACTTCTTTTTTCTTTCCTTCTTTTTTCCGTCTGTCGGGCCGCAGCGCGCAATTAAATATTTATTGGGAATTGCGGAGCGCTTAAACGTTTCCACACGTCGTTCCATTCTGTTTTCTAACGTTCTAGTAATTTTTAGTAAAATTGAAATTGTGAAAAAAAAGAAACAGGTGGAGGGGATTGAACCTAGGTGCTGCGCGCGGAAGACAATGTTGTTACCAGCTGAGCTTACTTCAAGAGATGCAGCGGGCTCTTCTTGTCGGCCTAGACCTCGCTTTTCTGAATTCCGCGTTGTGAGGAAAAGCTCATGAATTCTAGATCAAAGAAAAACCGCTTTCATTTCAAAGTTTGGAAATTTCATAATTAAAAATTTATTTGAACGTCTCGAGATCATCAGATTCATTTGAAAAGCTCGAACTTTCTCATTTCACTTTTTTTCATTTTTTTTTTCTCATTTCGTCTCAAATCTTACTCTTAATTGAGATTTTTTGGGCCAGTATGTTTGCCTTAAACCAAAGTGTTGAATTGCCGTCGACACACACACACACACGTCGTCTATAATTTGCCCCTTTTGCGTCGGAACGACCGAAAAATTTCCCACGAGCCGGCTTTTTTATTCGTTTTCCGGCTGTTTTCAAGGATTTCCGAGTTACATTTTTTTTTTTTTGGGAATATCAACTTATATAATCGAACAGAAAGTAGAAGTTTCGGAAGATTTTTTCGTTCCGTGCCTTGAATTTCACACTGTCAATTTAAGAATGAGACATCTATTTTGATATACTTGCTATTAAGTTTCTCGTCGAAAATTTTTTCAAGGGAACCAAACCGATAAGTTCAACTTCGAGGAGGTCCAAATCGAAACATTGATGGTTTATTTTCATTTCGCTCAAGAAAAGCTAAAAATCCAGGCAACTGAAGTTTTTAAATAATTTCTAAAGGCTTTTATGAGAATCTTACCGAAAGCTCAGACTTTTAAAGCATTCTGTGACCTTTCTAAGCCTCTCAGGAAATTTTTTCGAGCTTCTAAAACTACCAGTGAACACTATAAGGTCTGAGTAGAATTTCTAGCTTCTCCTCTTCCAGGATTTTTTGGGTGTGCAAACAGAGGTCGGAAAAAAGGCGGAAGAAGGAGAAGAAGAAGATGCTGGACGGATGTAAAAGATGTATGGATTATAATTGGATAGGCACCGAAAACGGCGGGGGAGAAAATCCGCCTTTTCCTCGGATATCCGGCCGACGTTTATGGCCTTCCTCGGCCAGGCTTTTCCTTCTATTCGCCATATTTCTTCTTTTCTCCCAAACTGAAACCAACACTTTTTGTCTTGTTTTGGACTTTTTCGCATTTTTCTCATTTCTCTGCGGTTTTTCTGCTCTACTTGTTTCTAGGAATTGAATAAGAAAAAGCCTCAAAAAGCGAAAAATTTACGGTCAGTAGCTAATTTTTTCTGAAAAATATCTTCTGCGTGTTTTTTTGGCGATTATTAAGCTTTAATTGAGTTCTACTGACAAATTTCGAAGAAAAAAATCTTGAAGTTATTCCAAGCTGAAATTGCCCTACAAGACCGTTTCTGGGACGGAATTTTAGGGCTCGTCAACTTTTCCTCGTTAATTTCGAAGAAAGTAGACTATTCTGCAATTTTTACTTTTCTGTACATCGAGAAAAAAAACCAATTTTTTTCATATTTTTTCCAGATTGAAACGACTTGGAAATTCTTCTATCTTATATTCAACACCATGAAATGTAAGTTTATTTTCTGTCTCATTTTCCTTTTATTAGCCTAAAAATGTTAAAACAATCGCCACACCTTGTTGGATTTCATTCCAAACAAAATTTATTAAAAAAAGGAAGAAAAAAAGAGCATTCTCACCCAGCGAAGCTACCACAATTGCTCTACCAAATCTGAAAAATTCTCTGGAAAGCCCAAGTTTTTTTTTTCGTTCAGAGGAAAATTCAAAAAGTTTATTAGATTTTATGATTGGGAATTTTCAAATTCAGCCTGAAATTTACTAGATAAAAGATCCTGAAAGGTTGAACCTCAAGATCCTTTCAATACTGTCATTCTCGAGATTTGAAATTGAGACTTTCAAAATCATCATGAGGTCCATCAAGGAGTATTTTGTTTTCAGAAAGGTAAAAGTGAAATTGCCTTTTTGCAATTTTCGGAGCTTCTAGCTCCATTCTGAGCTCCTAACCTTCTAACTTTCTCAGGAGAGAGCTTCGAAGATGACTACTTCGTGTCCTCCGCACTGGGCAGGCCCGGCCTGTGACTGGCCCCTCTGCGTCAACGGCAAGGCCGACGCGGCGACTCGCAAGTGTGTCTGCCGCGACTTCTTCGCCCAGCCGTTCTGCATCTCCTGTGCACCTGGTTGAAATCTTTCACGTCATCTTTGTTAACTGTTTCTTCAGGATATTGGGGTGAGAAAGTGCGACCGAGTGCCGTTGTCAAGTCTGTCGAGCTTGGAACAGGCTCGGCTAGCCGTTCCTCCCGTCGTCACCCACGTCATCCTCGTCGTTCTCGTCATTCTGGCCGTTTTCATCGTTGTGTGTCTGGCTGAGAGGTCGGCTCTTTTACTTTTTGATACAGTAGCTTGTCTGCGCTCTCCTGATATTTTTATCTCTCTCATAAGCTAAAGGAAAAGTCAGAAGTCGAAACGGCTCGAAAACTCTGATTTCTCTGATCTCTCTTTATCTCTCGTATGAACTTCCCGGAGAGGGAGAAGAGAGCACAGAGAAGACAGAATGCCTCAGCTCTCAAGATTCCAAGTTAAAGAAGCTGGCAAAGACGGGACTAGAACCCCTTTCATGACGTCAATAAAACTATTTCACTAATGACGTCATAGAATTGCTAACCAATGACGTCATTATCACTATCATGACATCATTTCATTCCAGAATCCGCCGCCAAATTCGAAAAAAGACGCCACCGCCATACGCAGAAGTCGTCAAGGACTTACCGCCGCCTTATGAAGCTTGAATTTTTTTTTAAGAAACGGCAATTTCCCAACGGGTTCATTCACTTTCTAATCGCTCTTTTTCAAATTTTTTATTGCAAAAAATGAAGTTTTCACAGTTTCGGTTATTTACAGACATTTCAGGTACACGTAGAACAAGGTTTTCAAAAAGTGGGAACTTGGAAATAAAAACATAACAAAGAAGGGTAACAATCGCTCGATTTCGTTGAACAAGAAAGTTCAGATCAATTTTTTCAAAAGTCGCAAAATTTTCGGCAACCTATTCATTCTTGAATTACTCGCTCTACACCAGTTTTTCCGTCGGTTACGGTAATCTTCGGCGGTGGCGCTTGCGGTTCAGTCATTCTTTGCGGATCGAAGGACTCCTGGAAATTGGAGGTTTTAGTGAAAGTAAGAAGAAAAAAGATTAAAATCACGGCGAAACAAATAGGAAAGCCAGAGTGGTCCCTATAGAGATTAAGGGAAACACCAGCCCTATAGTTAGGGGACCGCAGAGCCACGCCCACTTCGCTGTTCAAAAAAACTTCGTCATTTTCGTTGCATTTTTGGTTCTTTTTTTATATTTTAAAAACAGTTTTCTTGTACCGATTTGAGAAAAAAATTGGGGAAACATACAATCGGCTATGCTTAACAATCCTACATAAAAAGAAAAACACTGAAAAAAATGAGAAATATGAATTTATGACGACAGTTTTTTTAAAAACGCATTTGTGGCCGAAAAACGGATAAAAAAATCCCGTTTTTTTCTTGAAAGTTTCTGGGCAACTTTTTTTATTCTTGAATATCATAAAGCAACTAAAAAAACGCATATTCTGACAAAAAAATAAAAAAATTCTATGGTTGGCCTCAAAAAAATAACGCAATTTGAAAAATCACGATTTTCGAAATTCCTTTTTCGAAAAAAACGCAATCGATAATTACTGATTATATTTTTTTAAACGGTTGTTTGCAGTTGTTTGCAAATTTTAAAAAAATAGAAAAACTAAGTTTTTTTCATCGATTATATAGTTTATATGAAAGCTTGAAATTTCCGTTTTTTTGTAACGCTTCGAAAAACGGCCCAAAGCGTTCTGGGCAAGTTTTTTTATTTCATAATATCAAACATTAGACATTTCTCTACAACATATCAAAAAATAAAAAAATTCCTAGGATGGCCCGAAAAGTATGGTTAATTTAAACGCTCGAAAGTTATTTTTAAAACTGCGCGTCGCTGGAAATCTGCAGACACCGCGAAGGCCACGAAATTTTTCGAAAGCGTGAAGAAGGTTTTTTTTTAACTATTTATGTATTCTATTCAAGTTTTCTCATTTTATTGTGGCTTTATAGTTGCTTTTTACTCATTTCATAATTGGAATCTTTTTCCTATATCATTATATCCATTATAGCAGCGAGAAAAAGTATTAAATTTCGCTTTTACTCAACTTTTTTTGAATTTTTTTCAGAATGTCAAGTAAAGAGTTCTAAAAAATTGTTTACGTACACTCCATGTAGACGCACAAACTTTAGAGAAAAAAATAAAAAGAAGTAGAAAGTCAAAAAGTAAAAAAACGTTTACGCCCTTTTTTAAAAAAACTCTCTGAAAAAAAGGACTTGGTGATTATTTACATATTTTTTTCAGTAAATTTCTTAGTAGACTGTTACATTTTCAATTCGGTTTAATGCTGTTAGTCCTTCGCAGAGGTCTATTTTGTCGGTTATTTTCTTTTTTTACGAAATGCATTGAAACCTTCTTCAAAACTTGCTTTTTCAGCAGCGTGAGTGCTTGAAGAGTAGGCTGATATTGAAAAAGAGCAATATTCAATATGAAAAACTCTAATATTTCATTTAAAAACTTCTAAAAAAACACAAATAAATATGTTTTTCGAAACGTCTCCTGCGTGAATTAACGCACAGCAAGGAGCGCGCGGCATCTATAAACACGCCCCTTTTTCCTGCGACCCTGACGAAAGTTTCTACACAAAAAGTGGTTCCCCGATTTCGCCACTTTTTTTGCTTATAACTTTTTTCATTTTTTTCATATTTTTTTCTTTTCTGTTTTCGCAGTTAGCTCTCGATTGCCATCAGCTTTCTTTTCATATAGGTTTCAACTTTATATCACTGACTTTGGAAATTGGCCTGCGGTCCCTACCTATAGTGGACAAAAAAAGTGCCCCCTGCCGGGATAAAGTTAAGGTCGTCCCTAAAGGGGTTGAAAGTCTGACCACTAAGCCCCTAAAGCTTAAACTTCTATAAGGGGCCGCTAACTAACTCTTAGAGGGGCCACTTTTGCAAGCTTCATCAAGGGCCCCTAAAGGGGAGGTAGAGGGATCTCTAGAGGAGAACTTGCAACAGACCCCGAGTTTGCTCCTATAGGGATCACTTTGTAGTTCATAAGTCATTTTCGAAATGCAGACTCACTCTATCAAAATGCAGTTCAACACGTTCTGACCATGGTGAGATAAAAATGTGTAAAAAAGAGTCAGCCGATTTCAAATTTTACACTGATCCTCTATAGGTCAAACTCCCAAATTTCAAAAATCAATTCTTTCCCGTTCGGTTGAATTCTTGCTTAACTCCGGATCAGAGTCTACTCGTTAAAGTGGATTTTCATTTCTCGTTATTTTACTGCATTTTTTCTGGTATTTAATCTATTTATACTGTATGAAGTGGGTTTACGGTATGTTTTATACCTATTATAATTATTGTTACCTGCTGCTTAGAGGAACGACAGTCTCGGACGCAGGCGAAGAGCATGATGAGGAGGATGATGAAAAGGAGCACGACAGGACCTTTGTGCTCCCAGTTGGCCGACACAAATTCATCCCAAAACATCTCTACGAAGCAGAGCGATTTGACGGAATCGAGAGGAAATATACAAACGAATGCTGTAATACAATACCATGATTCGATGGTCTCATCGCTTTTTTTCGAGAGATATCATGTGTTGCAGCGGAGTTTCGTACAAAAAAAAAGTGATCAATGAGAATATAGCTTCAAAAAAGCTTGAAACTTTTTCATTTCTCTGCGCTCTCTCAACTTCACGTGCTTTCTCGAGAATCTATGACCTCGAAGGTGAGAGAAAAGAGAACGCAGAGAGGTCAGACTGTTTCAAGTGGAGGCGAATTGGCTGTGGAAGGGGAATGGAATGATAAGATTCAGTGGAAATTCGAAAAAAACAAACTGAAGATTTTTTTCGAATCGAAAAACAATACTTTTTTTGATTTCAGTTAAAAAAAGACTAATCACAGAATTCAAACAAAGATATTTTCTTAACTAATGAAAACATGAACTTCTCAACATTTCAGTTGAAAAAGACGCAAGAAGTGTGCAATAAACCTTCGCAAGGAGAATTTACGATGGGAACATTGCTGATTTTATGGGAAAATTGAGTCTTTTTCGGAAAAGAGACAAGGGGGTGGATCAATAATTCTGACAGAAAGTTAAAAATCACCTTCAAAGTCGTTCGGTTGGATCCAAGAAAGCTGAGACGGGAGTGGAAAAAATGAAAAGAAGAGCGAAAACACGAGGACAAAGGACGGCCAAGAAAGTGCGGCTATTTCAACAAATGAGTCATCGGACAAGGTGGAGCTCCGAGGGTCCATCTAATATACCGAGATTTTAAGGTGGAAAGGGTACAAAAAAAACACCTTTTTTTCAATGAGTCTGAAGCTTACTAGGAGGAAGAAATAGCTTTTTTTATAATTTTTTTTTTCTGCAAACTCTGAAGCTTCATAAACCGAAACCAAGACCTATGACAAAAATATGTTCCTGAAATCAGAAAGTCCTAAAGAGTACACTTTTAGAAAAAATACAAAAAAGTTCAACTGGAGAAAAAAAGCATTCTCTAGTCAGTGGCTACTCAAGCAGCTCCTCAATGATTTCTTGAATAGGACAATACAGTGACCACTAAAACCTCGAAGCCCTAAAAAGACTACTAAAATGTTTCCCAGGCTTACATGAAAATTTATGAAAGTCCTCAGACAAGAAACGTCATTTTCAGACTTGGAAGGATGACTTGATTTTTGAAAAAATCAAAAAAAAATACGAGAACTTGAAACCTTCAAACTAACCAGCTGATATAAATTAATCATATAATAAACAAAATAAAAACAAGCTACGTATTGCCTGAATTCATATTATTCGAAAATAAAAAGCTAGTAGGTCAAAAAGTACAAGAGAAACTATGATACTCCCTGAAAATCCGATTTCAAGTTTGAAAAAATATTTTTTTGTTTAAACCTATACAATTCACTTAATTTTTAACGTTTGGACATAGATAATGATAAAAGAAAGTTGGAAAGTAGAGAAGAAATCGATATAACGACTTTTTTCATTTGAAAGCACCCGTCAGGTGATATTTAGTAACTGGAGTTCCCATTAAAATGAGAAAATTGAGTGGTTTTTTGAACACTGATGCTTTAATGGGAATAAAGACCCCTTATAAATGTAGGCTACTTATCTTATTCCGAATAACTTATCGTTTCTTAAAAATGAACAGATGAAAAGTGAAAAAGAAGTGAAAGCTGACGAAAAATGGCTAGGCAAATGAGAAGGAAACTGAAAAAAACCGGAAATTTGGAGGAAGATAAAGGGACAGGTTAATCAAAATAACCTTGAACTTGTGAAATAATATTATTACAAACGAGCTTTTGATACCTCGCCACCCATCAAGATGTCGTGGGACGACAGTTGGACAAAAAGGCCCAAAAAAAGAAGAAGAGAAGAAGAAAAGTCCGTGCTCGGACACTCTCGAGGCGAAAATAAAATCAACAAAAAACAGCCGTCGGAGGAAAAACAGAACAAAGACGGGCCTATTACGATGGATTGCAGCTTCCAGCGTTGGAAAATGGAAAGAAAAAATAATTATAATGAAAGTTAGAGCTCAAAAACGTATAATTTTGTACGATGTTGTGTTGAAAAAAACATTTTAAATATCATTTTTATCGATGTTCGAAACTTTCTGATTCATTTTTGATTCCTTCGAAATAATGTTTTATCCATCGTTCACCCTGGGCTTTGCGCAATTTTCAAAAGGGACTCGTTGTTAAAAAATGAGCGGTTGGAACGCCACGCCGCCACAAAATGACCACAGTCCAACCAAAACCATTCGTCTTTCACGCTACACATCGATCCAGCTCTTTGTTACAAACCTATTGCTCACATTGGCAGTTTTTCTATCTTTTTCTGCTTGAAATAAAAAGTCACCTGAAAAGATACTTTTCTTTAAATTGTGTTACGGTGAGAGGAGTGTGCGCGCGGACGTCACGACCTCTGCATTTTAAATAACGCGCAAAAAGTTTTTATGTTTTGCCCTTTTTAGGCCCTTTTGTTTTACTACCGTTTTCAAGTAATTTTTTATTTAATACCAGCAAAGGATTTCTAAATTCAAGAGTTATCCTTTAAACACCTCATCAAGCTTTTGTGTAATAGAGAAAGTCTGTTTTAAAGTCGTTTTTTTGAAAAAGTTCCAAATGGTTTTTTTAAAATTATGGGAAAAACGTTTCAAAAAAACTTTATAAAAAAATTATTGTTTGAAAACATTATTACGATTCAGCAGTATATTGCATGAGCAAGCGCTTGATTGTGGATGGCTGTGTTAGTTCTCCCTCGCCTGTGTTTATTATTATTATTATTTTGAGAACTCTAAAGTGCGTACAGTTTTCTGTTGTGACGGTCGCAAGCGCCATAAACTCGCCAGACGACCGTCGCAAAGGGGCAAAGGTCGCTCTGAGTGACGAGTGGCCGTTGCGAGAACGGCCTTCTCATCTGTTGGCCAGATATCTGCGCGCTCTTTTTTGTGTAATATTGGCAAGGTTTTCTTTACTGCTCGGTATTTTCAAAAAACAATTTGCGGTTTTGTTTGTAACGCCTAAGAGGCTCTTAAATTTTTTTTAAAATGACTCTTATAACTTCAGATAAGTTTTTTTCAATCACCTAATGCTTTTTTTCTAAAAAAATGGGTTTAATATATGCTTAACTTCAATCCTTTTCTACTTTGATTCGTTTGAAAATTTGTCAATTTAATTTTGAGGCGAGCTTCGCTTCCGAAGAAAAATTCTATAAAATTTTGAAAACAATAGCCATTTTTTTCATGTTATTTTGAGGACTGAGTAAATGTAAATGTTAAAAAAATGTTATTTTAGGTCCCATAATACTTATTCACTTTGAAATAACCCCGTGAAGATCTTCAAACTGACAATAATGCCTATTTTTGAACGAGAAAGAAACCCATTTTTTCAAATTTTTATTGACTTTTCACGGAACTTTCTTCTCAAAGAGTTAACAGAAACCTTGATGGAGCTGTCAAATTGTTGACCTTTCTCATGATATTTTTTCTCCCTCAAATCAAAGTATATTCAAACGGGAACCGCTGAATACCCCTTTTGATTGTGTGTGTATAAACGCAAACCTTTCCGTTTTTGGGCCGATGATTCAAACCTTATCGTCCGTATTTGTATTGGCGGACGTCCCATAGCAGTTTCATGTGTGAATTGCTTTCACCTTAAAGGTATTCATTGCCGTGGAAACGACCATTCAATCGGTTTCTCTGCTCTCCTCTGTGCATAAAAGCAGGAAGTGTTCTCATTTTTCGAGTAATGCCACGAGCGTCGCTCTCCTTTTCCATGTCTTTTTGGCCAAAGGATAGTCTTTCAAAATGCCTTGAGGCCACCTTTTTTCTTTCAAGGCGCAATGGGATAATTTTCATAAAATTCCGTTTTCAATTTTTTTTTTCTGGGTTACTTTTGCATGTCCAAAAAAGGAGTTTGCACAGACTGATTATTTTTTAAACTTTTTTCCAAGATTTTGTGAGAAAAAAATTCTTTAAAAACTGACTTTTTCCGATTTAAAGTTATTTTCGGGCTCTCAGAAGTTTGATTAACCAGCCCTAAATGAAAAAAATTAAACTCGAAAAAAAGAGATTTTCTATAAAAAAAGTTCTGCAACACCGTCAATGAAAAAAAGCCACAGAAATTTGAATAGGGTTTTTTTCTGATTTTTTCAAAAGCTTTCGTGACAACAGTAAAAAACATTCAATGAATTCTTTGAATGGAATCCGATATTTTGGGTTATTTCGGTTGTTTTATCACCGCAATGAACACTTCACTACGCGTTTTTTGAAACCGGTTTGGTTCAGGACGCCATCAAAGAAGTTGTAAAAGACGAACAGTTCGAATCGTGTCATCCAGTTACAAGCTCCAACTTTTTATTCTTAGAATTTTTTGAAATGTCAACCCAGTGCAAAACTTTAGCTTTTGATTTTTTAAAAAATTCTTTTGGCCTTTTTTTTCTCCGAAACGTCCCCCCAAGCACTCATTATCTTTGATGATGCTGTTCCACGCAACATCTTATCGCTTAACTATGCCGTTTTATCGTCCGAATGGCATGCATTGATAATTTTGACTCACTATGTCTACTCCCCGCTTTTCAATGACGTCTTTGAAGTGGTCTGACTTTTTTTGTAGTTTTGTGTGTTTAAAATGGGAAAAAAAAGTCTAGAAAGTGGTTTCACATTCCCTTCCCTAAGAAGAAATTTTTTCAGGTTTATCGATTCGAAAAATTGCATTAGAATAATTAAGTGAAGTTTTTGAATTCACTCTCAGAAAAGTAAATATTTTCAAAAAGATAAATTATTGTTTACTCTCATTGTTTGGATATATTCGTCGGAGAGATGAAAGATTCGATTTTTTTCAATGCTCTATCCAACTAGCATGTGGAGGAATCTTCTCTGTTAAAAAAATCAACAAAGATAAGCTAGAAAATGTATGCCTTCACTCGAAAAAATGAAATTTTATGTGCCCAAATTCAGACGTTTATCACACTGGAAAATTGAATACAATGTCTTTCTCAAAAACCCGTTGAAAAAAAAAAATACAAAATGTTAGCGGTAGGAAAGTCTTCGTTGGGGTCAGTGAAACCTTTGATCTTCTTCATTTTTACTCTTTTTCGGCGGTTTTTCTCTTTTTAGCCAGATTTTTAGAGTGAATTCATACAAGATACATTGAAAGATGTGTGAGAGCGTTTCCGAGAAAAATCACGCCATCGGGATCCCCGCGGCGTGGAAAGAAAGAAAGAAACTTCGATCGGGATCGCGGCTTGTTTTCTTGATAACGTAAGTGATTGCGCAGAAATCAGCAGTTTTTCGGTTTCTGCCTGGACGAATTCTCGTTCTTCTCGCTGCAATTGTGGCTTTCCAGACTAAATTATCAGTTTCAAATGCACTTTTTTCGAAATTTCACTCGTTGCCATGGGTTTTCGGCTGTTTCGTCTGTTTGAGGAGAAAATTTGGTTGTGGTGACATTTCCTTCTTGAAGTTCTCAATTTTCGTCTTTCCCTAGAAGTTGACACATAAGAAAAGGTTATTTTTTCAGCTGCTCTCGTATTTCGATCATTTTTTTTGGAATCTTTGAGGCGGTGACCTTTTCTTTTATCGAATGTGGTTCAAATGCTGAAATTTCGAGACTTCGGAATTTTTTCCGGCCTCTTTTCTTGGAAAAATGACATTTCTGTTTGAAAGGGGCGATATTTCAGCTGTTCTTACTTCGGAATAATTTTTTTTTCTCGGTATTTTCCAGACTTAATTTCATGGCTCTGTGCATATTCAAATTGGAAAATTGTTAACTTTTTCACCTGTTCGTTTAGTTTGAGTAGTTATTTTTTTAGAAGTTTCTCGACTCTAAACTTTTTTTAAAATGATAAGCTCTTTTTTTGAAGTCCTTAATGTCTCAACTTGTTTTATGGGCGGGGGCTGTAATTTAGCTTGAAGAGGACTTTCTCAGCTTCCTATTTTTTTCTTAAAAATAATAACGGCTTCAAGGGCCTTTTTCTCAAACTGGGATTTTTTTAATATGCTATTGTTTAGTCATAATCAATTATTCACACAACTCTAGCCAACATAATAAACATTGACCAAGTACGCTTTCTTCAAGCCAAATCGCCTGATAATTCGATTTGCCACGGCTAAAGAATTCCGTGAAGCGCATTTTTCTTGGATCGAAGAAACACGTCGCGTGGGGATCTGGTCTAGTTGCCGAAGACGGCGCCGTCGTAACCGCTTCTTTTCCACCTGATTGCGGGAGGCTATTGTCTGATTGTTGGGCAAAAAAGACGAGGAGGAGAAAAAACTCGAAATCCAACCTGCCATCGTCTTCTAACGGTTCGAACTTTTCTGGGAAGTTTTGGCTTGAATTTTTGTTTTTAAGCTTTGAAGTTAGCTTCAAAAAGCTTTTGACGTCTTTTTTAACTTGAAAACGCCTTTCCGGATTCGAAAAAAAGTATATCTGAAACTTAAAAAGAGGTTTGATTCGAAAAATTGTAAAATTTACCTTTTTATTATTTACGAGCAGAAATTAACTTACCAAGGCGAATTTTTGACCGGTTTTTTTTTGAAGTTTGGATCTCTAAATTTTTTCGAATTGAAATACAAAATAAAACAGTGAGAATCGATTGTGAATCGTATTTCGAAAAATCTCGGAGCATTATCTCAATTATCATTTAAGTTAGCAGAAAATCGGCTTTCTTTCCTCTTTTTACACAATTTTGCACCATTTTTGCAGCCTGAAAAGTAATAATTATGCGGAAAATGTCAAGAACTTTAATTATAGGTGTGATCCTCTTCTGAATTGTGACCCTCGTATCTCTTAAAAGCAGTAATTCGGTAGATTAGAGGCTTCTTTCCGCATTTCCCTGTAAAGTACAAGAGATGCTCGAGAATACGGTAAACTCGATAATTTCGGAGCTTCATCTTTCCGAAATTGAAATCTTCGTAGCTTCTGAAAATAGTAATTTTTAAGCCCTTTCTAGAAGTCTGAGGCTGTTTCAATGTTGTATTAGAGTGCGACTTGAGTGTAGTTTAGGTGCAAAGAAAACGAGTTTCTCTTTTTTTTCCTTTTTTTTGCAAAGATCACTAGGAATCGGTCGAATAGTGGTGGATTTATCAGAATTCCATGAAATTTGACGAATTTGTAGCGAGAAAATAAAATTGGAATCGGCTTTTTTTTCTTGAAAAAAATAAACTTTTCTCATTAAGTTTGGACTTCTTCATTGAATTTTTTTTTTCTGAACAGGTTTAAAGTTCATTCACGCCGCGGCCATTAAGTAGTCGTTTCGGAGAAGATTAGGCTATTTAAATCCATTTGATCTTTCCATTTCTTCAATTTTTCGTCAAGTCACGCCTATTTTTCCATGCGCCGACCGCAATTTGGCAGAACGTTTTTTTTTCAATTTTCAAAAATTTTGAGGATTTGCGGGGTTTATTGGGCTTTTTTTCTTGTTTCATTGTCGAATTTTTGAGAAAAGATTGTATATTTCGCTTGGCAGTGTTTTTATTTGTTTAGGGAAATTTTCGGCTTCATCCCAGAAAAAGGCTTTTTTTCAAGTCATGAATTAAGTTATGGGAAGTTTTGCAAAAATTTCTCGTATTTGATATATTTTTTGAAGATTTTATATATCTATTCTTCAATGATACATATTCTAAAATTTTCTCAGCTTTAATGAACCTTAAATTCATCTTTAATGGTCCATTCATAGCCCTTATCATTTTCTTTCTTTTTTATCTTTCTCCCGCATAATCTTTCCCTTGTTTAGATATGCCGCAGACTATTAAAACTGATAAGAAGTTGCAATTTTCGTCGTCTTTCTTGTTATCTCACAATTTTTGAGTTTACTCTCATTTTTTATTCAGCTTCCGAAGGTCGACGGACCAAATTTGGGGAACATTTGCCGATTGAACCCTTCGTTTTGTTGTTATATTTTTATTTTTCTATCAATTTTTCGTCGGAGGGTTCCAAATGGCTCAATATGACTACTGGCCGCGGTATGGGAATGAAAACTATTCACTTGTGAGTTTGATTAAACGAAATAATAGGAAAATGAGTGATTCTTTGTAGATTTTACCGTTAGAAGACTCTTTCGACCCGGTTTCCTCGACCCAATGGATGCAACGGAATTGGCTGCATTCCATCACGGCTTCCGTGGCTTATGTTGTACTCATTTTCGGTGGACAAAAGGTTCGTATTCTCATTTTTTTAAGGAAACAGTTTGACAACTCCTCACTTGTGTAAAATATTTTTTTGGAGAGATTTTATTTTTTTTTGTTTTTCAGAAAGAAAAAGTTTTTATTTAAAGTTTCGGTGAAAAATTTACTAAGACTGTGTCAACAGAACACTGCATTGCATTGAAATTTTAAATTTTTTTCGAAAAATAGGGCTTCTAATTCTTTTTTTAAAAGGGTCAGAAGATCGATTTTTAACGGATTTATCCAATTTTTAACACTACTAGGTTGCTTTTTTTTTTTTACTTTTTAGAATGTAGAAAAAGTTCGGAGAAAAAATGTCATATTTTGTCAATAGTTATATTATTTTTTTCGGATATCTTAATTTTGTAGCTAATGGAAAGCCGCAAGCCGTTCGCCTTGGATGGTCCGCTTTTTGTTTGGAACTCAGTACTGGCCATTTTTTCCATCCTCGGCTTTGTTCGGATGACGCCCGAGTGGCTCTGGAGCTGGCATGGCGATGGGTTTCAATTTTTTATTTTTTCAAACAAAAATTGGTATTTTTTTCAGAAATTCATTCACTTACTCGGTTTGTACGGCTTCGTTCGCCCAGGGCGTGACTGGATTTTGGACTGAGCAATTCGCCATGAGCAAGGTGAGAATGGGGGCTGATTGAACAATTTTTTCAAGACTTTTTAATTAAAAAATCGGGAGTGAAAATTGATGATTTGGCTTGTGAAAATGTATATTTGGTGATTCTACTAAGAAAAGGTTTTTTTGGGCCAAGGGCATGAAGAAAAGAAGTGATACACGTTTTCCTGGATTTGATATGCTTGAAAATTCAATTTAAAACGTATTTACGGCGAAATATTTTCGAAACTTGGGCCATGTGTAAAATGAAAAAGAAAAGTAAAAGTATTTCTGCTATCGAATAATTGATATCTTTTGACGAATTCTCGCTAAATTTTCTTAAATTTATGAGCTTGAACTTGGAAAAAACTATGAAACGGCTAGGGAAAGATATTATGTTGAGCAAAAAAAAGTTCTGAATTTTCAGTGAAAAAATATTTTTTAATTTGTATTTTCAGGTCGCCGAACTCATCGACACGGCCTTCATCGTTGTCCGAAAACGGCCACTCATCTTCCTTCACTGGTACCACCATGTGACCGTTTTGGTCTACACCTGGCACGCTTACAAGGATCACACAGCTTCCGGTCGGTTTTTGTTTTTCATTTTTTTCTTCATCAGCTGAATAGAAAAGAGCAAAATTTGAACAGTGAAATTTTATCTGAGAAGGTGGAGAACAAGGAAGTTTTCTGAAATCTCTGAAACTTGAAAACTGCTATAAAATAATTCTTTTTCTTATCTTTTTGAAAATTATGAGGTTATTTTTGCTTTACTCAGCTGACATGTGAGGTGTACTTTCGAGCGCCCTGATTTTAAAGCTCAATAATCCTTTTTATGGAAATTTTTCTCATGGTTAAGAGTAAGTTTTTTGTATTCTGTAGGCGTCCAGCTCGATTAGAAAATATAATAATTTGGAAATTTTCGAGTGAGTTGATCAAAACAGTTTAAAAACCGAAGTGTATAGTGTCTAAATGTCTTTATCTAAATATCATCTCTCCCATGACACAGCCTTTTCCATTTATATGATTTTTTCAGGCCGCTGGTTCATCTGGATGAACTACGGTGTCCACGCTCTGATGTACTCGTACTACGCCCTCCGCGCCTTGAAAATGCGTCTTCCCAAGCAAATCGCCATGATCGTCACGGTTCTCCAAATCTCCCAAATGGTCATGGGCGTCATCATCGGCGTGACTGTCTACCGTGTCAAGGTGAGAAAAATTGCCTGTAGTTATTTTTTCGGCTTAAAAAATCTTTTTGCGTCTATTTTAGTGTGTGCTCGAAGTGATCGAGATTCGTTTCGTGAAAATATTACGCTCGAAATTTTTCTTTTTTCGTTCGATAAAAATGGGAAAGCATCTTTTTGAATACATTTCGTGCGTATTGATTGGTTTAGTCAACAGGAAGCAAAATTCAAACGACGGTGACATCAAATTGGCGCCAAAAACGCATCGCGTCCGCTTTGCACACGAGGGTTCAAACCAAGAAAAACGGGTCATAATATTGCAAAGCTTCATCTGAAAATACAATAGAATTCTGTAATTTTTGAGCTCTAAAAATCGTCTTTATCGATTTCAGAGATTTAGAAAGTTCAAACAAAAGTTTCTTCAGGCTGCCGGCGGAGCTTGCCAACAAACGTACGAGAACCTGGCCCTCTGCTTCACCATCTACTTCTCCTACTTCTTGCTTTTCTGCAACTTCTTCTACCACGCCTACCTCAAGCGCAACAACCGTTATGCTCACCTCGAGGCGAAGAAAAAGAAAGAATCCGTCGTCGAACAGAAAGTTAGTTTTTCTTTCAACAAAGTTTTTTCAGCTCTTTTTCAAGAAAGATGGAAGATAGTCTTTACTTTGAGATAACTAATTTTCACTTCTTAATGTAACTCTGGTTTGAAGAAGGTTGTTCCTAAGCCGTTATCCTAATTTATTAGCCTAGCTTTTTCAGAAAGTTCAAGCGAATAATGTTAATTTTCAAGAGCACTTGACTGTCTCTAAATGTTTGGCCTAAATTTCGTATATAGGCAAAATTATCCGCTCGATTTATAGTTTTTGGTCATTTTTCCTCGTTACTATCGAAAGAAAGGCGCAGAAATCCTAATACTTCTTCCTGAAACTTTTTTTTTGTTCAAAATTAGCTCTATTCAATAAGAATTGTTCAATTCTCCTTCTAGGAACTGGGATCATTATCATTGTTTTACTGTCCTTTTCTTCTCCTGGAGAACAAAACTTTGCTTCCAGGACGAGCTCGAGCCCAAGGAGGACATCAACGCCAACATTCATCCGTCTCTTCTTGGCTCTACCACCAAGCGTCGTGTCCAGAAAGCTGACTAATCGAAAGATCTCTTCCAAAATCCATAATTTTCTTCGCTTTTTCGATCCAATCTTAACTGCTATGTGCAAATTGCTCTACGTGAACTTTTTTCGGAAAAAAAATTTTTTCAAAGTTTTCCGTACTTATCTCATAGTATCTAGCATTTTTGGTTCGTTTTTCTCGAGTATCTACAAATATCACTCTAATGCAATAACCCCATAGATTGTGCGTCTTTTTTTCTTCTTTAATTCTTGTTTGCATATTAGTCGGTTTTGTCGTCGTTGAAACTTCGCCTCGGATTTTCAGCTTGCCTCTCATTTTCTCTCTGTTATTTATGATGGAAAATATTTTTTATTCCCCTACCCAACCGGTTCTTTTTGTCTTTTGAACCATAATAAATTATTCAGCGTTTTTATGAAACTTTTTTTTTTAGGGCGTGTTATGCGAACGCTAACTAAGCGATTATCAGTTATGATAGAAAATTGTTCATTAGGCAAATAATTGATAATATTTCTCTATTGATAAAGGTTTCATCAGCGATAGTTTTTGGCTCTTTTTGATTAGTCATCAAATATCAAAAATTTAACGGGGAAAAGCAAACTGAAATTATAAAAAAATTGAAGTGTATTTTGAAAATTAAAAGTAAGGCTACCGAATCCAAAAAAAAAAAATAAGAAAAATTTGAAAGAGTCCGATTTTAGTCACAAACTGATATTTCATGTTGATTTTCATTTGTTAATAATTGCATTAGTCGACTAAAATCAGTTTTCGGGTCAAATTTCTAAATTTTTCCAAGTCTAGTTCGTTTTTTTGTCATTTCAAAGGGCGGGGCTTCTCTGCGCCATCCCTATCTCTCGAAGCCCCTCTCATGTTTACGTGCTATTTCCATGTTTCTCTGACCTCGCCGGTGAGGGAACAGAGAGACGCAGACACGCGAAGGGCGGACTATGAAAGTTCACTTTTTAAATAAATATTTTGATATATTTTTAGAAATGCAGTTTTCTTAAAGTTCAAGAAGAACTCCTAAAACTTTATTCCACTGAAATTATTTTCTCATTTATCCGGTTGAGTCACATCTTCTTTCGATCGCTTCTTTTCATTTATGAACGATTTAATTCGCTTCACGAGATCCTTTCTGAAACAAATCGATTATTTTTGATTTTCAAGTTCAAGAAATATGAAAATTCCCATGCAAGTTCAGTTATAGTTTGTTCCGCGCGTGATGGGCACTTTTTAAAAGAAAAGCAGAAAAAAATGCTCAAAATTTGCTTTAAAAACTGCAAAAAACGAAGGTGTTGTAGCGAATTTTAGTCAAATTTGGTATACGGTATCTTTTGGAGTAAAAAAGGAATAGGTTATAAGAATCCTATCAATTTTCGTTTCGAACAAACCTTTTATTCTTAGGACGAGCCCTTTCCACCGAAGCGCACGCATGCACTTTTTTGTTATCCTCTTCTTCACTTACCGACTAAAAAAAGTTCTTGAGAAAAAAAAAAAGATAAAATTACCCTGGAAATATTCTTCTTCTTTTTCTTATCGCCTCGAACAGGCGCCTGAGACGGGGCTTCTTCATTTTTTGGCGGCTCGGTCACTTTCAAAGCGACGGCCACATTCTCACTTGAGGGCTGTTTATTGTTTATGATTACGATTTCGATTGTCTGTTTGGGCGGAGGTTTTTCCCTGAAGTCATCACTTTCATCACACTAAAGACGAAAATTGGCGAAAATTGTACTTTTCTTCTTTGAAATGAGTAGAAATTTCAAAATTTCACGAATTCGAAAAACGTAAATTGAGTATTTGAGTGCAAGTTCAAAAATTTTAAAGTGAAGAATCCAAACTTCTTAAAGAATTCGACGTTTTTTAAAAAATTTTTTTCCTAAACATCTTCAAATATTTTCAAAAAATCAATAAAATGCCCTACAAAATGCGTTTTCATTTTTCGAAACAAACTTTTGGGGAGTCCTTGGATTCGGCGGTGTTACGGGAACATGAACTTGAGGCTGTTTGGCCGATTTCAGCTCATCTGGAGGTTCCGGGAAGGCAAAAATGTCAGGCTTTAGATCGCCTGGTACAGCATTTCTGAAGATACATTTATTGATACAAAGTAAAAATAATTGATTGGGAAATGTTAACATGAACACGATTTTTCGTTTTGTAGCACATCACGGCGCTCTTTTGACGACGCTCCTCCCTCAATTTCCGTAATATTTGACGTACTTGGGCATACACAGAACGACGCTAACTTGTATACTCATTAAATTCGAAAATAATTTTTTTCTTCCAAAAACAGCGTTTTTTCAAAACAATAGACGTGAAAAAAATTGATCCTTTCACAATCCCTTTTTTAGTTGACAAAAAAACATTTGATTGAAAGTTTTTCTTATTTTTTGAACGCTTTTATTCCTTTTCACCATCAAAATTAGTTTGAGTACTTTTTTTCAGTGAAAAACTTGGAATTTTGTGCCGCAAATGACTTATTTCAGTTCGAAAACGCCATCGATGTGAAAAAAAAAACAAAAAATCTCAAAATCACATCCTTATTTGCACATCCCAATAGCAGCTGGGCGCATTTTGAGGGCGGGAAATAAAAAAATTTATCGGAGCCCGAAATTTATCAGGGTCAACAGTCATTGAAAACACCAGTGACCTCTATTTTTTCCACTTTTTGATTTTTTCTTCCATTTTTTTTACCGTTCGCCTTTGCCTGGAGAAGGGGCCTGCGCCGGTTTTTGTATCACCGATTTAAGTTCGTCTGGCACTTCGGGGAATTTGAAAATGTCTTCTTTTGCATCGGCCATTTCCTGAAAACACTTTCTCAACTTCTAGCTTGAAAATTTTATGTTGGGTCCCATAATTTTTTGAAATAAATGAGTCAGAATCACCGTTGTTCATTAATTTATCAGAAGAGGACCAGGAAAAAGAACTAATAAAATTGGCGGCCAATGATCTAGCTATTTTCCTATCCTTTTCACTTTTCTTCCAGACTTATCGTCTTCTTTTAAAAATATAACGCATTGATACTACGTGTTTTCAGATAATCTCTGGAAAAGGGGCGACTTCATTCATCACGACTAGATTTTATAAATTCTATCAAAGTTTTTTCTTGATTTTTGTGCGATAAATCGTTTAATTATTTTTTTTTTTTGATTGTTGTCAAGAAAGACTTGAAGTTTTCCCTTTGTACTTGCGTTATTCAAAGTATTGAACCACTTATTTAATTAGAATTTTCTTTCAGTTTTGGATTCGTGATTTTTTTGAACAAATTTTCGTAAACACAATTGAATGATTCTGTCATAATAAGACTCACCTTGAAAATTCGGATTAATTTGGAAAATTTTTTAAAGTCTTGATTTCAATTTTTTCATAAGTTCTTTTTCAGAATATCAAAACTTGTCCTCGAAGCTTTTTCAATAGATTCACCAATCCAATATTGAAAATTTTTTTTCAAATGATTCAATAAAGATTTTCAAGGAGCGAAATCAAAAAATGGAGCACAAAAGAGAAATCGAAAAAAGGCGGGACTCTTGGAGCCGTAAATCGACTTGCAATGCAAAAAAGGAGCCCAAAAAGGTGCGCTCCTTTTTTTTTTAAATCCTTCTTCTTCTTCTTTTTTTTTCTTGGAGGCTTGTTTGATGTTTAACTTTATATGATAAAAAAACTTTCATATTCAAAAACGTTTTAAGAGAAACTTGAGGTACAGCATCCCCAATGTTTTGCTCTCATGTGGGTTTCTTTGAATAATTTAGCGGTACGGAAATTCTCTCAATTTTAAATGAAATTTAGTTGAATAAAATTTTGAAAATTTGATGGAAAATATACCTAATGTGAATTGCTCCGTAGCACTTTCGAGCCGAATTTGAGAATAAATGTCTTTGAAATGACGTTTTTCTTTAATTTTATAAGAGATGAACTTTTTACGTGTTTTTTGAGTCTGTTTTAACAGATCTTGAAAAAACCAAAAAGAAATAAAAATTTATCATTAACCAAAAAAAAAGTAGAATCACAAATATCAGGCTGGAAGCGCATTGTAGAATCGGTGTACAGTAATGTGCAAAAATAGAAAACTTATTGTTCTGGGAAAAACTCTAGTGGTCGCTTAAGAGGCTCATCAAGGATAACTTGGAGAGGACACTAAAGTGGCCACTAAATCCGCCTCTTTAGAAGCCATTCTGTGGCTAAGTTGTCACAAGAGCAGTTTTTCTAGGGGTCTTATACTAAGTTTTAGTCAATTCAGTGGTCACTGAATCGACTACTACAGTGAACACTAAAATGTCAAAACCCTTAAGTGGTCACTAAAAGTTTTCCCAGTTATTTCAAACAAAAAAAAAATACAAAAAACAACTCCCTATTTTCGCACGAAAATTTATCACATAACATGAAACACAAAACACAAGTCTGAAGAAAAAGCTCTGAGCGGTGCGATAATTAGAAATAAACATGAAAAAGAGGACTTCGTTGAAAGATTGTGAAACCCGGAAAGTTCGCAAAAAATACATATAGCTTGGAAAAAAATGATGAAAATAATTTCATAGGTTATGAAACTTGTGGCGGTGTCCTTCTTGAGCCGTTCACCTGGAAAATTGTTTGTTTTAACGTGGGATGGTCGCATTGGAATGGCTCGCGGGTTTTTTTTGTGACTGGGCGATTTTTATCAGTTTATATTGGTCCTAGAAATCTTTTTGGTATACCTATTTAAGTTCTTAAATCTATTAATGCACGAATAATCAAGATGAAGTCCATTTTCGCGACTTGAAACTTCTCTGCGCACTCCTCATCTCTCGACGTCCCTCTCATGTTTACGTGTTATTCCCATGTTTCTCTGACCTTGCCGGTAAGGGAACAGAGAGATGCAGACATGCGAAAACTTTCAAGGCGGACGGACTATATAGGCGATTCAAGGCTGACTTGAGCCATCGCAAAAAGGTCCTGACACGATAGAGAAGAGATAGTGTCACGTTAGGGGAGAGCACAGACAGTTTTTTTTCCTTAGATGATTGTGATTCGGCTAGGTTAAGAAGGAACCGGAAATAATCTTCTGAAGAGCCCTTTTTAGTAGTTTTCCTCAGCTTTGGCTTCCAGTAGTACCTTTTTTCAAAATCGTCATGGGCGAAGTCTTAGTTTTTATACTAAAAGGTCCTGGGAGTAGCATCTGAATTACCGCCCTTCAAAAAACTACTTTGGCGTGGGGGCATCGTTTATCATAGCTCAAAGAAAGTCGCTCAAGGTCGGGTGCAACCTTAGGAATAAGCCAAAAAGAAATTACCAATTCGATTCACTTTTAAGGCTGAATCGCCACGAAAATTGAGATTTTTTCTTTTTAACAGAACACTAAATTTGATTAGAAAACTGACCTCGTTTTCAAGAATACAATTCCAATCGTTGTTCTCCAAAACGGGCGGAGGCACGAAGCATTCATACGGCGGTGGAGCTGAAAATCACAGATATTTAATAATAATTCCACTTTTTAAACATTTTCATGTAAATTTTTTTATTTTTTTTGGAAATAAAGCTTCATTTTCAAAGGCATATCCATTCATCAGAATTTTTGGATAGTTCTATTCGAACTTTCACCCCTCAAACTCCCTCAGAAGGAAGCTAAAGTTAGAGAGAACAATAGTTTCTTTTTTTCGGCTTCTCGAGAGAAAAAAAATAGGCTGCCTTTTAATTAAATTCGCAGTAGAGCGCCGACCATAATGAGCTCCGTCATCATCTTTTTCCTGTCCCTACTTTTTTGTTTTGTTTGGAGAGTCAGAGTTCATTAACTCGATAGATAATGGGTTTCTGAACGATTAAAGCTTCAATTTTCAGAAAAATGATCTCAAAAATTTTTTTGATACAAATATTTTACTTAGCCTCAAAGGAAAGATTTTCGAGCGAATTTTTCATGAATTCAGAAATTTAATAGAACGGTTGGTTACTAAACTACACTTAACGCGGAAAAATCGAGGATTTTTGGTTTTTTTACGGTTTTCGGTTCATTTTAAGGTCAAAATTTCCATTCAGGATTTTTAATTGAAGAAATTTCTTCAGTTTAAGATTTGAAAATGGTGAAACAAGTTTTAACCTTCTGTAATTTTGTACACCTTTAAGCGGGAAATTGGTCCAATTTTCAAACTATTCAAGATTTGCTAGAAAAATCTCGGCCAGGATCTGATTTTACACGCTCTTTTTCGAGAAAAAACCATGAAAAAACTTGTGAAATCAATATTATTCGATTTCGATTTTTTTTTTCAACGCAGTATATTCGAAGTTTTCACAAAATCTCAAATTAGAAATTTTAGTACTTTTACTACTGCTTCATAAATAATTAGTTTACCTCCCAACGACCTTAGAATAAACCGGACCAGCTTTCAATGTCCTTGAAAGCAACCAAAATCGGATTTAATTTCCCTTTTCACTCAAAAACCCGAGAAAAAGACGCGGCTGACAACGCGGAAGGCCCCAGGGACGTGTAAGAAAAGAGGAAAGAGAAAAAAAGAAGGATTCAATTTGGGCAGATTTATCAAAACGCCGACGTCTCCGGGGGTCAGGCAATTCATCAAAATTCTTGCCCGACATGACATGGCTCAGAAAAGTTGTTGCGTCTGCGTTCTGAGGCGTTTTTTTTTCGCTTTTTGAAGAATATTGATGGGCAGCAAGGTTTTATTGGAGCGTTTTTGTAATCAATCAATTTTGAGAATTTTTTGAGAAAGGATTTTTAAGTATAATGAGAGATAATATTGTTCTAAAACGTCGTAGAAATTTTTCCCAGAATAAATTGCTAGAAATTATCGATTTTTGTAGTCTGAGTGAAACGTACGGTATATCAGGAACAATTTCGGGCTTTTTCATTCTAGAAATGATTGATAGTTTGAGAAAAAATGGTTGTGGTTCTAACGGGTGTTTCGTAGTGAACATTTTTAATGATCAATGAAAAAGTCAAAAATTGCCGAAACTGTCAATTTTCGTGGTTTTTTAAGAGCGTTTCATTGGAACCTCGTAACAAAAACAAACTGCTTAATTTTTTTTTTACTACTAAGCTCCACTAGAACGCGGCCATCAATATTATTTACTGAATTTCCGACAGAAAAATCTAGTCTTTTGAAAAACTTTTCCATAATTTAGATGGAAAAGCGATGATACATTAATTTGCTCTTTGATCGTCATCTCGATTTTCCGCACCATACTTCCCATTTTTCATAAAATCCTTCCGTTTCCCTGACAAAAAGTTTCTCATTCGAATTAAAACGAGAGAAAACTACCGTAACCTAAAAAAAATGACGGGAAACGCTTATTTGGCGTAAGATTATGAATATCGTGGAAAAAGCGTCAATTTTCTAGAAAAAGTTCGTTTCGTCTTATCTTTCTGATGCCCAAGTTTCGACTGGGAATTATGGAGTTTAGAATAAAAAAGCTCATTTTTAAGCTTAAAACTATGGATCTTTGAACAATCAATGATACCAAAAGACTAGTTCTCCTGTATTTTCCAAAAAAAAAACCTCACCTTCATACATTTTTGGCGGAATCGTGTCCACCGGTCTGTACATTCCCGACGTTGGTTCCGTTGGGTGGGACATTACTGTAAAAAGTTTTAATTGAGAGTTTTTTGATGTGACTATAGCTTTTATTTTACTTGAAAATGCGCTCCAACGAACTATTTGGCTGAATTTTTGGCGGTTTTTAGCAGTTTTGAAGTCTTTTTTTGAACTTTGCTAGTCTGTTCAGAGTATATAAAGTCACGACGGCTTAAAATAATATCTTCGGAGTAATTATAGCTTTTTTCACATTTAGTAATAACACATTTTTGGATTTTTAAAAGCACAGGAAGAATTTTCAGTTTTTCAGGGCTTCTCTGTAGGACTGAGACTACTTTTTCACAACTGCTTTATAAAGTTTTTGAAGGCGTAGAGAGACGCTGGGTGTTCAATAAATAGTTCAGTAGTTTTATATAGCTGATTCACGACTGGCTTGAACCATCACAAAATGGGTCCTGACACGATAATAAAAGAGACAGTGAATGGTTGGTGGAGAGCTCAGACAGGCCACGCCCTCTCACCGTCCCAAGTTGTCCGTGAATCGACTATATATTTACGGTGAGTGCAAAAGGTGGTGGGTTGAGAGTTTGATGAAACTTGGTAGATAGGTACTTTAGGACACCCTGTTAGTCAATCTATAAATCCTTATTGAGGCTTTTAAAGGCGCAGGAAGGAGCTCAAATCTCTTCAAAGAAAATGAACATTTAAAAAAACTTACATTGAATATTCCTATACATTGGACATCCGGGTATCCGCTTGCAAATTATCGCCATGAAAATCACACATAATGAAGCGACGAGTACTGTCCCGAAGACGATCAACGCGAAGTAACTGAAAAAAATATGTATAAGAAACAAGTTGGGTTTTTCCAACAGAATATTTAAAATATCGACCCTTTCAACAGAATCGGAATTTTTTTGTACCTCTCGGCTTCTTTTCTCTTCCCAATGCATCGCCCAATGCATTCCCCAATGAGATCGCACTTTGAATGAATGGAAAAAAAAACTTTTCCAAGCTATAAAAATTGGTTGACAGAAGGAGAAAAAAAAAACCAATCGGAAGAATATCAACCAACGCATAAAGTCTGGGCTAATAGCTTTTTGGTCCAGTAGTTTATGGGATTTTCCAAGCCGTTTGATGGATTGGTTTGATAAAAGTGTTGTTGAGAGGTTGGTGAGGAATATGGGGAGGAAAGGAATTTATGAAGAAAATAACTTTCGGAAGATTAATTTGGGAGGAAAAATGTCAAAGGGAAAGTGATAAGAAAATCGTTAAAAAAATAAATTGGTTATCGACCTTTTTTTTGAAATTGTGTTGCTGAATTTTGAAAGCTTTCTCACTCAATTTTCTGAATTTTTTACTTCCAAGAAATTTTCTATTTACTGTGAACGCGGCGGCATTTGGAATGGTTAAAAGCGGCGCGGTCGCGTTGAAGCTTTCTTTAATGCTTTTCAAAGTCCCTCTGCGCAAGTCGTTTTAAGTCGGGTGCAGATTCAAGCTACGCTTTGAGCCATTCCGCATGCCGCCATTGGCTTTTGTGTCACTGGTATAATTCTTCATCAATTTTAAAAGGAAGTTTAAACTAGCTTCAAGCTGATATATTTTGAAGTCCTGGAATCGCTTTTTTCTTAAAAGATTTTGTCATTTTTGATACCAGACAAGGAAGGTTCAAAAATCATTTGCTCTCAACAAATTCGAAGACTCTAAAGTCCCTTGAAATCAAATCCTCCGTATCAAAGTACCAGGCGGTAATCCGAGAGCAACCTTATTTTTTTCGTCAGCAATTCCGCTCCAATCAAACAAGCTTTCTTTTTCCCCGCTGAAAGGACCTTTGACGTCTTAGAAAAATTCCCTTTCACACGCTAAATATGGAGGTTTTCCCCCTCAGTTACCCACGTTAATCTTTTATTTTTCACACCGTCTTGTGAGGAAAAAATGCTCTGGAAATGGGACTCGAGATGAGATAAACCTTCCGGATTAATTAGGAGGCTCAAGTAAGCGTTAAATCGGAAAAGATTGGAAAAAAGTGCTCCGGGAAGTGAGTTTTTCTTATTAGATTAGATGAATCAGTGACTTTGAAGATTTTAGAAATATTAATAGTAAAAAAAGAGCTCCATAGAAAGATTGAGGAAACACTGGGAAACAGTTGTTGAAAAACTGTAGATATTGAAATTGTCCATGGAGCGCAGTCGAAACGACTTTGGGAGGCTATTTTCCTATCTAGAAGACTTAAAGAAAAAAATGTTCAAAAAAATTTTTTTCAGTAAGTCTTTTAATTCATGAATTTTTCTCAGTTCGAATGACCATCAGATGCTCAAAAATGGACTTTCCTCAATTTATTCTGAAGTTTTTCCTGAAATAAGAAAAATTCTTCCTTTTTAGCTATCTTCAATCCCTTTTGGGACCACTTTAAAAATTATATTTTTTTGCTGTTTACAAAAAGTTTGCTCTTTTTAGTGTTCTCCATAAATTCAACCCTCATTCAACTTTGAAAATTTCCTTTTTTGGATTACTCAGATTAAACCATTATTTTCAAACATTAACCCTTGAGTGATCCCTTTGGAAACCCACACTGAAATCCTCAAACTCCCGCTTTTAGGCTCGATTTGAACCCCTCAACCTCGAACGAAAAAGAAATTGGTCCGAAAAGGCATAAATGTCAGCGGTGGGAGAGAACTCAAGAGGCCGCCTGTCGTGTAGCTTTTAGTTGATTGCCTTTTCCTGTTATTAGTCGGTGTTATTGGGAGCAAGAGGGGAAGAAGGCGAGTCAATGGAAGTGAGGAATGGTGTTGCTCCAAAAAGGCAGCCCCGGAAACTGCCACCAAAACTTCCGTCGACGTCCAGGCCTCCCTTCATCAAAACAGCCAATTAATACCGCCGAGTTGAACGCGAGTCAGAGATCAATTGGGGCGTTTTTTGAAGAGTTTCGAAAGTTCTATGGAAGATGTTGAAGTTTGAGAGTAAAGGTCAAGGATTTGAGATCTTGTCGAGCAATTATAGTTGGGAAACCTGTGTTTTTTTTTAGCCAATCACTTGAAAAAGGCCCCTGGACCATTTACCGAGTTTACGTGCCCCAGAGATCATTTGAGGCGTTTTTCGAAGATTTCTGGAAGGTAAGAAGCTGTTGGGTGAGAGCGAAGGATACATGGAAATCTCTGAAGTGAGGCGATTTTTTAAAGAAGTTTTCAGTTTTCTTCAGTCATTTCAAAAATCAGCCAAATGATAATTTAATTTTGAACCCTATTCGAAAATCATTTAGGACGTTACCTGGAACATTCTAAAAAGATAAAGGTTGGAGGGTGACAGAAAAGGTCGAAGAACATGTATTTTTTCAATTTTTTTTTGGAAAAAAAATTTTTAATCAGGAGTTTAGAGTCGTAAATTGAGGGACAATGATGACGATATACAGGAAAACTTCAGAGGTGACCACAAATTAGACTATTTCGGAAAGTTGAGCTTCAATTTTTTGGAAATTATGAGTTTCAACTTCGAAAAATCATGATGAGGCTGAAGATTTGAATTTAACCCATGGATAATTAATACTATTTTTCATAACTTTAAGGCTTTTTTTACCGTTCAGAAGGAACATTTAGAAGTTCTATTATGCGGTTTAATTGCTTGTTGATAAAATTTCAATTATTTTTAATTATCGTGTTGGCTCCAACCTCTTTCAAAGTTCCCTCTAATTTTTGATTTTATTCCAAAAAATCATTTTTTGGTTCTCTCACCAAGTTTTCACGTGATTATTTTTTCCATAAGTTGCAAGCTTCATTTTCAACCCTCGAAGAACGTGCGCCTCCCTGAGTAGTCCACTAAAAATGACCCGACGAAAAACAGGGATTTGTCGGCACGCGGAGAGAAGAGACCGCGATTGAATTTCGCGCCTTTCGAAAATGCGCACACAAACATGGGGCCGTCTCCAGGGACCTCCACTATTCCATGTTCCTCGTCTCTTCGACGACGACGTCGACGTCGACGAAGACCGCACGTCTTCTTTTTTCATCAACGTCTCCGTCATAAGTCGGGAAATGTCTCCGGGGACCCAAAATTGTGGTGAATAACGTTATACACTTAGAAGTTGCTTTGATTGATACTTTATCTGGAAAGATAGGACCATTTTAGTACTCCAGCCAACAATTTTTTAGAGAAACAGTTGAAAAAGCGGGTTCTATAAGCTTGAAGGCGACGCTTACAACTCTCTGATCTAATTTTCTGGTTCAGAATCCAGCCAGAATGACTATTTTTGAGAGGGTGGGCTCAGGGCTTCTGATACTGAATAGGGTTTTGTTGATAATTCCAGGTCTTGCTGAAATTTCATGACTTTTATTGGAGTTTATAGAAACTTGTTGGATACATGAGAACGCTTGAGAAAAAGTTTTTTTGAGATTTTTTGGCTTTGATTTGTGATATTGAAAAGGGAACTGGGTAATATTTGATGATTTTTTCTCTTGATTGGTTTATTAAGACCTCCTTTTTGGGCCTCCAGTGCAGGAAAAATCATGACCCCAGAATTTCTTTTCCGTCTGTGATACATCTAACCAAGGTCCCCTCAAATTCTAAAACTCTCTTCCTGTGAGCTCAAAAATGAGTTTTTCTCAACCAGTCATCAAATCTGGTCAGAAAGGATCAAAAACTTGGTCTCCAGCTTATTTTTCATCCCTCTGAAGGGTATGAAGTCAAAGTAAAGTAGCAGAAGAGGATTTCTCAGCGGCGGTTTCTAACGAGTCGTCGGCACGAACGGAAGCCGCCGCCGACGTCGAGGAGAAGCTCCCCCTGGGCGGATAAAGACGCAGAACATGCAAGTTCTGTTCTTTCTGTTCTCATGTCCGTTCTTCTTTTTTCTTTTTTTTCCCCCAGCTCAAGTGGGTTCGAGGTTTTTGGGCATATCTTTGGGATCTTTGAAGTTTCAAGAGATAATATTCGAAGCAAAGTTTTCACCTAGATATTTATCTCACTGTACGAAAACCAAATAGTATTTGTTTTGGATGCCCCGGAAAACGCGAAAAAGATGGATCGAGTGGGTGAAAAGTGAGTGTAAAATGAGGTTGATGTATTGGAGCGAATAGTTAGTGTGTTAATTGTCGTGTCATGTTCTCTCAACGTTTTTTTCCCCTCAGCTTCTTCAGTTTCTCGAAAACACGGCCGTTTGTTGAATGGCCGTGATAAATTGCTTATGATGTGTTTGAGCCGAAACAACGTTGCTGAACAAGAATGGATTGGAGTTTTAGGTGGAAGTTTAGAAGTTTTATTCCTTGTAAGGACTTTAGATTTATTGGAAAATGGGAAAATTAGAGTTTTTCCGAAGAAAAAAAGGGACCTATGTCCGAATTCAGAGCTTAACCTTTAACTTTCAAACGAAGATAATTATGAAAAATTTCACTTGGAAGTGGGAAGATAGAAATTTTTTATAACAGAACAGCTTCCATTGAAATGCTCCTAATTACCGACATAAGATAATTAGATCCCTCATCGACCCCTTTGGAATACCCCATTCCCTGAACTTTTGAGTCAGTGAGAACCGAAAGGCCCCTCAGGCGAAGGCTTTGCCCAAAGCCTTAAGCCTTTTCGTCCTTCGTAAACGTCCGTGTTTTCGAGGAGGGAAAAAGTCAGAGTCGCGTCGTCCTCAAATTCGAAGGCAAATTTGAATTTCCCTTGGACCCGAAGGAGAAAAAAAAAATGGAACGAAATCAAGGCGATTTGCTTGGCCGCAGAGCACTTTTAGTTTGATTCGGTGGGCTTCAATTTCTGAGTTTGAAGCTCAAAGAGGATTTTTTATAGGCGGAAAATCAAAAAATTCGCTTTTTGCACAGCTTCTGAATCGATTAAAGCAACGAAAAATCAATAAAAAGGGAAATCAGGAAAAATTTTTTTTTCTTTTTTTAGAAGAGGGATGAAAAATATTAACAACAAAAAAGCAGAAGCGCCAGGTAGAATAAAAGTTCGAAAATAAAATTTATTTTTCAGAGACTTTCCAACAGTACCTCGTCATCATTTCGAGCTGATTTTAAATTTCCTACAGGGTGAAATAAAAGCTCAAATTTCGTTTTTGATGGCTATTTGGTGTAAAATTTAAAGACATTTAGTGCGTCAGCTTATAACGAAAGGCTCGAACTAAAGCTCTCTAAAAATAATTTTTACTGTGAACTTCTTTTCTTAGTCCCTTTAAAAACAATATTCAAAGAATATTTCCATAAAAAATCGGATCAATCAATAAATCCACCACAAGGATAACACAGATTAAGCCCCTCAATCATACTTTTTTCTCAATATTTTTTTTCCTTTCCAATCCGAAAAAAGCTTGAGCAAGAGCTCATTAGGATAGCCTCACGTGCTCCGCCGAGCCTGTGGGAATCCGATAAGCTTTTCGCCGCTCGAATATCTCACGCCTTTATCAAAAAACTTACTCTCACACGTACACATTTCTAATTGCCCAATACTCTCATCGATGGGAAAAAAAGTGCACGGAAAGACCCAAAAATAGTCATTTTATACGGCTTAAGGCGACAGGATTAAGGGAAAAAAAGGTACCGTAATCTTGAGATTTTCGGTTGAGAAAAGCATTATCAAAGATAGAAGATTTTCAGAAATTTGGTAAAAAATCGAAATTTCGCTTTTTTGACTTCAAAATGGAATTTATTCGTCGGAATATAGCAGATACTCCATTCACGGTCAGCTAGTAACCGCTTTGAAAATAATCTAGGGTTACTGTATTTTGTCATTCGGTTCAGGACCAATTTTTGGTTAATTCCCATTGATCCTCCTAGAGTCAATTAGAAAGGACATTTTCCGGTTTGCCTGTACAGAATTCCGGTAAAACTTGCTGATTTACCAAATTTATAGTCCAAATATAAATTATGGGTTATCAAATGATCAATGTAATCGAAATTTAAAGGCACATGCCCTGTGGTTTGAAACAGATTTTCGACAAGAAAATTAGGACTACTGTGTCTTTTTTTGGTCAATTTTATCGACCGTAAGTTTTTTTGGTCGCACGGAGAATGGCTCAACGCGTAGCGGCTATGAAGCGGTTATTTTTGCAAGATTCAATTAATCACATAAACCACTACGCGTTGGGTTTTTTTATAATTCTTTAAAATTTGTTGAGAAAAAACAAAAAAAGAAAGTATATACAACTCAGAAAAAGGATTTTTCTTTCATTTTCTGCCCACAATTTCCCGGCCGACTCACTAAATTTGATCGGTTTTGAAGGGTTCACTGCGGCGGCGGCGGCACACATTCTCATTAGTCTCAACTCGGCCAAGAGCCTAATTTCGGTGGCTTCGAATGGCTCATAAATGTTGCCTCGAACTGCTCATTTTTTCGGTTTTTTTTTTCATCATTCTACCCGTTCTGCAACACATTTTTGAAGAGGAACGGTTTTTAGGAAAAATTTTGGAGAATTTGGAAGCTCAATTTATGTTACGAAAAAAGTTTGGGGCTTTTCGGAAGTCTAAACGAGAAATTTTAGAACCTGAAGGCTTGCTTTGAAGTTTTATTTTTTAAGAAGCCCTATATCAATTCCTCAGCGATTTTTTTGCCTTTCTGAGGAGTAATTGTATGTTTTAAAATTTAATTTCTAGACAAAATTCATAAAAATAACTAAACTATTCGCAATTCTCTCAGAAAAAAAATGTTGAAAAAAATTTTTCCACCTTTTTTCAATATTTACCGTAGTTTGTCAATTCCAAGCACTACTGCCACATTTTCCAAGCTTCCAATCCATTAAAACGGCCCGTATAATATCTTCATTTATTTATTTATTTATAAAATCGTCAAGGGGTCCACGGTCTTCTCATCAATAGTAAATGGCCTCTAGGCGGTGAATGGAAAGAAAACGAAACCCTTTGAATTTTTGATCCGACCGTTGCAAAAAATGGAAATTCTCATCAAATTCGGCCATTTTTCTGTTGAAAATTAGACAAAAAATCTGAAAACATTCGTTTTTCGAGGCCATTTTCGTATCGAGTTACGAAATCTGACACTGTTTCCCCTCAGGAACAAGTCAAAATAGTAATTTTCCAGTCGGGGAAATCAGAGCTTTTTGGATTCTTTTTCTCAAAAAAACGTTATATTTTGTTGTCTAAAGAACTTGAAAGCTTCCATCATCAACAGGAAAATTAATCCCTCTTTTTGCAAGCTCTACTTGGTAATAACAGCTTAAGAGGGCTGTTTGAATGAACTTTCAAGCAAGAAAGAGGAGAAAAAATAGCCCGAGGCGTTGGGATTACTGAAATATTCCGCCAAACAAGACGTTTTTCATTTTTGGAAAGGGATGAGAATTTTGATAGGAGAAATTCTATTTAACTTTGAAGCATAGTGATGAGAATTTGATAGTCTGACTAGAAAAATCGTAATCGATTATTTTTGATACTCTGACTAGAAAAATCGTTATCGATTATTTTTGAAGCCTACCCAGTGAAAAATACTTTTCTAAAGTTAGGAAAAACTTAAGGAGCATCGAAATCACTGGAAAACGAGTACTGGAACGATCAGCGAGATAGTGTGCAATAATGAGAGAGTTTCACAGTAATCTAGGTCTTTTTTTGGGTCTTTGTGTTAATTTGATTAAATAAAACTCAGAATTGAAAAATTTTTCAGAGATTAGAAAAAAATGGATTTTAATCATACCTTTTGACAAAATAAAGGTTAGAGTCACTGTTTTGAATCAAGTTTCTCATTTTGAAAACCAATAAAACCCAAAAATAAAACCAATGAAAACCCAAAAAAAGCAGCCACTTTATCAGTTATCTCCCTCCCTCTCAACTCAAGAGAAACACGAAGAAAGATCCCGAAGGAAAGGGAGCGATTTATGTGATATCATCGGCGGGACCTTGATAAACGGGCGGCAAAGAAACACGAAAGAACAGGAAAAGCTGATAAAAGAAGGGGAAACTGACTCTTTGACGAAGCCGCGGAACTCGGCGGCCGCCGCTTCCTGCTGCTCCTTCTCGAAGTCGGCCAGGGAGCAGCAGTAGACGCCGTGCTTCTCCCGCAGCTGCGTGTTGGTCGGCGGCAACTTCGAGGTGCAGCAATGGACGAACGTCGGGTCGGCCTTGAAGTCTGGACACGTCTTGTTCCGGTGCAGGCCTGGAATTGAGAGTTTTGAGTTGGAATCGCAAGAGTTTGATGTTGGGAGTGGATAGTGGCTGGTGGAATTGGAAGGTACTGATTAAGGGAAGTTTAAAGTTAAATAGAGGTTACATAGGTTAACTTGAAGGAACTTGGTTCAGTGGGACCTGATGTTGATAATTTTAAGTTGGAACTAGTGAAAAATTGTACTTGGAAATGGTAGAAAGAAGTGGATTTAGAAGGTAAGGCCTCGAGAGCCTTTTGAGCTTCGATTTCAAATGAAAGGGTAGAAATTTGATTCTAGAACTGGTAGAAATAGATGTTTTTGAAATGTTTCTTATTCCATGATGGTCTGGAAACTTCATTTTTAAAAGTGTTGAAGCCGATACAAATTTGAGGTTGAGGATGGATAGATATTGGTGGTTTTGTAAGTTATCCATTCGGTGAAGGTATGAAATGGGCAGTTTATATTTTGAATCGTTAAAAGTTTGGTACGTTTTGAAAGGTGTTGATTCGGTACAGGACAGAAATTGAAAATTTCAAAGTTTTTAGGTTGGAGTGTTCGGAAATGGCTCTGAGTCAATTGGAAAAAGATCCGCGAATTTTAAATAAAAATTTAAAATAAAACAAGAGTTATACCTGAAAATGAGATCCGGTTCCAGTCAAGTCGTTTATAATTTTATGTATCAATTCAGACTAATTTTTTTAAATTAGGTAAGAAGTCAGTGTTGAATAAATGAGAGTAGCAGTATGTACTAAGAATTTCAATTTTCAGTAGATTTAGTTGTGAACTATTTCAATATTTTTTTCGAAAAAAATTTTTTTAAGACCGATTTCTCATCAATATGACTCATATACAACATTAAACTTTTTATCTTCCACCTGTTTCTTTTAACTCAAAGGAGAAAAAAAAAGATTCGATAGGAATTGTAAAGCCGTTAAAAGCGTACGTTCTTCCTCCGTTTTCCAGAAACATCTGGAAGCCAGCTTTTAAGATGGAAAGATGGGACGGGATAGGATAATATAAATAAACAGAAAGGGGAAAAAATGTGGAAAATGAACAAACCACCGGCGACGGTCGGAATGGGGCAGACGAGGCCGGCGACTTCGCCGACGAGCACGGCGAGCAGCGAAAAAATCGCCGCCGCCGATTTTTGGGTCATTCGCGCCCCAATCGAACGGCTCTCCTCGTTTTTATCTTGACTGAAAAACATATATATTCTCATGAATACAACGAAAATATCTACAAAATTAATTCGAAAAAGTATCGAGAGGAAAAATTAAGGAAAAGCTAAATTTTTCCAGGACATATCAATAACATGTAGGTTTTATCAATTGGGGACATATGTTTTAATTGAGAAAAAGGCTCTAAATTCTTTTTGGATTCAAAAAAAGACCAAAATCTAGTTCCAAACTTAGAGAAACAAAAAAATTAGCTCACCTTTTTAGACCTAAATTCTCAATTTTGAGAAAAAGATGCTTTTTTTTACATCCTTTTAGTTTGAAATTCTGAATTTTGAACTCGAAATTACTGAAATAACGAGAATCCTGTTGTAAATTTGTAGAAACATTACAGTTTTGTTCGATGTTCTGAAAAAATGGCCTCGGAAAATAGTTCTTATCATTGGAGCGCAAATTCTCTTTTTTTTCTGATCTTTTCTACTAATATGAGAATTGTACGAAAAATATTGAAAAAAAGTAACGATTTCAAGAAAACACGTAAAGAGGAACGTAAACGTGGGCAGCAGTGGACGGGTTATTTGCAAAAGGAACCGGTTTTCCCAATTTTTCTGCCACCGGGAATCGATCCAGCGACCTTTTTGATTGAAATGCGACATAGAATACATGCAAATCAAGATAGAATTGGACGAAATGGTTAAAGGCATAGGGGCAGTAAAAAATGGGGTTTCAGGTAAAAGCAGTATCTTATATAGTTTTTTTTTGCGAATCGAATGGTGTACTCAAAACAATTAAAGATGTGACAACTTTAGAAGAAAAACGCGATTTTAATTTCCCGCCTTTATTTTTGAAAAAAGCTTTGGATCGGCCTACGGACAAATGTTTACAGTAGCCGTGCACGCGATGTTGCGGACGTCTCATTAGACTCGCATTTTGTGAGAAATAACCGGCTATCTGCTTCAAATTAAGGGTTTCTTCTCTGAAAAATCGATTGAGAAAACAGAAAACACACATTGATAATAAAGAAAACACAAATAATCGCTATCCCAATCGAAACCGATGTAAAGTCATCATTTTTCCCCAAAGAACCATTTTTGCGATCAAAGTTTGCAAATTATACATGAATAGAAAGCTTTTGTGACGAAAAGAACTTTGGTGACAACAGAAAAAATTGAAAATTGAAAGAAACGAAGAAAAAAGCGAAAATCCGGAAGATGGGAAAGCCTGTTGTCCATAGAGCAACTTTACTGCAAAGTGCCCTTTTTGCGGGAACTCAAACTTTCCTCTCTCCAACTTTGAATTATTTTTTCTCCAAAACTAGGAAGTTCGGTACGTTCTCAAGTTTACCGTTCGATTCGCAATGAAAAACTCTACAAAGTACTGCTTTAAACTGAAACACCGTTTTTTACTGCCCCTATGCCTTTAAGGAGGAAGGGAAAATCGATCCATAAGGGTTCTGAACTTGAATGTCCCGACAAGGGAGGTCAGTGTGAACATCGACAAAATTTGAAAGTTCTCTCAGAATTTCTCGGAATGTAAAGGAAACGATTCAGGAATCCGGATAGTGGCTACTTGTGCAAATTTTTTTTTCTTGGAGCTCTGTATTTTCAAAATCCGCCTTCAATACAGAAAAAGGCCTGAATACAGTATTTCACTATTTTAAAAAATGACTTCTTTAAATTCGAGGTTTTGTGAAGACGGAAGCTATTAGGAATGTTTCTCTGGACTTCAAGAAATAGTTTTTTGGAAAAAAAGACATTTTGAGCCATTCAAAATGCGGCCTGGGTGTTTCGAATTGTCGAGGATTGAGAGCAAGTTCAGAAATTAAAAATAGGAATGAGATTTCCATTTTTTAAACTTTGAAGCTAGTTTCACACTCCTGGAAAAAACGTCAAAGAAGTTGGAGATCTTGAAAATGTTCTTTATACTTGAGATCTTCTAGAAACTTCGTTTTTTGGAAGTCATAAGCTTAAATAATTTTCATTAATCTTTGGAACGGCAGAATAAAAAAAGCCCAAAAAAACAGCTCGCCTAGAAGTTCAAAACGATAGAGGAAGGAATTTGAAAAAAACTGCATTTTTTTCGAAAAAATTCAAACCGAGCTTCTGTAAATAAATAAAATTCAAATTAGAAAGCATTTTTAAAAAAATCGTGTTAAATTACAAACTGCTTGAGTGATGGTATTGAATTTCAATAGGAGATTCAGAGAAAAAGACGGCGAAAAGCGAAAATATTCATTACATACACAAAGGCTGTTAGTTCATGCATGGGGATCAGCTGGACGGAGGAGTGTCCGCGGGAGTGTCGGGGGTGAGGAGCAAGCCAAAAAAAAGCGTGTGTCAAAATGCTTCTTCTTCAGCTTCTTCTTCTTCTTCTTCTTTTTTTCCTTCTTGTTGTTCTTTTGCGAGAATAGAATGTAAGGCTGAGGATGCGCAGAGATGGTTAGACAGACAAGAGGAGAGAGTGGAGGCCGCAGAGAAGCTCGATTAACGGCTAGCTTATGTCTCACACACACAGAGGGAACACACTCCTCGATGCTCTTCGGAAAGCCTTCAGGCGGGGGCGGAGCTTCGATGCTCCGCCCACAAAAACTCACGCTCATATGGCTGGGAGTAATTTTTTTTTTTCCTGCTGCCTTGGATTAGCTTTAGGGTGAGCGGGAGTGGTCACTCTCATTGTTTCGAGGGGAGTGGTCCCTGAAGTGGTCGCTGAAAAGCGCTCTAGTGATCATTTTGAAGTCACTTGATTACTGGTTTGAAGAAGAAAAATCCTCTTCAATGGTACAGGATCATAAGTGACCATTTTAGGGATGGGGGAAGTTAGTCTAACACGAAGACATGGGAATAAAGGAAAGTTTATCTGTTTCAAAGTTGGATCTATTAGTAGTTGATTCATCTCTTAAGGGACCACTAAGAGCTTTTTCAGGTTCACAGGGCTTACTGAGGGGCTAGGAAAAAAATATTTTTTTTCAAAAAAATCACTTTTGAAGAGCTTCTGTTCCTATAGCAGAACTTGAATGCAGGATTCATCGTATTAGAAAATTTCAAGTTGGTCACAAAAAAATTAAATAAACAGTGAGATATCGAAATTGAACAAGTTTCATGTTTTCATTTTAAAAGATGTTCATTTTTTTTTTTGCCTTACAAAATTATCCCGTTAGTTTTTTTTTAAAGCTGAAGGACTCGTTGATTTTCGGAGCAAGGCTTTAAAAATTAGAGTGAAGGAAGTAAAGTTTACATGCTTTCATAACCTTTAAAAAAAGTCTTCAAAACATTGATTCATCAAATATTTTGTGAAAAATTTTTTTGAGGCGAGAGGAAATTGGTTTGTTTGCCGTGTGAGGACGTATCGATAAAGTGGAAACTTTATAGGTTTTTTTCCATTTTTTTACTTTTCAATCTTCAGATCGGCGGTATTTTTGGAGGGTAAATTATCGATTTATATTTTCAAGTGTACACAAATAGTTTGAAATTAGGGACTTAAGAAAAAGATTAAATCTTGGATTATATAATTTTTCAAACGAAAGACTTTGAATACATGTTTTTCATGAGGAAGAAGAAAAAAAGATGATTTTTTTGGAAAAATTTTGGAAAAAAAGAGATTTTTTTGAATTTTTGAAAGTAAATTTTATACTTCCTAATGGCTCTCTTGACTTTTGCCAATTTCAGTTTGAAAAACTGTTTCAGTGATATTTTTTTAACTGGATTTCTTTTCTTTTACCTGTTCTTCCCCACACACCTTGAAAAATTTCCGCAAAAAATCTTCTAAATTGGAAATATTCTGAGCCCATTGGCCCAATATAATAATAGTCCAGACTCCGTCCCCCGGCTCACTCTCCTCGCACAGATCTTTGAGCTCGAAAGTACACACAGTAAAGAAAAAGGGGGAGATGAAAATGAGGAAAAGTTGCAGATTAGTGCATGAGGGGGTGAAAAAGGCGGCGTTTTTTGAGTGGAGAGCCGTGTGGGTTCAGCGACGCGGAATCGTCCTCGATTTCCGTTCTTCAACTCGACGTCGGCCAGCAAAAACTTGAATGGGTAGCCAGAGAAATCGAATTTTTGAACAAAAATAATTCAATAGTTTTCTAATGAACATCAGGAACTGAACAATTTGGCGAAAAAATGAAATAAAGTTCGGTAAACTTTCTGGGAAAATATTTAAGTCTAGGAAATGATTATGGGAGCACTTAAGCGACCCCTAGAGGCTGATTCTCCTATTAATAAGGCTTATTTTTGGTCAAATGAATGTCACGGGCTCATAAAACATTATTCTCAAAAGGAAAAAGCTTCAGTTTTCACCAACAAATTTTTCGATATATTTTTTTCTCATACAGAAAAATTTTTATTTCATTTATTCATTATAAAAAAACTTTCATTGATTCGACAAAAAAATCATCTCCTCGTAATTTTTTTTGTATAATCTCTAATCAGCAGAATAAGTTCCTAATTAATAACTCACAAATTACCAGTTTTTTTAATGAAGATCATTTCAATGAGTTTCAAGGCTCCAATATTTAAAAAAATACTTTTTGAATATAAAATCCTTTGGAAGCTCCAGAGTGGTCCCTAGAGGGAACTCTCCAAGAGCCCCAAGGTTGCCCCTATAGGGACCACTCTGGAGTTCCTACGCTATCTCAAAGGGAAAATATACACTTTCAGCTATTTGAATATTCGACTCCAAAAACGTTTTCTTCAAAGCAACTTTTCATCCTGATAAATTGAAGAACTTCATCAGTTCAGTAAATTTTGAAAAACGCTTTTTTCTCTGTAATTGCTTTCGGAACGTGAAAAATAGCGTTTTTTTTTTCGCTCTGTAGTGTCTTTTGAACGCTTAAAATGCAAAAGATGAGGTTTTACGAGAAGAAAAATAACTGGAGTAGAGACGTGAATAAAAAAACTCTGAAAGGGATTTTTTTATAAAAAAAGAGCCAATCCGAAGCTTTTTAAGTGGAATGAACTGCTACAAAAAATCACTTATTTTAATTAAAAGAAGGAAAAATAAAAAAGTTTGGTTTTCTGGTCAAAAAGAGACTTTTTTCCGTGAGAAGCATTGTTAGAGAGGGTGCGAAAAACCAGACACCGAGCCGGCCTAATGAATAATCCCAAATCTTCTACATTTTAAATGCTAACTTTTTTGCTGGACCTTTTCTTGGCGCAAAACCACGGCTCCTTTGTGTTTTGCACCTCACTATATTACTTTTCGAAGTGTAAAATTGAGAAAACAAGCTTTTTTGGTTGAATTTGGGAGGCTTTACGAAATTTTCTGGCTTATCGATAATTTTTTCGAGATCTTCAGCATAGCAGAACGATGAAATAAGGTCAAGGATTGAGAAAAATTTTGAGAAATTCACGGTTTTTGGATTTTTTTTCTTTGTAGGATTTCGGTCGTTTTGTAATGATTCTCGCTTTTAAGATTGAAAAAAATAAGATCAAAAAAATCTTTTTAAAAATTGGTTTTTTTAGTATTTCTCAGTTATATTGTGGAACTTTCTAAATTCTCTTTTTTTCAAAAAAAGTTGCTTTTTTTCTATTTCAAAACATCTCACTCCTTCTCGAAACATGATTCAAAAATTTTTTTCTGGAATATTCTTTTTAATTCTGAGGACATTCTCAGTTAGTTTTAAAAAAACCTCCTTATATTTTTTTCAGGCTCTAAATTTTAATTTTTTTAAAAACATTTTTTTGAAAGCTCAGATGTAAAAATAACAACTCTTTGCTACAAGAATTTCATGAAAAAAATATTTTTATTTTATAAATTTTCAAATACCTCGGCTTAATCAGCGTTTTCTGATAATCTGATCATTTATTTGAAAGAAAAAAATTTCATATTCAAATGATAACTATTTCATTTGCTATATAATACTTCAGAAAGCTTCTGACGCCGTAAAATGATGGATTTCATCCATGCCTTGCTGCAAGAAAAAAGAAAATGAAGAAAACGCAAAAAATTTCTTTTGTCTAACGCCAAAAACAAGATGGATATTATATATTGTTTAGGAGCTATGAGGAAAACAAGACAAGAAAAAAAAAGGAGGGGAAAATGAAGGGATAATGGGTTGAGAAAGTTGGAAACTGGAAAACCAACTGATTGACGATGATCTATTGCGTTTTTGCTTCTTTTTTCCTTGCGGCTGTTCTCGATCCAGCCATCCATCATAACAGCTCTCGTTTACACATTTCTTGAATCTATTTGGTCGGAAATTGAAGAAATGTTTGAAAAAACGATCGTTTGAATTGGGTTTTGATAGGAGAAATGTAGTTTAACGGAACGAGATTTTTTGAGTAACGAAGTTTTTAGAGGATCTTCTGATTTTTGAATAAATCATTTCTCAGACTTGGCTTCAATAATAAGTTGAAAAAATGACAATATTGTAAAAAAAGCTTTCAATTTTTTCACGAGTTTTAATAAAGATTTTATGTACTCCAAATCACACACGGTTGATGAAAAGCGATTTTATACATATTTTTGGATCAATCTGGTCGAAAATTGAAAAAATCTTAAAAGAAACATTTTGATTTTGAAGGTTTTTTTGAAAAAAAGATGTCATTTTTTTAAAAACCGGCTATTTTTCTTTTTCACAACTTTCGGGATTTCAATTAAATTTTCGACCACATTAAAGGCTTCAAATTACAAAAAAAGCTTTTTCATGAATGATTTATAATCAGAAATAGAAGGGAAATGGAAAAATTTTAAATTGTCTACTGATTACTGTCTACATTGTCTCCAAAGGGCGTTTTGACACAATTTTTCAACGAAATTTAGGATCTTTTTTCTCTGCTTTTTAAGCAGAGAAAAAAGGGACAAAATTGTTTGTTTCTGGTAAGAATAAAACCCAGACAAAAAGGTGTTTTTTTAACTTTTAACATTAAGCATTTTTCATTTCAGCTCTTGAAACTTTTGCATCAAAAAGCTGCGAAACGCATTGTCCGCTCAGAAATGACCAAAACCATGAATCACCAAAAACTTTTTCGTGTCGTTTTTAATCCTTGAAAGCTTTTTGAGACAAACGTCGTGTCCAGTTTCAGAGTTTGGGTAACTTTTAACAAGGGGAATGAAACTAAGTTGTTTTTTTGTAGCGGTTTTTCTTCTCAGAAGCGAGTTTCGGTATTTTGTTTAAAACCGAAAACTTTTTTTGGAGATAGAACGTTCGTATTTAGAAAGATAAACGTAGGGGGCGCAAAGCCCCGCCCCTTCACGCCACCAAAATGACGATTTTTTTGTTGCAAAAACGGTTTTGAGGCGTTTATACTAGCTAAAGTCCCACTTTAAAAATGAACTGTTTCTGTTAATCTATGTAATCGACAACGCTCTACAAGACTGAATATTTTTAAAACTATGTATTTTTCAAAAATAAGCGAAAAAGTAAGATTTAACACGAAAAAAACTGACAAGTTTCACAAAATCGTCGCGTTTCTGAAAACCAAGTGAGGAACGCTTCTAAATTTTAAGTATGTTATACATTAACACTTTCTTCATTTTTTTGAGTAAAAAAATGAAAAAATCTACCGACGCGAAAAAATATTAAAAGCTTGTAAAGTGACACCAAACTTTGAAGCTGAAATGCGAAAAAAATTTCAGCGACATGGTATACTTTTTTTATTTGATTTAAAAACTAACAGTGTGTCCAAAAAAATAAAAAAATTCAAAATGAAAAATAATTATTGGGACAGCGAATCAAATTATATTTGAGTTTTACCAAAACCTCCTTTTTTCGCCTGCCTCGTTGACGCATGAGAGAATAGGATCGCGTTTATACTTTTGATCAGGTTATTAAGCGTTCAAAACTCTATCGATGAAAAAATTATGAAAAAAATCGATCGACGCGAAAAAAATAACGGCTTTGAAAACCTCGAAATAATGGCAATTTTTTTTGAAATTTTGGAAGATTTCGTGCAAGTGTCCGTAGCAATGTTTGCGTCAAACACACCGATGCGTCCTTTTAAATGTTGCAGGAGCCGTTTTTCGGAGTCAAATTGCCCTTTTTCCTGTTTTATTTCGAAATAACATTATTTTTTTTCATTTTTTTCTTTTTTTCCAAATCGAATGATAATAATTTTTTTCTGAGTAGAAAAAAAGAAAAAAATAAGCTAAAAAAATCTCTTTGACCTTTTTTTTCTAGGTAGTTTTTTTGATATTTTATCAAAAAAATTCTTATGAGGATTGTACAAAAAGATTCATACCAAAAACTTGAGGCTCAGTTCGGACAACCTCTCAGAACAGAAAACCGATTTAAAAAAACGGTCCAGAAACACGCAAAAAAACATTTAAAAGAAAGCGTGCGGCAGCGGGTAAACCGTGAGATTTTGCCTCCAGTTGTACGCCGCGCGCGCTCGTTTTTTTGGCCATAACTTTTTTTCTTAGTGGAGCTTTTTTTCAAAAAAACTAAACGGATTATTAAAATGGACAGTCTCCTCTATCGAACAATGTAAAAAAACATATTTTTTTGAATCGTTCTGAAGAAATGGCTTGCGGTCCCTAGATAAACGCCTCAAAGTTCGCTTTAAAGAAGTATATCCTTTCTGAAGATCAAAAAAATAATCATTAAACTTAACAAGTTTTTTTGGATGCATCCAATATAATTTAAAAATGAAGACTATCTTTTATGAAGCTTCCAGAACCATGATGGATCAATAGTTAAGAAATGACCAAAAACTTGGATTGGAAACTTTGCAGCTGGCCAATTGCGAATTACCATTTTTGTTGGTTTTCTATTTAGAGGGTATATTTATAGTACTGAAATGGACTGTTCCCACTCAAAATTATCGATCTTGGACTGATTTTTCTTCTTAGAGGAGTTTTAGTTTTTTTTTCAAACGAATATCGTTTCCCATGTTTCCACAGTTATCACTAAGTTCTTGAATCGTTCAAAAAATTCGTCATTAAATCCATCAAGCGCTCAAAAATAACCACGGTTAAGATCGGATACTTTGAGACTGACCAAGGAAAATTTATTATTTTTCTAGTTCTGTTTTTTTTTTTCAACATGTCAAAATCTCTGATAAAAAATTATGTTTTTGGGAAAAATCCTCATCCTCCTTCTTGCTCTTGATGTCGTCGCCCTTGCTTTTCATGAAAATGTCTTTTGAAATTTCCAGAGTCATCCTCAAATCCGCCAAAAGTTCAAAAATGACCACAACACGGATCGGACGCTTTGCAGCAAAGGACAGTGCTCTCGCTCGGGGCGACAGATGCGGGTGTAAGAAGCGCGGCACGACGGAACACGTGTGCCGGAGGAGAGAAGCTTTTTGTTAAAGTCCTCCTCGGCTGAGGCTCCCCAACTAATCGATCCATCCATTCGATCAGTGCGATGCTCGGCCGGACCGCTCTTCTCCTTCTACTGCTTGGCGTCGTCGCCGACGCTGTTCATGGACCGCCTGGTGAGCCGTTTTGGAAAGGTGTTCAGAGATCTGAAAGTCGTGTTTTCGGTACAATGTGAGGTTCCCAGGTTTTTTATAGAGATTGTATCATTAGCGAAGTGTTTAAAATGAAAAAAAGTATCTGACATCTTCGCCGTCGCTGTTAAGGGACCTGGTGGTGGATTATGAAAAAGTGTTCCGTGTTTTGAGAGTTTCGGTAGACTGGCAGTTTTTTTTTGGTAAAGAAAAGAGCCATTTTAGATTTTTTTTTTAAAAATACTTCAGATGAAGAGTTTCTCGGCAGATAATGAAAATACTGACTTTATATTTTGAGAATTCTGACATATTAGCAGTTTTTCACTGAACTCGTGAGTTTTGAAGACTCTCCTCGTTTTTTTTAACTCTGTGTTATGGCATTTCGGACGCCTTGACGTGTTTAAAAGGAATTTGAAAATTTCAAAGGTTTTAGAAAATTAAGAGGAGTTGAACATTTCCTTTCCGTAATGAGAGACTATAAAGGAACGGAGATAGATAATCGTTTAAAAGGAAATTTGAAGCTCCAAATTATTTTTTTTCTTCGGTAATATATATTTTCAAAACAAGATTTTTATTCACTGAGATGCCTGTCGAGAAAAAAAAGATTCATTTTTTTCAGAATCCCTGTGCGCCAAGTGCAAAGATGGCGAGGTTTGCGTCGTTTCTGAAGGCGAAGTCAAGTGCATCAACGCCGCCGATTTCAACAAGTAACTTTCGAAAAATGGAGATCAATATTTATTTTGGTTTTCCAGAGAGAAGCACACGCTGAAGGAGCCGGTGAGTGAGAAGGGGCATGAAAAATAACCTAAAAATGGTCTCGAACAAAAAAAAAAGTCAATTTTACAGTAACTTAGGTTGCTAGCCGGCAGATTTTCATTTTTTCTTTGTACTTTTGTATCTTTTTTTCATCAAAATACAAACCAAAATTTCTGCAAAAAGCTTCAAAATGAAAATTTAGTCCATTTTCGAAGCTTCTTTGGCGCCAAATTTTTTGCGTATTGAAAAATACCCAATTCGAACTGATTTTCTAAACCGGAAATCTACTTTTTCCACGGAAATCGCATTGTGTTCAAAACCCAAAAACAACTTCCCACAATGTATTCGCCGAAAACCAAACCGACCCCTTTTTTCCGAAAAAGATTTACGATTCATCATAAAATCCCGCCAAGTTTGTCAACGCCAAACGGACAAAAATCCACAAAGCTGTAAATAACCGCAAGAAAAAGAACCTTTCCAAAAAGCCGCGTCTCCAGGCGGAAATCAAGAAAGATTGGGAAGATTTCGGGCCTAATTGATAGTTTATGCGCCTTTTTGGGACCCTCTTTGTGACGAAAAATTCCGCCGCCACCCACGTTTTCTTCCATGGCGATCAACAACAACCGTAGCCGAATGATTCAGAAGGAAATTCAGTTGATTAATGAAAGAAATAAAAAATAATCGGCGAATAAATCTTGGATGTTTCAGCACAACGTTCACGCCAGCCACATGACTCATCACTCCCATGGTGATCAGGGTTGAGTTTTTGGTATTATTTTGAGAGTTTCGAAACTTTTAGAGTACTGGGGAAACAATTTACTGAAATGAATCACGAAAATATGACTTTCTGTATGTTTTCTCTGCTCACAGGTAGAGTCATTTTACTTCGCACTCGGAAACTTCCTGAAAATTGGCCATAACATTCCTTGATGTACCAGAAAAAAGATTCTGAAAGTCTCAACCTGCCCAAATTCCTAGTTCTCAAGAAATAAGGGTCTAAAGCCCCAAATTAATTATTTTAATGAACTTTGAGCGTTTCTTTGAACTTGCAGTGTCTTTTATAGAAAAGTAGAAAATTGTGCAGGTTAAGACTTTCAGAATCGTCTTCTGGTTTATCAAAAAGTGTTCTAGCCAATTTTCAAGAAAATCCCAACCGTAAAGTAAAATGAGCTCTCTTGTTAGAACTTTACAATCTTTAAAAGTCCATCCAAAAAATCTGTATTTGGTTTTTTTGAGGCTTAGTTATTTTCAAGGAAAAAGTAAATCTATATTTTGAAGTTCTGTTGGAGTTCATTTACAACTTTCACCTGGTCTTAAATGAGTTTCAGGAGCTCTTGAAACTAGATTTAATTTTTTTTTAATTCATGGCGTTACTAAAGGCAGAAAAAAAGACACCACCCAACAGACTTTGATCACAGTAGAGTTTTTCTTTTTTTGAAGTAAAATATTCGATTTGAAACTCTGAATTCATTGTAAAGGACAAAAAAACTGATTGAAAAATAATTATTATATTTTTGGAGGCCTCATTTTCATAAAATATCTCAGAAGAACTTTTTCAGAATTTTTATTCAAAAAAATTTTTTTTCATCAAATTTTTTTTCGAGTTTTTTTCATAGCAGCGCACTTTTTATTGAACTATTTGGAAAAATTCATCAGTCAGTTGTCAATTTTGAAAGTTTCATAGAAGCCAAGAATAATTGTTTTCTTTGCTTTTCAGAATTTCTTTTTCTTCAAGGTATATGCATTTTCAAAAATATTTTTCATCAAACTTTGTTCGAGTTCCCAAATTTTAATCTTTTCCTTAAACTTTCTAACTGAAAAAAACACTAAAAAGATTCAACAATTTATTCATAAAAAAAGAAAAATTTTACAACATATTTTCAATAGAAAACCCGCATTGCAATGAACCCAATCGATAAGAGAATTGAACTGTATTTACAAAAATGAAATCGATGCTATAAATTATAAGAACGAAGAAGGTTCAGAATGCTCCAAGGATGAGCTGAATCGTCTCGGCGGACGTCTTCTGAAATGGTTCAAGGACGTGCACGACGTCGTCCCTGGAGAAGACAGAACCCTCAAGTGTTCGTTTTTCTTTTTGAACTTGGAAAGAAGAGGAAAAGGGAGGTAATATGATGGACTAGTAGGAAAAAAGCTTGCTGGGGGGTGAATGAAGCTTAAGGGGGCACTTGAATGTTTGAGGCTTTAGGGGCCACTTGGAGATTTGAAAAAGGAAAAGCTTGAAAAATCATTTGTGGCAGTTGAGAAGCAAACTAAGGTATTCAGGAAACCACTTGAGAAGCTAGAAAACGGGGGGATCTTAAGAAACCACTTAAGGAAAAAAATACGGCTTAAAAGATCATTTTGAGAGAGCCAAGAGACTACTTTAGTGATTTGAAGTTTTTTTCAACGAGAGGACTCCAATATTCAACTTCCTAAGTGGCTTCTTGAGGAATGGAAGTAATAAAATTCGAAGTGATCATTTAAGAGATTTTCAAAAATTGGAAAATTCAAGGACTAAAAAGAAAAAAAGACTGAAAAAATAGGTTCATTTTTTTTTAAAGTGATTCCTTAAGGACTGAAAAAATCTTAGAATTAACCGCGAGACTTAATAAGAGACGAAGAAAGTTTAAGCTCGTGAGGGATCCCTGAAGTGATGCCAGGAAAATCTTTTGACGTCATCAGAACTTGGCTTGGGCTCCGCCCATTGTCAGCGCTTCCTGTAAAAAGATTTTGAACTCGCAATTTTTGACATTTATGAGCTTCGAAAATCCCTTTCACGACGTCAGATCGCCGAAAAAGGAGAAAGAAAAGACGCAAGCCGCCAGCCACAAAATGCAACCGGCGGCCCCGATTTTACGCTTGGTTTATCGCTGTCGGTTTCGGTGTAATGCAGCAAACGGCCCGGCGTTAATTCCGTTCGATCATTTTTATTTGCCGCCACACGAAAAAAAAAGTCAATTTTGAACCGGAGAGCAAGAATTGGCTCACTAGTTGAGTAAAACTTCTAAGCGTAATTTTTTTTAAGATCTGGTTTTTTTAATTTTAGGGGAAGTATGAGTGGACTAATGTTTGAAAAAAGTCAAATTTGTTTCTGAAATGCAGTTATAAGCTTATTTGTTGAATCATGCTTAATTCTGAAAAATTTTGATGATTCTTTTTTTCCCCAATTTGGGGAAGAACGAGTAAGTAATTTTTGAAACCTTCTAATATTCAAAAAAAAGGCCAAAATATTGAAAAATTGAGATTTTAAAAAATGAAGCTTAAAAAATCACTTAAGAAAGCCAGCTGACTACTTTAGTGGATTTTTGAAACTCGAGCTGTTTTAAAAAGAGTTTTTTTTTCCTTGAAAGTCAATCCGAATTTTCCGTCAACTTCAAAACTTTTGAAGCAGAAATTCCGAATAAAAAATCAGGAAGTGGTAGACTTTTTTTTAAAGACATTCAGAAATCGCTAAAAACTTTTCGAAACTTGGTGTAAGCTTTTCTTTTAAGGAAATGGAACCAAAAATTATTTTTGTAACCAAAAAGCGTGGCCAACTGTTTTTAATTAGAAAAAAATTCAATTAGAAAACTTCTTTCTCCTTGAGTTTACCTGATAAGTAGGCGGCGGCTGAGAAGGTACGACGAAATATGGAGGCGGAAGTGTGCCGGTTTCCATGTCATGGTGGAGCTCTTCCTCGTGCTGACGGAGGTGTAACCGCCTCATGTGTCTTTAAAAGTCGATTATTGTATTTTGAATTCAAAAATCTCTTTCAAAACTGTATGAGACTGATCTGATGAGTCGACCTGTTCACTCATGAAATAGACTGACACTCAGCAAGGTGCAGAAAGAAGAAATTTTGATCTACCAAAGCAAATATATGAGATTTTGGCGCTGGAGATCAGTTTATCCTTCTTCAATTTGAAGCCTTTCTATTCACGTTCAAAGTACTTTTTTAGAAAATATGATCTTTCTTCTTACATTTTTCATCCCATCCTTTCACAGAACGTCCCTTAAGAAACATTTTTTATTATTTTTGAAAAATTTGCGATTGTTGAGGCAATTTTTTTATTCAGTATTTCAAGAATAATGTACTCCATTCACTGTTAGAATGAAAATATAAAGCTTTAAAAAAGACGATAATTTTCATTTGAAGGACCTCAGGAAATGGCACACGAATTTCAATGCCATTTTCAAAAACACGACGAATTCCCACACAAATCTCAGCAGCCTTGAAAAACGGCCGACGTTCGGTGGCCACAAAAAGAGGCCATTTGTTACCTAACCATGTCGCCCTAACTCATTCCGCTCATTAAGGCTAACCCCTTATGGGAAACCCCTGCCCGTCATTAATTTGCCACCGTCTTTGTGGTTTGAAAATAGGAGAAAGGCGTCATTTTAAGTTATTTTTCAATTTTTTTTTTGCCGGGGGAAGTCATATTTTCATTGGAAAAAAAAGCAGCAGAGACTCCATTTTTGCTCACTTAGGAAGTCTTGAGGTGTTTTTTTAAATATTGATTACTTATTTGGTCCAAACTTCAGTGTTAGGCGGTCCTAGGACAAAAAACTTGAAAATAGAAAAAAAAAGCGCCATAGGATAGTAGATCACATCGAAAAATGGGAAACGTCTAAACGGCTTTTTTTTTATTTTTGAAACCTAAAAAAATTTTTTTGTAAGAAGATATTGTTATGAGAAACAAGATGAAACGCCTTTCGAAAGGATATTCTGGATAGAAGATCTTTTTTGGCTCATTTTGACTATATTTTTTCAGATTCCTCATGTCGCTTAGCTGACGCTTAAAGTTTTTTAGATTTGCGTTTTTTCTCACAATCTTCCTCAGTCATTAGAGAGTTTTTTTCCTATTATAACTTTGATAAAATCTATTTTGGATTGTTCATAAATTTCGTGCCATTTTTCTGACAAAGAACCGAAATGAAAACTATGGTGATCCCCACGAGGGCGTCGGCGTGGAAACATTATCTTCGATTTTATCGGCCCTTTTAAGTGTGTGTAGTACTGATTTTTCTTTCAGATTACATATTTCCCATTAAAGGTCATACTCTTAATCGTTTAAGGAATTTTTACACAAAAAAATTCAATTTAGAAAGTCTTAAAGATTTGAGGATCCAAAAAAATTTTTGAAGTTCTACGAGGCTTCCCAACAGAATTTCCTATCTAGAAGCAAAAAAATCTCACGTATTTTTGTTTAATATGATGTTTAGGAAATTTTTCATCTGAGAATTACTTACAGGATTTTTTTAAAAATATTTAATAAATGAATAAACTTTGTCTACATATCAAATCATAGATAAAAAAAGTTTCTAAAAGCTATTTTCAGGCTCAGAATAAACTACTTTTTATGCTTTCTTTTTTTAAAAACATTTTAAAAGCTTCTCAAAAATATTTCTTTCAATAATCCATTTTCAAAAGAAAAAGCAAAACTACCTGGCTAGGAAGAAGAGAAAAAGGAAGAAAAGAAGGCTAGCTGCGGCGCCATTCGCCATCGACTGCCGGTACATTTCCCGTAATAGCTTCTTTTTTTTTCCTTCTTTTCTTTTCTTTTTGGACTCTCTCCTGTAATTCTTGAGGTTACGAAACGAAAAAATGAACGAAAAAAAAAAAATCGAAAAAGGTATAGTCTGTTCATAAGTACACTGGGGCCTTTAAAGGAGCATAGACGAAATTTAAAAAAGGTCTCGAGGAGAAGAGCTATTTTCAGCACATTTGTTTGGATTCAAACTTCTGGGCAGAATTTCGAACCAATCATAGGGAGATATATGAATTTTATAGCGTGCTTTTTATTTAATAAGTTTCAAAATTTTAAAAAATGACGAGATAAGAGAATTGTATGATATTGGCTCACAAACAAAAAAAGTAAGAATCAGAAATCAGTATTTATTTTTTTCAATCATTTTTTTGATTATTTGATCTGAATTTCAAAGGATCATTGAATTTCTAGAAAAAAATCCTAAAACAATTGGTAAGATAATTGAAAAAGAAATGAGAGACTTTTACAGTAACCTGAGCTTTTTTGAAAAACCAATCTTCTCATTTTCTAATGCTCCAAGGTTGAAAAATTTGGCTTTTCGTCAGGATGATTCGAAACAAACAAAGAACGCCGAAATTTCTGTTCCTTCTCCTCGATTGGCAAAAAAAAAATCCACCCCGAAAGAAAGAAGGAAATTAAATTTAAACGTGCGCGTGAGGAAAATGAGATGAGAATTGAGGAGATTCAAGTTTAATTAAGGTCATGTTGAGGCTCAAACAACAGAAAGAAAGTAGAATAAAATGGAAAAATTGGCTTTTTTTAGGGGGAAAAAAAGCTGGAAATGCGAGATTTGGTTGATTTTTTTAAACGAAAAATTTAAGGTCGGAAGTTCAAAAAGTTTGTTAAATGAATCTATGAAAAAAACTTAATTTCCGGAAAAAAACTTTCACCACCCCCGCAGAATTTAAAAAAACTAGATGCTTATCTAAAAAGATTTACGAAATTGTATCTGCAAAATAAAGCTTTTTAGGAATCCTAATGCACCTTCCTTCCCAGGAAAAACAAAAATTAATTAGCCAGAAAGCCTTAAAATCTTTTTCCTTTTGATAAATATTTTGACGTGGAGAAGTTTCCCTTAGAGCTTATGGCTGAAGTCCTGAAATATCACTCGATTTTTTACTAACAAGAAGGGTTTTTGGAATAAAAACAGAGACAAAGAAGTTTGTAGGAAAAAAAACCAAAAATTTTTCGAAATTTCAAATTTTGTGACATTTTTTTTTTAGTTCTTCATAGTGTCCCTCAATTTTGAGAGATAATAGGAACTAAAGTTACCGCTAAAATATAAATATGGTCGAATGACAACAAAATGGGAAAATGGGATGATCGTAGTGGTTTGGAGAAGTAAAAAAGGATTTTCTGTCATTTTGGAGAAATTTATTGGGCATAGAACAATTCTATTAACTTGATTTTTTTTCTTCAAATTTGCCAAATTTTTTTGGAAGATTTAGTAAGTGAGATTGCGCTTTTGTGGAATTTTCGGAGAAGAAAAAGATTCTGAAGCTTGAAACTCGACTTCTCTTCGAGTAAAAATCATGATTCAAACGGAAGCAGTTCAAATTCATAAAAAAAACATAAGAATCATAAACTTACACACGAGTTGGTTGAAAAATTTTGAGCCTAGAAGATAATTTAGGAGCTTAAAAAAAAGATTAGGTCGTATTTTATCAACATAACACCATTTGGGAGCTTGATATCTTAACTTTCACTCAAAAACTTTATTGATTCAGAAACGGTTCGAAACCGCAGAAAGAAAAAAAGAATTTGGGATAATTATGATAGACAGAAATTCAGAAAAAAAATCTGAGAAACTCCACTTTGTTTTTTTAAAAGTTAACTTAATATTTTTTTAATCTAAAAATATGTTTCAACTAAGAATTCAAAGGTGTATCAAAAAAAGGGAAGAGGTGTGGTGTGTGGGCCTCCCGTGGCGAAACGGCCTGATGGTGGGCGGTCGATCCGAAAAAGGAGAGAGGAGACGTTAAAGAAGGAGAAAAGAGGAGAAGGAGGAGGACACAAAACCTCCTCCTCCTTCCCCTCACCAACATTAAAACGACACGAGACGGGGAAAAAAAAAGAGAGAACCTCCTTATTTTCCTCCATTGTCACAGTGAACTGTCGAGGTAAACGGTCGTTTCCACAATGACAATGATATATAATAATATGGTAACTCGACTTTGATGGGTACCTCTGAGAGAAGAACGACGGCTTCCTCTGAATTGAGCTTTTTGTAGAGTTCGGAGTGCTTTAGTTGGTTTCTTTAGGTTTGGAAAGGATGGTGAAGCTTAATTATTAATGCAATAAGAAGCGAACATTTTCAAAATTCCAAGGATATAAAAGGCTCGAAAAACTCACACCTCAATCATACGATAACCGCAAAAAGGTCAAAATATATAAAAAGAAAAGTACAAAATAAAAGTCTCCAGCACCATTTTTTTTGTGTATCGCAAGCCCATCGGTTCATTTATGTGAGTTTCAAATCATTAAAATGCAGTATTCAAGAAAAATCAATTTTTTTAATCTGTCATTTTTAATTTGAAGCTTCTTGTTTGAGCTGTCCAGAACACTTTCTCAATATCTTGTCCAAAATATGAATTTATCTGGCTTATAATCCAATCACAAAAAAGTTTGGAAACGAATGTCTGGAATGGAATGGACATCGTTATGTGGCGAGGAAATCATCTACGGTTGGAGAAAAAAGATGATTTTTCGTTTGAGTTTTATTAATTTGAAGCAGTATTATAATTACAGGAAATTTTATGAAATCAATTCATGATATTCAGAAGAAAATTTCGAGATTCCGATAAACTCTTTGAGCTGTGCATTTTTCAAAACCGGATTAAACTTATGGAGGTCTTGAATTTTATGCTGGCAAATGCTGAATAAAAAATGAAAGGGAAGTTGGATAATCGGCCCATTACGCTGACGGTTTAATTGCCGCATTGTACCAGTTTTTGTGAAAATGCGAATAGTTCGATATTGTCGAAATCACTTTAAAAAAAAAGGTTTACTAGCCTGAATAATAAGGGACTTGTTTAAGAATTTGCTCTTATTGACAGCCATCTTCCTTGGACCGATCGGAACTTTTCTCTTGTTCGAGCCGTCGATTGAAAATAATGCCTGTTAGAATACCATTTTCAGTGCACACGATCGCATGCCGTCCGGAAGTCGCCTGGATGTTCCAGCAATGGGACGGCAACAACGACGGTCACCTTACTAAGGTCCTTTGTTTTTTTTACTATAGTAGGATACAGTAACCATCAAGACTTTAGGCCGAAATGCGTCCGATGGAGCGTGGCGGCAACGAGAAGTGCACCGAGCAGCTGATCGACATGTGCGGTAGGGTCGATCCGACGACATCCAAAATGACGTCACGATGACTTCAGATGACATCGACGTCAACGGCGTCATCTCGGTCGACGAATGGTGCGACTGCTTCTCCTTCTCCGATGACCACGTCCACGAGCCGCCCTGCCACAAGGCCAAACACGGAGCTGATCCTCATCTTCTAGGTTTGGAAATTAATTCAAGGGGGCTCGGAAAAGCTGTCCGGAATGAAATCTAACATCAACTCTCAATTGACGTCAGAGTGGTCCATATAGGGGTTAAATAATACAGCCCTATAGGGGACAAAATTTATCCACCCATTAGGATAAAATTTAGGGGTCTATAGGGGTTTAGGGTCGTTAAACTTTTTTCGATTGACCAATTTTTTTTTAAATTCAGCATCAAAGTGATTTATCTCAATGAATATTGATAGAAAAAAACGTGAAAAATGTAATATTTTTTTATTGTGAATTGTTTGGTAAAATAAATGCATAGGCAAAGTCGGAAAGGGTGAAAAAAGCTCCATAGAAATGTTCCTGTTTGCTGCCTTTTTGCGCCATTTTTTAGGCCCTTTTGTACCCTTTTTGCTGCCTCTCCCTTTTTCCACCATTACTTGAGCTTTTAAAATCGAAGAAAAAATGGAAGGCTCAGTAAAGGAACTCTTTTCGCCGCCTTTTTTGAGCCTCTCCCCTTTTAGCGGCCATTGACCAAGCCGAATTTGCCCTAGTGGTTCAAAAACTGGCGGTTTTGTTTCAGGTATGAGAAGAAGTCTAAAAAGCACTTTCATTATTTTTCTGCTTCAAACTTTAAGATTTTTTAAGATTGTAGAAACTTTAAGATTGAACCATATGCTTCATTTGTCCTTGACACCTTGAGGACATAATAAAATTCGAATAAAAGATAAACTCGTGGAATTTCATCGGCGAGGGGATTACCACGGCGGCCAGACAAATTCGAAGTGACATTTGTAGTTGTTGTTGTTTGTTGGGGGCACCCGCGGACATCCCGCTGATCATCGTCGCTCGATTGAAGAGGATTTGAACTTTCTGAGCGTTTCAGGTTAAGTAGATTCTTTGGGAGACAACGGCTTGCATATTTTTTGGATTGAAGGAATTTTTCAATTCTTCACGTACGAAACTAATTCTGAACTCGGTTCAAAAAGAATATTTTTGAAAACTTACTGAATTTGAATTTTTTGATTTTTTGGGTTTTTTTTTTCTGTATCTACGGAATGAACAAGTCTGTTTTTTTTCAAGGACTTTATCCGTTTTTTAAAAATCTTAAAATCTTTTTTATCTAAATACATTTCGAATTTTGATGCTACCTGTCGAGCGCAGGTGTTGATGAAATTTTCAAAAACTTTTTTTCTGGTTTTTTGAAAAAATGCCAGTTCAACGGCTCACTTGGGGCGCTGAGGGGGCGTGGCGTGTCTGCGCTTTCCACCAACCAGGCAATATCTCTTTTATTCTCTTTTATTATCGTGTCAGGACCCTTTTTTTGATGGCTCAAGCCAGTCGTGAATCAGCTATATACAGAAGAATTTATTATCTGAAACTTTGAAGTAAAAGAAGAATTTTGCAGGTGTGTACATCCCCCGCTGCGACCTGGAAGGCTTCTACAAGCCGGAGCAGTGCCACGACGGGGCCTGCTGGTGCGTCGACCGATTCGGCCGCGAATTCGACAAATCCCGTGTCGCCAACCAGCTGCCCGACTGCGGACAGTACGGTGGGTGGTTAACAATGGAGAAAGGACTGTCTGAACTTTGAATGCTTTCTTACCGTCACAGTACTGTCCACACGACAGATTGGTCGCTAGAGGGGCAACCTTAGACTCTTAGGTTCTCCTCAATGAACTTTCATTCCCTAGCCCCTTTAGTGACCACTCTGGCATTCCTAAGTGAAGAATGCTTCATTCTCCACTACTTGAACACTTAACCTGTCTACGTCTTCTTTCTCTCCCCTTCGAAGTCATAGAAAAATAAAAATAGTGTGTCAATAAGGGAGAGCAGAGAAATCAGACATTACGGAAAACTTTCTATATAGCCTGGACTTGATTGAAAACTTTCCCAAATAAAATGAGTTTCAATACCGTTCAAATTAATTTTTTCCAGCCTCCGACATGACCGAAGAGGACATCGCCACGTTGAAGGCTCGTCTTTAAACCATTTCGTTTTTTTAAAATTTCAACACTGCCTTTTAATGTCTTTTTTATTGCTTGTTTATTGATTTTTAATTTTTACTGTCTTACAGCTCCATTTTATGTTACATGAAATCGTTTCTATCAATTTTTAAATGTATCTGTGTTATAAAGCTTGATTTTTTTATTCATTTTTTTGTTTGAATTACGTGAAATGGTTCATTTCTTTCCTTGTAAGAGGAGTTACTTAAATTTAAATAATAATATATTAAAATCGAATAAGAACAGCTACGAAAAATAGTACGAAAAATTTTTGAAACCCAATGTTGAATTTTGTATTTTTATTGATAAGCATCAAGTTTCGCATTAAAATTTTTTACGAAAATTTATTTCTAGCCTATCTTTACTTTTTATTCCTAGCTTTTATTTTCCAAGGTTTGCATTTTTTATATATTTATTTCGAAACGAAAACGACCAGTATCGAAATTTGTTTATCAGTCTATATCAAAGAAGTTTTGTACTAACACATTTGAAATTATTGTTGCTTGACTTTTTCCGTTTTTCCATAGCCAAATAAGCTCCTAACCTTCCGAATAACGAAACAAGCGACAAATTTGACAACTTTGTACAAAATGAAGAGAATTAAGAGAATTGCGGCCAATAAAAAGGCCATGACGTCGAGTGAATGGTACTGGAAAAAGTTGAGCTTCTGCCCGGCAGGTACCTGGAAATTTTTGGATTTGATATTTTATTTCGATTAAGATGTACCAAGTTGTCGAGGGTCTTGAACTCGGCCAAAAACTCGGTCCAACGGACCAACAACGTCGCCGGCTGAATCGGTTTGTTCTTTGCCATTGCCGAAAGTCGTTTCACTTTTTGTGAGTAACTGAAAGATTTACTTTATTTTATTAGAAATAATATTCAAAAAATCACCTGTCGTCATTGAGAATCGTCCGAATCGCCTCAACCACATGTTCCTTGCTCAGCGTGTCTTTCTTGACACTGACGGCGAAACCTAAGAAAAAGTTATTCGATTAATTTTGAGAATTCCAAATTTTGTTTCTTAAGCTGGCTAAATTATTTGAAATCAAAGTTTTAAGCTTGATGAAGGCATGTATAATTTCATGGAAGTCTCCAATAACTTTTCTAATTCGAGTTAAAGTTTCAATAATCACATTTTTTTAAGTCCTATCGAGAGTTCGTTCAATTTGATATTCTTCGTTTTTTTTGGAATTTTTTGAGTCGCTTTTTGAGAGTTTTTGAGCTCCGATAGTAAAATATAGTCTGTTCAGATTCTGAATGGGAAGTAGAATGACGTCATTCGAAAACTCTCTGTGGTTAGCTCGCTCTCTGATTGGTTTATCGTGCCATCAGGGGGCGGAGCTTGAGCGAGGACTTAACATTCGAAATCTGAACAAACTACATTCATTCTACAGTAATAAAAGTTTATTAAATCACTGTTTCTACCTCAATACCTAAAACAAAACTTAATTTAAAGATGCTGGAGAAATTAATGAAGAAAAATGGAAACAATAAAAAACCTTACGAAGACGTTTAAAACTTTTAGATGTACCTTTTTCGGCTCTATAAAATTAGGATGAATTCACAAACCGTGTTTCTTGGCCAACATTGCATTTTTGGGTTGGTCTCCAAACAAAGCGATTGTGATCAGAGGAACTCCGGCGGAAATCGCTTCCTAAAGTTAAAATTTATGTCAGTTATCTTTTTTTGAAACCTGAAGACTGTTATATCCTCCATGGGTGATAAAAGCCTTGGTTTTCTTGTGAAGGAGGAGATCCTTCTGGGGAAGCCAATTGAAGGTGTGAACATTGGGTGGGAGACGGTCTGAAACAGAAAAATAGTATTTTTGTCACCAAAAAGGTCGCCATTTTTGCATCTTTTTTTTCAGTTTTAAAATAACATTGACAATAGTAAATGAAAGAATCGAAGAAAGAATGGAATGAATAATTTTTCAACTACTTTTTAATGATCACCTTTCAAGTCGTCAGCCACGTAGCGCCACAGGAAATGATTATTGGGGAATTCTCTGAAAGTAGAAAGTTGAGAATCAAATTAACTATTTACACTCTTCATTAAGTTTTGCATTCCAAAAGGCTTATACTTTTTTTTTCAAAATTACAAGAATTTTTTAAATTTCAAAAGTCTTGATTCATCTTATTTTTGCTCTAACAATGAAGCTCATTTTTTTTGCGACTGAGAGTTCTTTCAAAATCGGTCAGAACACTCCTTGATGTACCAGAAAATGTTGAAACTCTCAACCTGCACAACTTTCTAGTTTACGAGAAAAGACCACCTATCTTCAAAAGAATCTTCGAGAATCCGTTGATGTAGGCTTTTTGAGCCCCTATATCTCGAAAGTAGAAAGTTGCCCAGATTGAAACTTTCAGAGCCTTTTTCTGGTCTATCAAGGAGTTTTTTGGCCGTCTTACAGAAGCTTTCCAATCGCAAATTGAAATTATCTACCTTGTCAATTTGTAAAGCCTTTCCCAAAACTCAGCAATTTTTTTAAGATATCTGTGCTCCATTTTCAACTTCCCTTGTCTGATCGATACAACCAAAGCTCACCTGAAAGCATCCAAAAAGGCCTGTTTCCAATTCTCGGGCATCTCGTGGGCTGCAGCCACAGAGCCGAACGAAAATACGATCATTCCATCGGCTTTCTCGGCGATTTCTTTGAATTCCTGAACAATCCCGTTTATTCAGCCGTTTTTATAGATTTTAAGTTTTCTTCATTGTCACTCGCTTGAAAATTTTTTTAAATGTATTTTTTGCAAAAAAGTTTAATTTCTGCATTATGCGCACAAGAGTTCTTTGAAACGATTTTTGGATGTTTAATCGATAAAATCAGTTAGAACCCCCTTCAACGGCTTAGCGTCGCTGAATCCGACTCCAAGGCCTCCGATTTTCACAACTTTGTCCAAATATGGCCGTGGAACGTCGTAGATCTCATTCGTATTTACCATGACCTTAAAATTACATTAATATGTTGGATTTTTTTCTCAAAATACCAAAGGACACTTTGCAGCGACTTCTAGGAGGTCAGGAAAATCTGCCCCGAATTCTTCTCTGAAGAGAGCCGTTTCCTTGTCTGTGTTCATTCTGAGATCATTCTTGTTAGATTATTTAAAAAGTGAATCCTTTTTTTTGGCATTACTTGACCCAGATGATTTGCGTAAGAACATGTCCGATGAAACTCTTGATTCTCTCGTAGAACGTCATCGTGTCCATTGCTTCCATCATGATGGCTGAAATAAGGTTTATTAGATTTTATTAGACGTTGTCAAGAGTCGAAATTGGAAGGCACTAAGAATTCGGTATCTTTGCTCTTTCCAAGTTTGTTTTTAGAAATAGTAGAGGTCTTCAAAAAAATTTACAAATTATCAACTAGGCTCGTTTTCAGAAGTAGGTCAAGCCTCGGTAATGCAAAAATTGATAAAGTGCTGCCCATAAAGTAGTTTTGGTTTTTTGTACGACACTCCGCTAAAACGCTTCGAAAATCGGCTGAAACGTATATCAGATTGAAGAGGAAGGTTTTCTGTATGTTTTCACAAATTTTCTCCGTTTTTGGTTCAGTAATGCGCTTTTACGAGAACATCAAACTCAAAAACTAAAAACCCGTGCATTTCACCATCGCAAAAAGGGGCGTGGCTTCCCGGTCTCTACATAAAGGTATTTCAAAGGGGTTTTTCGAACATAACTTCTCTGGAAATGGTTCAAATGTCTTGAAACTTCGCACAGATTTCAAATAGCCATGCAGTAACTAATTCTTGCGAGCAGAACACATTTTCTCGAGTCAGACCAGATTTCTGAGCAAAAAACCAAAAATCGTGTAAATTGAATTTTTTGGTTGAGATTTGAAAAATCATATTTTCTTTCAAAAATTGATATTCATTCTGGAACTTGTTTCCCTTGTAGAACAGGCTTCCCATAAAATTTAATCAGTCCTCGACCAATCCGATAGCAAGAGGGCAGTAACTTTTTTTCTTAGGAAGTCTTCCGAGGCCTCATCATTCAAATGGACTATACGTGGTCGACAAAGAAGCAAAACTTCAATTTGAGATATTTTTGCAAAATTTGAGAACCTATTAATTTTTTTTCACAGATTTCTGTGGCTTTTCGAGCTTTCATTTTTTAAAAATATTGAGTCGAACGTTGCTCGAAACTACCGTTTTCAATTTGAAGCTCAGCGAGATCGAAGAAATTTAACTCAACCTTGAAGTTTCTAAAATCTTCATTTGAACTTTCCTGACTAAACCTCAAGTTCAGAGCTCACTTCACAAAATATTTATAGTTATTTATAATTCAAAAACCAACGAGGAATATAGCTGGGAATGATTGGAACGCCGATCACATTGGCGACGCCATCCCACAAAGCGCCGCTATAAAATTAATGCATTTCTTCGGAAATGTCCGCACTTTAGAGATTTTACCTGTTGAGCCAAACCCAGGAAGGAATCTTGGCGATGTGAATGATGCCGATAGGGCACGCCGAGTACATGTGGCTGAAGGCGACGTCGAATTTCTCGTTTTCGAACCAAGTCATGAATTCTTTGTTTCGGAGTAGGTCTAGAAATTCATATTTCTTGAAGTTTTCAATAAGTCCAAGTTATAATTTTTCTTTTTCAATTTTTGCAATCTTGAGGAGGGTATAAAGACAATGAACGTGTCATTTCGGGTTCTTTTTAACTTCAATATAACTATTCTCTGTCTTTAATATTTATTTTTGAACTGAGCAAAGCTTTTTTGCAAAAACTGAAATATTTTCTCTACTTACTAATAATTTCAAAAAATAAAAAAACCAACTTCGACATCCTTCTCTCCACATTTGGGTCATGTTTTGAATCATCGCCATCATTTCCCAGTCGAACATTCCGGTGTCCTGAAAAATCCATTTTTATAGAAAAAAAATGTATTTGGAAAAAACCTTGTAGATGAACTTGGCCTGTATTTTTTCGAAATCAGCTTTTTTCATTCCTTCGACGTGACCTTGCGCGTCGTATTCTTGAAAAAAAAGGCATAATACATACTTTTTCGATTTGAAAACGACTCACTTTGTATTCTGGAGTCAATTTTGACATCGGAAGAGTCATAATCGCTGAAGTAGGAAAGATAGACGAGGGTGACGTTATGACCGGCATTCGTCAAGGATTCTGCGACCCGGGCGTTGAATTGAACCTGGAAATCGGAAATTAGACTCAAATTATCGTATTAGTGGGATTGAAGTATATAGCCTGTGTATCACGACTTGGAATTTCACCAAACGACAAAAAAAAACCTGACTATTAGCCATATTTGGCACCAATACCGCGACTTTGTAGGCGATAGCGACGGTTGAACAGCATGTCAGTAATAGGAGGAGTTGTAGATTCATCTGTAGGGAAATTAGTTGATAATATTTATTCGTTCAACGATGAAAATTGGGAAAGAGCGGCCGATTTTCCATAGAAAGGCTCAGACAGAAATTAGAAAGGGTCTTATTTTGACTTCTAGATTCTCTATACTGAAAAAGAAAACAGTTGAGCCGAAGGATGAAATACAAAACTCTCAAGTGAAAGGAAGCATGGGGAGAGAAGAGAGAGGGGAGACTTAAAGAAATCTGTTTTTCTCCATTTCCCACACTCTCTCGCTTTCTAGCTAGGATTTTAGTACAAAACATAAAAAAAGAGTGAAATTTTAGAGGTTTTTTTAAGAAATAAAACGAACAATTTGAAAAATCGAGAGAGCTTGGAAGCTAAAGAGACTTCTGAGAAGTAGAGAAAAAAAGCACAGTTTCTTCCTAATTTTTTTAATTCAAAAAGGAAAAAAATAGAAGCGAAAAAAACTTTTAAAAACTTCAAATTTTTTTAACACTGTTAAGAAGTTTAAAAAGAAATGTACATTATTTTAAGAACCATGAAGATTGAAAAAAATGATCAGAAACTGATAAAGTCACAAATTTCCACCTGTATTTATATCGTCGTTTGCATCACTGGAGTTGACGTTTTCTCGGTCTGATAGTGATCGTTGTTGGCTTTTGAGTGTTTCGCAATTGATAAATTTTTTTGACTTCCTAGACCATTTTTTTCAAAAAAGTTCTTTGTAGTTTTTGTTCTTTTTTTAAATTTAAAAAAATAAAAAATATATCTTAAATTTTTTTCCTGCTACTCGCATAATAAAAAGGGTACAAAAATAAAAAAATCAAATATTTAATTTGTAGTTTTTGAAGTAGTTCGTCCTATTGAGAAGAGCATGTCCATGTGCGAAGTTTGATTATTAGTTTGCATATCAATTTTTTTTTCTATCTCAGGAAAATCCTGGGAAAGTGTTGGGAAAGTAATCGGAAGGAGACTGGAAAGTGTAGGGAAGCCAGAAGGTCTTGAGAAAGTCTCAGGAAGATGTTCAGAAGGAATTTGGATGGTAAAATCTTGGAAATTCCGGGCCACCTGCCAGAAGCCTTCCGCCAGGTTGCTGGCAGGCGTGGAAGCTATCTTCTCAACGTCTTCCGAGCCTCTTACTAGGGTTTTCGTGAGTATAGACCAGAGTATGAAGCTTTACTAAATGTCCTACCAACATTCCGTCCCCGGGGCTGATTCTGATATATTAATAAAATCAAGACAACCAGAAGACTAAAATATTTTTTCTCTTTTTCAGTTTTTCTTAGAAAAGATTTATTCATTTAGTCAGGATTGATAACATTTAGAAAACTATCCTGGAGGTGAAGAGCCCTTTGAAGACCAAAAACCGGAAATCTTTGACAAGGATGCTTTGGAGGTAGTTTTTGAGTCAGTATCGTAGGACTTCTCCTTTTTTCAACGATTTTTTAAGAATTTTACTTATGAGTGGAGCTTTTTTAGTTTTTTCAAATCATTCAGTGAAGCCTGCTCTTTTAAAAAAAGCCTTTTTAGTTTTGTTGAGGGGGGAAAAGATCGCTAAAGACTTTCATGTCTTCCTGAACGATTTTCTGCGATTTGAAGTCATCAAGCGGTTTTAAAAAGTTTCTTTATGACTTCAGAAACAGCTAGTGGTCACTAGAGGGTTTCCCGCTCTTTTCAAACCATGTCTAGAAACTTTTAGTCTTTACAGGAGCTTTTTAACTACTTTTTGATGATTTAGTAATAACTAGAGGATTTCACATACTGCAAACAATTTTCTGTATTATTAGTCGTTAAGCAAACAAGAGATTTTTTCAATTTTTTTTTCTGAATAATTCAGATATTTCGGGATATATTTTATAATTTCAAAACGATAAACTGATGTTTTCAAGCCTTTTTTGAAACGACGATGAGTTTTATGCGGTTTTTTTCAGATTTGTGTAAAATGATAATAAAAAAATGAGTTTATTTTTCATATGGAAGTAAACAATAATTAAATCTATATACAATTCCGGCTACTGTTGCTTGACTTTTTCAGTTTTTCCATAGCCGAGTAAGCTCTTAACTTTCCGAATAACGAAACAAGCGACAAATTTGACAATTTTGTACAAAATGAAAAGAATTAGAAGAATTGCGGCCAATAAAAAGGCCATGACGTCGAGTGAATGGTACTGGAAGAAGTTGAGCTTCTGCCCGGCAGGTATCTGCAATTTTTTGGATTCGATATTTTATTCCGATTAAGATGTACCAAGTTGTCGAGGGTCTTGAACTCGGCCAAAAACTCGGTCCAACGGACCAACAAAGTCGCTGGGGGAATCGGTTTGCTTCTTGTCATGGCTGACAATCTTTTGACATTCCGAGAATAGCTGAAAATATTCTGATTCTCGAAATTATGATAAAAAAGATACCTGTCGTCAGTAAGAACTGCCCTGATTTCCTTGACGATATTTTCTTTGTTGAGGGTACCTTTTTTGATCTCAACGGCGAAGCCTGGAAAGATATCGTTCATATTCGGATTCAGCTTCTTTTTCAGAAGATGAAAATTAGATTTTTTTTTTTCCGTTGATTGACTAGGAAATTCTTTGGAGGCTTAGGTGAAGATCTTGAACGCTTCAACCTGCCTAAATTTCTGAGAAAGACTTGAAAGTTGTTAAATTTTCTATTCAACAAAAAAATTTGGGGATTTTTTTGAACTTTGAAACTAAGTTTCTCAAAAAAATCGGATCTTGTAAAAAAATTAAATTTTTTTCGGATTTCTAACCGATATTAAAAAAATTATTCCGGCCGTGTTTTAGAGGTTTCTAGTACTTCTAGTAAATTACCGTGTTTCTTGGCGAGCATGGCATTCTTCGGTTGATCACCGAAGAGTGGAATGGTAATCAAAGGAACTCCCGCGGAAATCGCTTCCTGAATTTTATACAATTAACTTGTTGCACCTTCAAACTCGATGGTCGCATGTAGAATGGCTCAAGATTTTTATTCAACGGTCTAAACTGATAAAAAAGACTTTTGAATGAAATTAGAACTACCACATGACGTAGTTTCTTCATTTTTCGAATTTATAATCAGAACTGGATCTTGATACATTTGATTATAACCGCTCCAAGTTTAAGAAGTCATTTTAATTCAAGGCGGTGGTCGATTTTCCCAGCTTCAAGCGGCCATAACTACTCCCATAGACCTCTGCGACAATTTTTGAGCTCTCTTCAGATTTCGCCTTTTTCTTACTGCTTCGCAGACGTTACGCGTCGAGCCATTCTACATGCTAAAATATATTTTTTCCGATACCTGAAGACTGTTATATCCTCCATGGGTGATCAAAGCCTTGGTTTTCTTGTGAAGGAGAAGATCCTTCTGGGGAAGCCACTTGAAGGTGTGAACATTGGGTGGAAGTCGGTCTAAAAATAACTCAATAAGAGATTTTTTAATTTTATCATCACCTTTAAGATCATCTTCGACGTACCGCAACAAGAAGTGGTATTTCGGGAACTCCCTATATTCAACGATTTCATAGAATTTCTCAAGATTTTACCAACTTGAAAGCTTCCAGGAAGGCTTCTTTCCATTCTTCAGGCATTTTGTGAGCCGCCGCCACTGAGCCAAACGAGAAAACGACCATTCCTTCGGCTTTTTCGGCAATTTCTTTGAATTCCTGGAAATTTTATACTGAGTTTTTGTAGGAAGGATTGAAAAAACCCCAGTCAAAGGCTTGGCGTCGCCAAATCCGACTCCAAGTCCTCCAATATTGACGACTTTGTCCAGGGTTGGCCTTGGAATATCGTAGATCTCATTCGTGTTGACAATAACCTGAAAATTGAAGAGTAGTTTTTGAAATATCTCTGCGACAACTTTTGAGCTTAGATTTTGTTTTTGTAACTGTTTCGCAGCTGTTAGACGTCGAGCCATTAATTTCGTGCCTTATAAATTTTTTCAGTCTTGATTTTACCATATTTCCTTTCATTCTGTATAGTTCTTTCTTTTTTTTTTATAGTCAAAAAAATTATTTTTTTTTATTGACCTGTGGTTTCGAGAGGAAATTCGCCCTCAAGGCTGAAAAATCCTTGAAGATTCTGCATCCCCTACTTACTCCAATCACCTTCTTGTCTTAAACTTACTTTTCTGTTTTTAATATCCCCAATCTTTTATTCTCCGAGATTTAACTGGAAGGTGACGTTTTTTCGAAAATTTCAGTAGTCGGTACTTACCAATGGGCAAGTCGCGGCGACATCAAGAAGACTCGGGAAGTTGGGATCGATTTCCTCACGGAAAATCTGCGTCTCCAGTGCTGGCATGAGCCTCGGCCAAATCGCTTTCATCAGACCGTGACCGATGAAACTCTTGGTTCTCTCGTAGAACGTCATCGTGTCCGTCGCCTCCATCAACATCGCTAGAATTTTTTATTGAACTTTTGAAAAGTTGGTCGCAATGAGAATGGCTTGATTATCAAGAATTTCAACTTTATCAAAAAGATCGTCGAGCCATTCTACATGCGGTCAGGGTTTTGCAAAACATATAAAAAAACGAACGTGGAATGTAGCTTGGGATGATTGGGACTCCGATCACGTCGGCAACGTAATCCATCAAGGCTCCACTGGAATTTTTTCAATTTGTTTTCACAGATCGTGAAACAAATTTTTAAGATGATCTTTTTTGGTTTCGAAATATCTACCCATAGCATCAAAACTTGAGAAAACCGCTTGAAATACTATCTGACAGAAAAAAAGAATAGATCTTGAAATATTCTATTCGGAGCTTTTTTTCAACTTCAAGTTTTGAATTTTTTTCCGATGGAAGCCTAGAAAAAAATATAATTCTTAACCTCGGAGTGATTTTTTTTGATTATTTTCAGCCTTTTTTTCGTTTTCAGCCGTCATAAAAAAAGCTTTTAAAAATGACTGAAACGCAACTTCAAAAAAATTTTTATGAGTTTTTTTAAAAATTTTTTTGACTTTGGCCCATATCCTTATCGTGGTCTCTTTCAGCTTGATTTTCACATTTTTGCCGCATTTCAAAATTTCTTCTTCTTCACTAAAATTTTCCCACCTGTTCAACCAGACCCAAGACGGGATTTTCGCGTTGTGGATCAAGCCAATCGGACACGTCGTGTACATGTGACTGAATGCGACGTCAAATTTCTCGTCCTCGAGCCATTTCAGGAACGGCTTGTTTTGTAGGAGTTCTGTAGAGTTATATTGATTTATGAAAGAATTTCTAAGAAACTCACTTCTACATCCAGTCGTCAGCATCCTCGTAACCTTCTTCATGTGGCTCATGTTTTCGAGGTCGAAGGCGGTCGAATCCTGGAAAAAAATCATATTTTAAATTGAGATAAATGAAGAATGGTTTACTCTAAAGATTCGTTTCGATTGACTTTCCTCCATCTCGGTTTTTGTTAAACTCTTCGACGAACGCTTCGGCATTGTATACTGGAAATGAACAATTTACAATTAATGAAATCACTCAATTTTTCAAGAGGCGTTTAATATATTTTTTTCCAGTTTGTGTGAAAAATTTCAAGTGGTCTCTTTAGAAGGTTATCAAACTTCCCCAGCTTTCATTCAAGTAATCACTTTAAAGAAGAAATTTTATCTTTTTATAAGAATTTTTTTCGATCCTCTTTTTGGTGTTTTGGTTTTCTTCATATATAAGCTCAAAAAATGTTTGGTAGAAAAATAGTCGGTTTTCTGCTATCAGTGGGACAAGATCTATGTACTCACCAAAAATCGCTCACGGAATTTGAAATTTTTGACTTTTGAGAGCTTCTAATTTTTTTCATAGACCTCGGTGACAATTTTTGAGAACAGATTTGAAATCCGCGTAAGAAATTTCTGAAACCTCAGTTTTTACTTATCTTTTTTCACCTCTCTAGGTGTCACTACAGTACATCCTAATACTTTTTTCTCCTCCTCTAAAAACTTTTAGGTTTTCAAAAACTCAAACTAGACTAACTTTTAACTTTGGGATTGATCTTGACATCGGAATAGTCGAACTCTTTGAAGAAGATCGTGAAAGCCATTGAGACGTCATGACCAGCTTCTGCCAGAGTGTCAGCCACCCGAGCGTTGTATTGAACCTGATATTTTTGATAAGAAGAGATTTTCAAGGATCCTCTACCTGACTATTTGCCATTGCTGGAACGAACAGGACGATTTTGTAGGCGGTGGCGATGGCGGCAAGGCCGGTTAGAAGGATCAGTAACCTCGGAAGCATGTCTAGAAAAGATAGGATTTATTTGTTCGCATGGGGAATGGCTCAGAAGCGAACGAAGAATACTCAGAATGGGTTCAAATCGCGTCGCGACCGCAACGCTTTGAGCCATTCCAAGTGCGGCCAGAAAACGAGCGAACAAAATAGGAAAAAGCGGAAAATGTATGAAATTGATGAACTTCAGAGTACTCTATTCATCGCTATTTTATGACAAAGTTCTACGTCTTAGCCTGAACCTCTCATTTTCACATGCTATATCGCTAATTTTCTGAAAGTTGTCTCAAGAAAACGGTGAATGAACTATAGGGTTTTTGATCATAAATTGGAAGTTCAACTAATTTTTTTTTGTTAAATTTCGAAACTCTAAAAACTGAAAATTCACGACTTCCAAAACTAGAGAAAAAAAGTTAAAAAAGCACCTTTTATCACACTGAGAACAAACAGTGAAAAGGTGACTTTTGATCTACTCTTTGGAGGAAAACGGGAAATGTTGTCAGAATTTGACAGTGATGTCTAGGAACTGGATTTTGAAGCGTTTTTGATGATTTTTCTGTGAAAATGGTCAGAAATTGGGGTGGTTTTGAACTTTTATTTTATAAAACTCTGTTATTGCCATGATTCTTATGATGAACTTTTGAGTGAATAAAAAATAAAAAATAACAGGAAACTGAAATTTGATGACTCTGGGGCTCTTTTGGACCAGTGCCAAGTCAAATTTCGGACTTTGAAAGCTTTAAGTTGATTTAATAATTATGAGAGTTTTCATGAAACAAGAAAAAAAGGAACATTTCAAAGTTCTATAGTTCATTGACGGCTGACTAGAAAAATATATTTGGGAATTGTTACACTATTAGCAAAAATAGTGTGCCGAAAGAAGAGGCTCAGACGTTTATGAAACATTTTTTTCGCCAAGATGTCATGAGGTATTATAAAACCTGTTTTAAAGTTCTATAGTTCATTCACGGCTTATTATAAAATATATTTAGAAATAATTACACTATTAATAATACAGTGTATTGAAAAAAGAGGTTCCGACGTTTTCGGAATATTTTCTGTGCCAAGATTGAGATAGATGAAGTAAAGTGAAAGCCTCTCAATACAAAACGTACAAAGTTAGCCAATATAATAAATCTAAAAAACCAGAAAGAGCGATAAAATGGAAAATCTCTACAAGACTGAAGTAAAAGTGTGTTCAAGGCCAAATAAATAGGAAATTTTGCATCAGCGATAAGAACCGAGCCAAAGTCTCAAGCTTCGGGTTCCTTATCATCTCTTGAAAGGCACAAAATTTGTGCGTGGAAAGTGTAGTTGATCCCGCAAATTTTTCTCTGTCATATGCTATTTATTTGATTTCTAACCGAAGAGAGGGCGAAAAACCAAACTAGAGAGAGGAGAGCGTTAGAGAAACTTGAGAACAGCTTATTTTTAAAATTGTTCCCTTGCTTTTCATACACCTGCGATAGTGTTGTGAGTTCAAATTGTTCATATTTGAGACTTGAAAATCTTTCAGAATTGAGAAAATCCTTCGGCTTTTTCGGTTTTTGAAGTAACAAAAAACTCTTATTGCGCAAAAAGTCGTTTTTTTTTAAAAATATTTTATGACAAACTGCGCCTTTAAACTTCCCGAAAATATTTTTAAATGGACTCAAGAACGTCAGAGTGGTCCCTAAAGTGGTTAGTGAAAGAAGTCTCTGTAGGGGTAAATTTTAAGTAATCCCCAGTGTTTTGGATCTGACCGCCTAAGGCCCTAAGCTAGGGACCGCAGACGAATTTTCAAAAAATTTTTTTCAGCATCGAGCTTTGTATGGTTTGATAGCTGTTTCGATTCAAAACTCAGAACCGTTTAGTTTTTTTCGAAAAAAAGATTGAGGATGAAAAAAAGTTATGACGAAAAAAATGTGGCGCGCCGCGCACCATTTTTTTAGTACTGAAATTTTAGTATTATTCATTTTTGACATTTTTTTCTCGATTTTTTTCTTCTAGAAAAAAAGTTTTGATACTGGTCTATTATGATGTAACAAATCATAATAGAGTGCTAAAATGATGCTAATCAGCTATTTTGCCGAAAAAAAGTCGGTATTTTGCAGAAAACAAAAAACTGATGCTTGCGGGTATCGAACTCGCGACCTAAAAATGAAAAATCGCAGCGCACGCACTGCGCCAAGCTGTCAGGTCTAGCGCGGGGAGCTTCCATCCGCCTTACCCTTGAGCCGTTTAAATAGCACAGATTGTCTATTTCAAAAAGAAAAAAACTTGAAGTAATTTAGCTATTTTTTTATCAGAATATGTTCGCAAATCTTTACTCAAACGTTTCGTGGAAATTCACTTCGAAAAAAACTGTTTTTTTCAGTGCTTTTTGCCTCTTTTTAACGATCGCTGCCTTAAAACGGCCCCGTAAATTTTTTTGGCAAAGACGAATTTTTTTATTTTTATTCTTTTAATTGAAAGATTTTTTTACTAATAAATGTATATAATCGTTTGAAAAACCTGCGTTCGACCGCTTTCGGTGTGATAAACGCCGCTAATTTTATTCTCTAGTTTCAAGAGCATTTTTGCGTATCACACAACTTTTTCAAGTACATATGCTGTGGAGAAAAATTTAAGTAAGCCCATGGTCTAAATTTTGAAAAAACAAAAACTCGATTATATTCGCTTGTTAACGATATTTTGAATTATGACTTTCGGCACTCCCTAAAATTTTTGGCAAAGACGAATTTTTTTATTTTATTGTTTCAAAAATTACCGTTACTTGAATCAAAAATCATTATATAAAAAAAGAAAGAGTGCGTTCGACCTGAAAAACACATGAAAAAAAGCAAAAAAATTACAAAATTTTTTTAGTTCCATTCACGTTTTTTTGTACGACATTCCGCGAGAACGCATCAAGAAAGCGTGAAATATTTTTTTAAACGAAAGAGGAAGCTTTTTCTGTACATGTGTGTCAAATTTTTATTCGCCAGTTCCACATATTTTACAACTACAACAAAATGAAAGTTGAAAAACCAAAAAAAGCCACTTTTTTTCTATCGCGAAAAGGGGCGTGGCTTTGCGGTCCCTACCCTAAGCTCAAGTGGTTCCTATAGGGGTCTCTGATTTTTTTATGATTTGAAAGTGAGAAAGATAAACTTGTAAACTTCTTTCTGTCTGACGAGAAAAAAGCCCCCCCCCCCCTTCCCTATAGGGGTCACTAACAGAAACCTTTTATAGGGGGCACTAAAGCTCGCGAAAGTGGCCCCTTTAGGGGAAAGGGAGGTTTTATTTCTGGGGATATCCCTCTAGGGACCACTCTGGCGTTTCAAAAGTCCATGTTTGTATTATAATTTTTTTACAAAACATTCCTTAAAAAGCTGTTTTTCGACAAGATATATTGAACCAATCAATTTTATTCAAAATTAGGCCTAAAAATAATTTTTTTGCTTCGAGTATTCTCGCTAACTTTCCCCTATGCGAGTTCTCAAGCAAGTTCAATAAGTGAATAGACTATCGTCTGACGAGAAAAAAAACAAGGGCAGAAACCATAAATTTCGCAATTTCCTCACGAACCAACGTGTTTGCCATCATTCCAGTGTTTGTCCATCACAAACTTCAAGTGGCGTTGAAAAAAATGATGCAAAGGTAAAAATAAAGCAAAGTTCTTTGATTTTAGAAACTTCATCTTAAAGTTCTTCTAGTTCAAATAATAAATCATCATTTATTTGACATGAAATGAATAATCCGGACAATATTTTTACAAAAATTAATTAATCAAGGTAAGGAAGTGATAATAAAAACCTGAATAATAGATTAGATTGAACAGTTAACATGCGATTCCTAATCTAAATGGCTCGGCTAGTGTTGCTTAGTTTTTTCCTTCTTCTCGGATCCAAATAAGCTTCTAACCTTCCGAATAACGAAACAAGCGACAAATTTGACAACTTTGTACAAAATGAAGAAAATTAGAAGAATTGCGGCCAATAAAAAGGCCATGACGTCGAGTGAATGGTACTGGAAAAAGTTGAGCTTCTGCCCGGCAGGTACCTGCAATTTTTCATATTCAATAAGTATTTTATTTCGATTAAGATGTACCAAGTTGTCGAGGGTCTTGAACTCGGCCAGAAAACTCGGTCCAACGGACCAACAAAGTCGCTGGGGGAATGGGTTTGCTTCTTGTCATGGCTGACAATCTTTTGACGTTCCGGGAGTAACTGAACAATTTCTTCATGGTTCCATTTCTTTTTTCATTTTCTACCTGTCATCTTCAAGAAGTTTCTTGAGAGCTTCAACGATTGATTCCTTACGAAGCGTATCTTTTTTGACTGACACGGCGAATCCTGAAGAAAATGACCTTACTTCTCTTATTCATGTTATTATATGATTTCTTCATTTATTTGAAAGATGATAAGCAAGTAGGAAAGGATTCAAAAAAACCGGGAGAATGATCCACGAACTTCAAAAATGGATATATAGTTATGGAACGAAAAAAATTCTGTTTTTTTGAAAAAAATTGAAATTTTGAGAACACATTTTTTTCTGACGATAAAAATTAATTTTTCTCATCTTCGAAAAACTTCAATTTTTTTCAAAAAAATCAGAAGTGATAACATATAATTATGTTGAGCAGTCTAATTTCAGGAAGATTTTTCCGTTTTTCTGTAATTTTTCATGAAGACGACTTATTCTTCTCTGAATTTTTTTACTGTTTATAAACTATTTTCATACTCTCTGTAAGTTATTTTTCAATCCTAATATCCTAACATGATCCTAAAAGCCTCCGGACTTCAAAAACTATTTTTCCATGGTTCATACCGTGTTTTTTGGCCATCATGGCGTTTTTGTGCTGATCACCGAAGAGGGGAATAGTGAAAAGGGGCACTCCGGCGGAAATCGCTTCCTTAAGATGAAACTTATATCAGTTATCTTTTTTTTCGAAACCTGAAGACTGTTATATCCTCCATGGGTGATCAAAGCCTTGGTTTTCTTGTGAAGGAGAAGATCCTTCTGGGGAAGCCACTTGAAGGTGTGAACATTGGGTGGAAGTCGGTCTAAAAATAACTCAATAAGAGATTTTTTAATTTTATCATCACCTTTAAGATCATCTTCGACGTACCGCAACAAGAAGTGGTATTTCGGGAACTCCCTATATTCAACGATTTCATAGAATTTCTCAAGATTTTACCAACTTGAAAGCTTCCAGGAAGGCTTCTTTCCATTCTTCAGGCATTTTGTGAGCCGCCGCCACTGAGCCAAACGAGAAAACGACCATTCCTTCGGCTTTTTCGGCGATTTCTTTGAACTCCTGGCAATTTTCTACTCTATTTTTGTAGAAAGAGTTGGAAAAACCCCAGTCAAAGGCTTGGCGTCGCCAAATCCGACTCCAAGGCCTCCAATATTGACGACTTTGTCCAGGGTTGGCCGCGGGTTATCATAGATTTCATTGGTATTTACTACGACCTTAAGTTCGGAGATACGGTTTTTTTTTGGGTTATTTCCTACCAAAGGACACTTGGAGGCGATTTCTAGAAGGTGTGGGAAATTGGGATCGATCTCGTCGCGGAAAATCTGAGTTTCCTCTGAGATGGTGAAGTAAGGGTAGAGGATTTTCGTCAGAGCATGTCCGATGAAACTTTTCATTCTTTCGAAGAACGTCATGGTGTCCGTCGATTCCATCATGATTGCTAAAATCAAGTTTCTACTCGGGCAAAGTCGATGGCCGCTAAAAGGAAGAGGCTCGAAAAAGGCAACAAAAAGATTCCTTTTATGGAGCTTTCCATTTTTCCTGGGATTTGAAAGGGTTAAGAAATTGTGCAAAAAGGGAAAGGCAGCAAAAATGGTACATAATAGCCGATGAAATGGCGCAAAAAGGCAGCGAAAAGGAGCCTAAAAGGAACTCTTCTATGGACCCTTTTTCCACCTTTTTCGACTTTGCCCATGTTGTCAGAGAGATTTCGAAAAAAATTCTAGAAAAATATCACTTTTTTTCATTTCATATTCAGTGCAGATATATATGTTTAAATTAAAAAGAAGCCGTGAAAATGTAGAAATTCAGCCTCTCACATATTTAGAATAAAATAAACTAACGAGGAGTATAGCTAGGAATGATTGGAACGCCGACGAGATCGGCCACAAAGTCCATCAAGGCTCCGCTGAAAGAATATTTTTGAGTGTACCAAATTCATCGTTGGCCGTCATTAGAAGTATTATTGACTAATTTGAAAAAGAATATAAGCTCAAAAATTGTCATAGGAGTCTCAAAAAAGCAAGAAAAGACGCTCAAAAATTTTTTTAAAAATTGCTCAAAATCGTAAGAGCCCGCAAAAATACCAGTTTTGCTGGAACGCCTTGAGAAGCTTAAAGAAAAAAATTTTGACACAGAAATACAAAAAAAAAAATCTATTTGTGATGATTCAGCTTATTCGGAGACTGTTTTTTTTATAAATTTTGAGATCCCATAACTTTTTTCATATTTACGGCAAACGAAAAGGGGCGTGGCCTGCCTGCGCTCTCCACCAATAAGGCACTGTCTCTTTTTTTTAAATCGTGTCAGGACCCTTTTTTAAATCCTCTGTGACAAATATCAAGAACTGATTAGGCAGCGAAAAAAACCCCTATGGTGACCTTATTTCCGTTAAGAAGACTTACTGTAAACTGAGAGCTAAAAAGCTGCAAAAACCTTAAAATCCAAGCTCGTTTCTGAATGAGCTATACCTGTTCAACCAGACCCAAGAAGGAATTTTGGCGTTGTGGATCAAGCCAATGGGACAGGAATTGTAGATGTGCGCGAAGGCGACGTCGAACTTTTCCGCCTCCAACCAATTGAGGAATTCTTTGTTTCGAAGAAGCACTAAAATTAGTAATCATCCTCTAAACTATCGATTTTCCTCTCACATCTACAACCGGCACTCATACTAGCCGTCATGTTCTTCATTATATCCACCAGTTTCACGTCGAAAGAGCTCTCCTAAAAATGTTTTTGTCAGTTTTTCCGGTAATGAATTTTTTTTTATAATCTGACCTGGAAAATAAGCTCAGCCTGCTGTTCCTCTAGACGTACTTTGCTATGATAGGGTACGAAGGCTTTGATTTCGTGCTCTAAAAGCAAAATCGCACTTGATTTTTAAGAAGCATCGGAAAGTTTTGTGAATTTCTTGATGAGTTTAGGTAATTTATGATTTTGCACGTTCGAAAACACCTGAAAAAGTTCTGAAATTACTTTTTTTGAATCATTTTTTGCTTCGATTTTTCGCCGTAGAAGAGGAAACTCATCATGAAAATTTTTTCAATATAAAATCCATACTTTTTCAGAAAAAAACCTCAAAAACTAGAAAAAAATAGGTTTAAACGAATTTTTTTCCAAAAATGTTTGAGTACCCTATTTTTTTATGAAGAAATTACTGAACATCAAAAAAATTATTTCGAACATTCAGAATTTTTTTCGAGCAATCTATCAAGGTATATATGTATGTCTAAAAAGTTTAAAATTGACATAGAAAATCCAAAATAACTCAAAATTCAAGAAAAACAGACTTAAGAAAATTTTGTTCACTAGCCATTGGACTGAACTTTTCTCATACCTGATTTCAATTTTAAAGCTCTAATTTTGAAGAAACAACTCACTTTTGACATTCCCAGGAATTTTCACGTCGGATGAGTCGAAATCACTTTGAAAAGAAAGAAACAACATCGTGACGTCATGTCCGGCGTTGGCCAGAGTTTCAGCGACACGGGCGTTGAATTGAACCTGAAAATTGTTCATTTGGAAATTCAAAAACACATCTTTTCAGTAAATACCTGACTATTGGCCATATTCGGGACAAAAGTGACGATTTTGTAGGCGCATGTGGTAGAAATCGCCATTAAAAGAAGTAGTAGCCGTGGAGGAGCCATTTTACTGAAAATTCCCGACGTACCATCTATTTTCTCTAGCTTTTGAGTTGAAAATAGGTTTTTTGCGTGCAATTCACCAGAAAAAAGACAATGAATAGTACGAAAAACTGGAAAAAATAGAAACTTCAAGAAAATTCATGCAACGTGAAAAAATAAATTTTTCGGAGAAAAGTGCTCAAAACTCCAGTAAATAGTTGTCAAGGTGTCGAGATAACAGCCTAGCCATTTTGTGACTGGCGTCAAAATGCCTTGTTTTGTACTGATATCGAATAGAGAACTACGTGACAATCTGTAATTTGATCCGAATCACAAAATAATTTGTATCGCTAGAAATTGTTATGAATTAGCTTCGAACATAAGAAAAGGGACTTTATAAATTTAAACGTTGAAAAAAAATCAGCCATCAAAAGTTTCAAAGAAAAAAAAGAAGCTGGAAGATTTTACTTCTCCAACTTGGGCTTCATAATTTTTGAAACCTCTTGTCCATGGTATCTGAGAACTATTCCTATTTTTGAAATCATTATGAGTAAGCTCAAACACGTAGCAACAAAAATTCAAAAAAGCAAAAAAAGAAAAGACGGGAAGTCGAAGGACCCGAATTTGAAGGTCACAAATTTCGGTGGAACGCTTTTTTGTCCCTCCTCCTGAACATTTGATCTCTTCTTCAAACATTGAGAATTTTGAGTTAAGAGAAAACCAATTAATTCGATAAAAATTGTGAAAACGAATAAAAACAAAAATTTTTCATCAAGTGTCATGCGGCACACACGCGCAAAATTGCACACTTCTTTTTTTCAAAAATAAATCTTAAAAAAACTAAATTTACACTTTCTATGGCCTCTTCCAAGAATAAGATATCGGAAAAAGGATAAGAATTACGCTAAAAAAATTTTTCAATTTCGCGCGTTTTAATCTCTATTTTTTTCAATTCGCGGAAAAAAACAGTTTTTTTATTATTATTGAAATAAGTGTTTTATATCCTTCAACCCGCAAAAAAATTTCAAATGAGGTAAAAAAATCCTTGCTTTTTTTGAACGGACAAATTTAAACATTTTTTTATTTTGATTAAATAAACACAAAAAAATTGAATAAAAAAAGTATTTATTTGGCATCGAATACCCTGTAGGACAGAAAAAAATGAGAGCTTTTACATGAATGCTACTGGGAAAAATACGAGAGGAACCCGGGAGATTTTTTTCACAACGGTGGAATAACAATAGGAAAATAACTAGATACATGGAAAACCTATTCACTTTTCGATTTTTTCAATAAAGAATCATCTAGAGGTGAAAAACCTAATGAGTGCCAGACCACTCAAACTTCCGACAAAGCCGAAAAAGGGCAAAATATTGAAGCCGTAGTATTGCAGAAGTGCTCCGGCGAACATTGGAGCGATGGTTCTGACGAAGGAGTTGATGGAGGTCGCCGTGCCGAGGGCCAGGCCCTGGAAAAAAGGTCATTTTTTTCTGATTTTCAAGAAAAATAATAAAAATGGGCGTGGGGTCGTGCCGCGACGCATTATTCCAAACAATTGAAAGCTTCTCATGAAGTGCAGATTGATCCCTATTGGGGCAACTTCAGAGGCCTTTGAAGGTTCCCTCTAGGGACCACTACCTCCTCTATAAAGGCCATTTTTAATGTAAAATATCAACAGAAAATAAATTAATCGAAATTGTCTTTTTTAAACCTGAACAAAAATTGAAGACCCTATAGAGATCACTCGGGCTTTAGAGGCTCTGGGGTCAGACCCAAAGCCCCTAGAGGTACCACACAATGTCCACCCCATAAGCTGTTCCCCCCGACCCCTATAGGGACCACTCTGGCGTCCCTGAGTTGTTAAGTTCCCGTTTGCCCATAAAAATTCTTGAAGATTATGACGAGAAAGCATAAAATATCATAAAAAGTCCATTCCCACCTGCTCATCTTCTTCCACTAGTGACGTCAGCAAACTGTCGGCCACAGTTGCGACCAGACTCATTCCCAACGAAAGAAAAGGCATTATATAGAGAACCGACCAAGTGTTGACGAAAAATGCGAACATTAAAAATCCAACCGTCTGAATTCATCTTTTTTTTTGAAGTACTTCAAGTAACTCACAAAGAAAATGTAGCCAATGAACAAAAGCGTCTGCTCGTCAAACTTTTTCCGAAGCCAAATCACTCCGAACCCGTTGGAGAACATTATGAAGATGCCTTGAATCAAAAATTGAATAGACAGAAAGTAATCGAGGAAAACCTATGAATAATTGAATGATTTGGTTCTGCTCGTTAGTGGTGCCAAATTTGTCGATCATGTAGAGCTGAAAAAACTTTTTTGGATAAAAGGATAGTCTCATAGAATCAGGTAGAGATTGAAAGTGTCAAGAAGCAAAAAAATTTATTATTCAAGAAATCTTTGAAAGTTTTAGAAGATCTTAGATGTTGGCTGACTTCTTAATTTTTTGGGAGTACTAAAGGTTCAAACACGTTTCTTCAGAGTTTCAGCTTCAAAGCGTTTTTAAGGGATTTTCAGCTTTCCTGGATATGTCTTGTGAGAACATAAATCGAAGTTATTTGAGGTTCTTATGAAAGAAAATTGGTTCAATTAGGACTACTATACATTTTCCCCATAACCTAAGTTCTTTTGGAAATTCATTTATACAGGCCTCCCTAGACGGTTTTTTCACTTCATTGACGCTCTATCAACAATCTTTAGCTTCTTTGAAACTTTTTGAAATCCTAGAATAACTAATCGATCCGTTCACAGCTTTCTAGATTTACCAACGTCTTTTTGAAACATTTTTGATCCTACTCAGCTGTCCTAGAAGCCTTTCGACTCACCTCAACAGATTTTCTCCTACTCAAAAAAATCGAGAAGCTCAGATTTCCTAGAAAACAAAACGAACATGAAGGACAGAAAAAATAAGGAAAGTCGGCATGATAGGCGCGTTCTTCTTCAGCAAAATGTTGACGACGCCACGGCGCTTCAGAATCCGGACGACGTTGGCGATGCTCATCGACGACTTTTTGCCCGACTTTTTGTCGACGTCTTCATCAACAGAGCAAGACTCCTTTTCGTGCTAGAAAGTACGAATTTTCATAAACAGGGTGTGAAAAGTCACTTCATAAGAAGCTGAAGGAATGCAAGTCTGTAGAATGAACATCGGAGCGAGGCAAAGAGCAGCGGAGACGTAAAGAGGGGCCATGTCGGAGATAAGTCTTGTTGAGAGGATCGATAGGATTGGAGTGAACACGAAGCCCAGGCCTGAAGGAAAGTCTGGGTAATGATCTCAGGATTCCAGATCGACGGGGTTTGGACTTACACTGTACAAAGTTGCTTAGTCAGGCGCGACAGAAAAGCAATGTAGGTGGCGGTACATTTACAACTTGCAAAGGAGCCGCTTTCATGCCGCGACGGACTCACAACTTTCTTGAGGCAACCCCAAAAATGCGAGTTCGCGCCAAGGAAAATGCAAGAACGGCGCGACTAAAATGCAGCACTTTTGCGATGTCGTCAATTGACATTACTGTACCGCCAGCGGCATCGCTTTCATTTCAGCAGTTTTTCATAGTGTATGGTGATGAGGGTACGGTTCGGGGGACCGGTGTACTGTAGCCGTAAATATCTACAGTAATTTGGATCTATTGTAGATACGGTGTAGCGCGTCATACAAGTATGTAGTTGGTTTGAGAGCGAAACTAGGAACTTTTCACTTTTTCGAAACTTGGAGGTAATTTTCCAACATAATAGAGCCCTAATAACGTCCAGACTCGGTCATTTACCTCAGAAATAGGAATTTTATGATAAATGACCTTCTGATAGACCCTTGAGTGAGTCTATAGCCTGTTTTGCTCAGTTTTTCAGCTTGAAAACTTTTCTAACTAATTTTTGGCTATAAATAGTCCCACTAAACCTTAAAATTTCACTAGGAATTTCCTAACAGGTCGTAAAAATCGGCTGCATTCTGCTTTTTTTTCTTTTCAAAACTAACCAAAAGTGAGCCCCATCCTTCCGAAAGCCGTAGTCCTCTCCTTTCCTGGCTCCGTCAATAAAGAAAGCAAGGTTTGATGGCCTTGCTGGCCGTGCATGAAAAGCACTGGTATCCTAGATATGGCCAATGTTGTGAAGTCCTAAAAATCCATGTTTCTTCATTAATAAAACTAGGACTCACAGTACTGAAGTACAATCCTAGGCCTGAGAGCATTGTCGAGATATAACAGACATGAAGTCCCATTCTGATTCCGGACCTTTGGATAATGTAGCCGAAAAAGGGACCTCCGACGATTTGTAGGACTCCGAATAGGGTTTGGTAGTAGCCTAGGATAAATTTGGTCATATAATTCTGAGATTTTGACTCAAAATAAAGCGAAATAGTTCATTTTCCCGACTTGAGACCTTTTGGAATAGTGAAGAGTGTCACTGTTAATGCTTTCTGATGCAATCAAGCGCAAATCGTTTCAAGTCGGATGCAAAACAGCCGTGGCGCTACAAGCCATTCCAAGCTATGGTCGCATTTAGAATGGCTCCAAGTGTCGCGGAGTATTTTGAAGCTTTTATTGATTGTATTCTATGACCGTTCCACAAAGAACCATTCCAGAAAAACCAAAAAAAAAATTTTCCCGATTTTCAGACTCACCGTATATGGAGTCACTGATTTTCAATTGCTTGACGAGATGAGGCGTGGCAGAAAATTGCATAAAAAACGAAACATTGTAGAAAATTGACAACAAATAAGTGTAGGCTATCGGTTTTGGCAATGAAAAGTTGCCAATTTTGAGATGGTCCTTGCTTTTTGAGGGACAGGTTTCAGGCTCATCTTTCTCGAAGTTTGATGAGGTCATCTGAAAAAAATGAGATTTGATCGCTCGAGTTAAAATTTAAAAAAATAATGTTAACAAATAAATATAATAAAACAGGGAGAAAAAAAGGGAAAATCAAAATTATTACGCTTTTTTTCAAAAGCTTTGAAGACTTTTTCAAAGGCTTTTAAGAAAAAAATGTTTGAAAATTTTCATGATAAAAAATTTTCATGGCGGAAAAAAAGAGAAGCTAACGCCTTGATTGAGAAATTAATAAAAATTATTTTTTTGTAGTCGAAATTCAGGTAAAATTTTACTAAAACCTCAAATTTGAGCTTCTTCTAGAGTTCATTCATAAAAAAAGGCTGGCGAGTGGATCTAGTAGAAATTTATAAAGTTAAATGAAAGTTCAACTTTCAAATTAGTGGAAACATTTTTTATGCTTCAAAACTTGAAAATTATTTGGTGCGACAAAAAATGGAAACAGAAATTCAAAAAGAGCAGGAAGACTCTAATGATCATCAAAAAAGCTCACACACAAACGCCCGACGAAACCTCTTATCAGTTCTTATGCGAGTGATTTTGATTGAGGCGAGCAACTTAACGTCAAAGAATACATAGTTCAAGCACAATTTTTCTCCGTTTTGTGCTTTTCGTGCCGTCGGTCACAAAATGTTGTCAAACTCGGCCCTGTGTTTGCCATTGGGCTTTTTTCTCGTAGGTGATGTGACCAAAATTGCCTCATTCGGACCGTGTTACACAGGGATGTGCCAAAATGAACAACCAGTTCTGTTTTACACTACTCAAGATCGATTTGGGCACGCTCTGATAACTTTTCGCGGGTAAATACACAATTCATTCGGTTGGAAACAGAGAAAATCAATAAAATAGCGGTTGAATCAGACCCCACGTTCATTGGAATGTCTAAAAGTAATAGTGAAGTTCAAATAAAATGGGAATACTCAAAAATAAACAGACTTGTCTCACGAATCTCGCAGTAAATCGGCGGATGTTTGCCGAGAGAGAACTTGGCGCTGGAGCGCACTTTTCACAAGTTTACATTTTCGTTTTTTTTTTTTCGTTTGTTTTCTTTTCTCCTAATTTTTCTTTTTTCTCTTGAACTATGTTGAGTTAAATGTAATATATGTTTGTGAATTGATCAATAGTGATTGAGAAAGTAAGTGTGTTTCAAAAAAATCGCATTAGTCCATTGTTTTATATTTCTTGTAGGAAAAATATTATTTTTTTCTGTCAAATTAAAAATTTTTGAAAGAGATTTTTAAAATGTAAAATGATGCAAAAAAACTTACCAAAAAAAGTCCTATTTGATTGAAAAAAACCAAGATTGAAACACGTTTTGTTTTTATAAATGGGAAAGTTCTCACGTTTTTTTAATTGGCTGGTGTGAAAAAGTTTTTCCGGGTCTTCTTTTTCTTCTGTAATTATTATGGATAAAAACTATGGGAGAATTTTTCCTTCTTGAGAATCAATTATATTTATTCGTTTTTGAACATGTAGGAAATTTTTAGAAGCTTATTAAATAATTTATAGTAAAAACACTGTTATCGTCTTTTTTTAAATAGTAGTTTCTTATTTCTAATATAATTTTTTTCAGGGATGACAGCGACATGTCAACACATGTGTCCACCATCCGAAGTCTCTTTTCGGAACGAAAATCGGTTGATTCATCAACTGGAGGCGACAACTTCAACCGCCTCAGGAAAACGTTCGAATTTCGTCGGTGACCCGGCGAAAATGGTTAAGGAGTACACGAGATCCGCAGCCGACACGAACCATTCTAAATCCTCGCTTCTTCGACCTTTTTCTGTTTTAAAACGGACCATAGAGTATCTGACCAAACTCTATGATGACTTGGAATCGACGGAAACGTTCCCGAGCGCCTTCTCTTTCGTTTCGGATCGTCTCCGAGCTGTTCGGCAGGACATGGTCATGCAGCGGATGCCGGCCGGGGAGTCGGTCGAACTCCTCCAGCTCATGATTCCCTTCTACCTGACCTCGGACTACCGGTGCAAGACGAGCCGATGTGTGACCTACGAGTGGAAGTTGCACGCGACGCAAATCGAGGAGTGTTTGTGTAGGTTGGTTTTTATTTATTTATTTTAATTTGCAATTGTTAAAAAGCACAGGAGCCTGAAGAAGGAAAACATTGATGAAAAAAATTGTTTTTATATTGAAATAATTTTATAAAAAAATTCATTATTTTTTTACTTCGAAAGTTTCATTCATTTATTCGAAGTTCCAGTACTCAGAGAGAGAAGAGGTAATTTTTTTATTCCAACTTCTGTCCTTTTTCAGAAACTTCAATTCAAATAAAAAAATTAATTATGAGTTTTTTTTTAAAATTCCAAAGACTCTGGAAAAGTTCTTTCTTTTTTTTTAGTTTGTAAATAGTTTTTTTGATGGGTTCTGCTCGTGAAAGTGATTAGATTTTTAGAATGTATTTAATCGCGGAAATGTTTATATATATATATATATCATATGTTCTCGTTTTCTGAAAACTGTGAGAAAAAATTCTGTCTTTATATTCTTTTTTTCGCAATGACTATATTATGAATTTCTATGATTTTTGAATATTATTTTTTTTCTAGTAAAAGTAGAAACTAAATTTTTTTTTTTCAAGTTTTCTGCCCTTTCAGATGGGCAGAACAAGTTCGACAACTTCCTCGAGAATCTCCCATAATCGACGAAAACGTCTTGATGTGCTTCATATTGCGACAAGCTCAAAAATCAACAGCCATTCAGGAATTGTACGACTGGAAATATTTTCTGTCCGATTCTTCGTTTTCCCTCCTCAGATCTTTAATATTTTCAGCACGATCTTTGAATTTTGTCGCCTTTTTCCGCTTATTACCATTGTTACCAGAGAACTTTGTCACTTATTGTTGTGTAGATACAGTTTTAGAATTAAGAAAAGAGGCCTTGAAAGTCATTTCGATCGGTTTCAAGCACCCCACTGCAAAATTGCCACTTTCCATGTTATCCCAATGGCTGGGGCTTGATCCAGAGCAAGTTTCTCATTTTTTGTCCTTTTATGGTTGTGATTCTTCTTCGGGTTCTGTTCAGATTACCACTATCGGTGCTTGTGATGAGGAAAAGGACGGGTTCACGTTCGTTGGGTCGAAAATATTGTGATAATTTTAACTGATACTAATAAGAATTTCGGGTACATCTTATTAATAACAGTTCAGAAGAGATTAGATATCGAGGCAAAGCGCCTTTTAAAAACCTTTTATGGTGAATTTAGTATAATTATATAATTAATTCTTAATTTATAGTATAACTATATATAATTTATTTCAATTTATAGTATAACTATAAGTAATATTAAGTATTCAAATTTGTTTTTTTGTTGTTGCTCAATTTGGAAAGAATAAATATTGCACTTTATATTTTCCCTCTTTTTTCAAGTTGAGAGGTTTTTTGAACCCTTAGTGGATATATTTCTTGAAATCAGAAGATATTAACTGAATTTTAAGAGGTTTATCAGAATATGGACGACGTTTTGCTAATCTCGGACCTTGTTTGGATCCGAAAAGGCGTCGCCAAAGAAAAGCCGGACAAAGGTGAAGTTGGACGAGGCCGACCTCAAAAAGCTTATTGAAGGTGGGAATTTTTCTGAAGTATTGGTTTCAAAGTGAAATATTCTAGGAGGAGACCAGGAAACGTCGGACCAAGATAGTGATGATGAGAAACAAGAAGGAGACGAAGGCGAGGAAAAGGCCCGAAGGTGGGAAAAATGCGCTTTATTTGGAATTTTTGACCATTTTCAGGTTCATGACATTTTTTTAAAAGAGAAACTGAGTAAATTTCATCAAGAAATGTTTTTTTTTGTAAAATATTCGTGAAATCTACAGTTTGCAACTTTCTTGCTTTAAAACTGTAAATATCGATGGATATTCTATTATATTCATGGAAAAAAACAATTTTCGTAATTAGGTGGGCTCAGGATAATGAATAAGTTCATCGAAAAATGTTCTTGCAAAGTTTCAAAAAAATATCAACCGTTTTCTCAGTCCAAAATAATTTACCTTTCTATTTGTATTCACTACTGGTTTCACTTATTTTCGATTTCGAAGAAGCTTGGAAAAAAATTTTTTTCTTTTTTGTTCACTTTTTGTTTGGCAAAAGTGAAGAAGAGAATATCCACTGAAGTAATTGTTAAAAAAATACGATTTTTATAATACTATTTTTGTTGATAAAATGCATTTCTTTTCAGAAAAAGGGCCTTCGTGGTGCTGGAGCCGAAGTCGAAGACGAGAAAATGGAAGAAGGCGGCGACACGGACGAACAGTATCTGAAGGAATACGACGATGACCACAAGGAGGACAATGAGAGAGGGTTGGAAACTTTAACTTCAATACAGATTGTCATGAGAATAACTTTTATACAAACTTATTTTTGGCAGCCGGTAGTGTTATGGTAGTTTAGAAAGGTTTTCATAGAAATTTTTCCACTTTTGAGACGAAAATCAGCTTGTTACATCGAAAGATGGATCCTACACAAGTTGCAGAAAAAAGGAAAAGTTTCTTGATTTCGGGACGGACAGCGGATTTTTCAATAAATTCGTGTATTTTCTCAATAAATTATAGCGCGTTTAAAGGAATTTCGCGAAATTCAAAATTATCTCTGCTTCTCCAAAATCTTCGCTGTCTTTTCGACTGGGATTACGGTGGACGCGGCATTAAATTTATCTTTTCATTTGCATTGTTTTGTGTGAAATTCCTTGCAACATGGCCAAAATACTTCTTGATGAACCAGAAAAGATCCCAAAAGGATAAACTCACACAAATTCGAGGTTTTCGAGAGAACAAAGTCGAAAAATCAAAGAAATAATTTTCGAGGTGTTTTTATATTTTTCGAGAAACAGGTTTTTCGTAGACTTCAAGCCTTGTTTTTTTTTTCTCGAAAAATAGTAAGATTTACAGGTTGAGACTTTCAGGATAATGAATAAGTTCATCGAAAAGTGTTCTTGCAAAGTTTCAAAAAAATATCAACCGTTTTCTCAGTCCTATCAATGATCCGAATAAGTGAAAAAAACTTGTTTTCAATTTTTTTTTTTTGTCTAGAAAACTCATTCTAATCCACTTTACCGGCGAATTCCAGAAGGAACTAGAAAGAACTTCTGTAAAAGGTCTCTAAAAAGCATCATGGGCGCCTTTTTAGAAGAAAAAAAGAAGGAGTCTCGAAAAAGAGGGGAAAAAAAGTAGAGAAAAGCTTTTTACACCGTTTTGGAAATTCAAAAAAGAGCTCTAGACTCTCATTTTGAGGCCCTTTCTGCACGGATAAAGTCCAAAAGGTCTCAAAAAGAACTTTTGAGAAAAAGGCCTCAAACACACATTTTTCTGAAAAGAACTTTTCAAGGAGAAAAAAAGAATCAGGCGGAAAAAAGAGAGGAAAGAAGTACGATTCAGATAAAATTTTGTCACTTCTTTAGGGACCCAGAAAGGAGCTTTGGCGCTTCTTTTTGAGGCCCTTTGAAAATTGCCCGTTATAATTATTTTGTCTGTGTTTCTCATTTACTTTCGGCTTCTCATTCAGAATGCGCGGAATCGCAATGTACACTTCGAACCAACAGGATCCGTACGTGACGGAGCACGTTGATTCGGATGAGGAAGAAGAAGCTGACGAAATCCACGTCAGACCCGATGATAACATGGTCGCCGTCGCCAAAATTCATAGGGTGAAAAAATTATTCTTTACACTCTCGACCAGAAATTTAAGACTCTGATTCAAAAATTCTCGTGGTTTTTTTTTTCTCAGGTTTTTTTTTATTGAATGCATCACGAAGATATTTGAAATTAAAGAAAGAAAATAATATTTACGCAAACCTCTAATGCAAGTTTTGACCTTACTATTAATAAGATCTTTTTTTTTTGCCCGCCAAAAGTCGATATTTGAATTTGTGTGGCGGGAAGACTGTTGACGCACAGGCAGCTCTTATAATTTTTTTCATCCTCGCTTGTTTTTCAGTCTTTTTGTTTGAAGGTTTGAAAATTATTTTCAGCTTCTGATAACGTCATTCTGAAAGTTTTTTTCCCCGAATAATGATAATTTCATTCATCTTCTGAATAAAAGAAGGATTCAGGATGAGTACACGCTGGAGGTCTACGTCTACAACGAGAAGGACGGCGATTGGTACTGCCATCACGACCATATTCTCGACGCCCCGCCTCTATGCCTAGAACACATCGAGCACGACCCTGGAAATGATGAAACTGGAAAGGTTTGTCGCAAACGTCCTGGAAGCCGTTCGAATATATTAGATTTGAGAAAATTTGAATTTTGAAAAATAAATAAGAGCAAAATTGTGGTATTCTTCAAAGGTTTCGTGAAAAATTCGTCTCGAAATTTTTGTGTTAATTTTAGAAAATCAGGTTGAAAGTTAGCAATGAAATATTAAGAAACGAATTCGCTTTTCTCTAAGAAAAACGTGATCAATTTAGAGTTTAAGTTAAAAAAAATTAGATGAAATAAGGAAAAAAAAAATCAATAGTTCTAATCTACAGGGAAACCTCGTCGCAGTGGGAACGATGAAGTCGGAAATCCATATTTGGGACCTCGACATTATGAATTCCGTCACTCCAGTGGTCACTTTGGGCAAAGGGGCCGCGAGTAAATGTTCGTAGGGTTTGGTCAAAAAAAGGAACTAAGGAAATTAAACCAATTTTTTTCTGGAACTAGAAAATAAAAAAATTTTTAAAAAAGCACATTAAATTTAAGAATTTTCTTGAATAATTTTTTTTAGAATTTTTTTTGAATAATTAGAATAGGTATAATACCCGAAAAACTCTGAATTTGACATGAATTATATAAATATTTGTAAAGTTATTTTGAAAGAAAGAAAATTATAGTCAAAAAAACTCAAAATTTAAAGGAGAAAGAGAAAAATTTCAGCAGTAATGCCTTAAGTAATGGGAAAAGTATTTCAAAGAATATCAATGACGTCATTTAAGAAATTCAACTGTAAGAAGCGTGGATCCGATAATTCCTCTTTTTTTTTAGAGCTGCACACAATTATTTTATCTTATTTTTCGGCAGTTTTTTCATTTTCAGCCAGCCGAAAGAAGCGCGATTGCAGTGCACAGGGTCATTCGGACGCCGTGATTTCGTTGTCCTGGAATCGGCTGACTTCTCATGTTTTAGCTAGTGGAGGTGATTTTTGAGTGAAAGATTGGAAAAGTTCACAAAATAAGGTCATTCACGGCTAGCTGTAAAAAGGTCTTGACACGATTTTTGAAAAATAGACAGTGCCTGGTTGGTGGAGAGCGCAGACACACAAGCTAGCCGTGAATACGGATTTTTTGGACAGCTTTTTTTCAAAGCCAAAAACTTCTTTTGCTCCATTTCGAAAATCAAATTCGAAGTTGGAAAGTTGAAAATTTCGTAACTTCCTCTGAAAATTATTGAATATAGAAAAAAATGCACGAGTCAGTAAATTTTCCCGTCCATTCTCTTCGTTACGAGACCTCTACGGACGATTATTCTGACATTTGTGCTAAATGGAAGATTTTTCACCTTACATGGGCCATGCGACTTGTTGAATGTACAGCCGTTGTGGTAGTTTAATGGTGGGACAATTGATAATTTATTAAAAAGTTTTTTTGAGTCTTTATAAAAAGATTGAATTTAGGAAGGAGTTTAGGAGCCGACCAACAAGTCGTTCTCTGGGATTTGGACGAGGCAAAGGCGGCGCAGATTTTCGGGGCCCGTGGTGGCGAGGTGATCGGCTTTTTTAAGAATCTATTTTAGAATTTCGATACAAAAAGAGTTTCCAAAAAAATCACTAGGTTTTTTTAAGAAAATCAGGTTTCTAAAATCTCTGACTTAACCCTTTCAAAAATTCACCCCGAAAAAAATTGCAAAAATTTTTGAAATCTATGTGAAAAAAAGCTTACGAAGCATTTTTCATTAAAAAAATATTTTTTTCAAGGATTTTTTTCCCACTCTGTAAAATAAATCAAAAATATTTGATTTCAAAAAAAGTGTTAAAAAAATATTTCAATCATAAATCGGTTTTTTTTATCAGAAGAAAATTATTTACAGTGAATTTCTTGACAACTTATGAACTTTTTTTAAATTATTTTTTTCTCCTGTTCTAATTATACTCTGATTTTTTTCACCTCAAAGTTTGAAATTCATGAGAAAAACGTTTGAAAAAAATCATTAAAAATCAGTTTATTTTTGGAATATTAGACAGTAACCAACCTTTTTCAAAGCAAAACCCATTTTTGGTTCTTTTTTTCGTGACAGTAAATTTTATAACTTGAGGCTTAAGCTCTGAAATTGATAAAAAAAAATGCACAAGTCAGTGAATTTTCCGTCCATTCTCTTCACTACGAGACATCTACGGACGATTATTTTGACGTTTGTGCTAAATTGAAGATTTTTCACCTTACATGGGCCATGCGACTCGTTGAATGTACAGCCGTTGTGGTAGTTTAATGGTGGAACAATTGAAAAACTTTCAAAAAAAAAAGCCTCAAATCGATGAGAAAATATTTAAAGAAGGTTTAAGGTCCAATCAATCAGTTGGCACCCGAATGAGTCGACATTCCTGCTTCTGGGAACGATGAAAGGGCTTGTTCAGGTACATTTTTTCAGCTCGGGAGAGACTTGGAAAGCAAAATTATGGCACAAGGGATGGCTCGGAGCGTTGCGGTCGCATCGCGGTTTAGAAAAATCACGTTTTTTCTGTGTTCAAAATTTGCTTATATTTGAATAATGGCAACGTTTTTAAGTGTCAGTTTAAATCGACCGCAACGCGTTGAGAGCCATTCTACGTGCGACCATGAAACCTTTTTTTGTGACCGTATGAATAAAAAAAGATTTTTTTGGGTTTTTTTCTCAATCATGAAAAGTTATTTTTAAGGTTCTCGATTGCCGAGAAACCAATGGAACGCCGTCTGCCGAATGGAAGTTTGGGGGACAGGTTGAAAAGGTAATCATTTTTAGGTGCTTGCTAAGGAATTTTGGTTTGACTGTGTATCAAAACTAAATTGACTGCACATCAACTTTTCGTTTTTATTAACTCAATTTTTCAAAAAGTTATAGAAATTTACAGGAGGATTTTTGGAAAATAATCGTTTCCAGTTAATTTCCAAGCTTTGAAAGGAAATTCTCTTCATTTCCTGCTGTTTGATATTTTAAAGAAAAAAAACCTGAAATTTACAGGTCATTTGGAACCATTTCAACCCATTTACGGCCTTCGTGACCACGGATGATGGTTAGTTTAAGGTGAAAATTCCTTGAAAATTCGTCTTTTCAGGCCATTTGCGCTACCTGGACATGAGGAAGCCAGGCGAGGCGATTTTCGACGCGACGGCTCATGAAGGCGCGATTGGTGGAATTTCGTTGTCTGCGAAGACGCGAGGACTTTTGGCGACTGCTGGCGAGGATCAGGTATGAAAAAAAAAAATGATTTCACTATAGTGATCACTTGCTCTATAAGTCTATAATTATACTTTAAAGATGTTATAATTTTGAGAAGAATGAAGGAATAATATGAAAAAAACTGGAGTAAAGTAAAAAAAGCAAAGACTTTTTAGAGAATTGTTATAATTTTTTTATAAAAAAATTTGTCTGACCTGTCTCCCCTCTCTTTTCCCTCACAGGCGTGGTCAGAGAAATGGGAAAACAGCACGTCATTATGTGAGAGTTTATGAGAATATAGAGCGATAGAGCCGCAGAGAAGTTAGAGTTTTTTAGTTTGTGGCTTCAGGAAACACTTCTGAATATTCTTTCAAACAATTGGTTTGTAAAGTGAGAGAGAGATATAGCTGTTTCATGGCTAGCTTAGGACGTTCTTGCATTATCGTGTCAGGACCCGTTTTAAGATGGTTCAAGTCAGCCGTGAATGAACTGTACAAAAAGGGTAACAATTTTTGAACCAAGAAGTGCTGAACCTTTCTTGAAATGTTCGACCTTTAAAAGGAGTTAATTGTAGTCGCCTTTATCAATACTCATGTCGCTTTTTATATATTTTCTCGCCACCCCAAGAAAAAAGGGCTTTTTCCAATAGTCTTCGACTTGAGATGCTGAACGTGTGGAAAGCCGACGAGACCTCGCTGACGAAAGTCCACTCGGAGAAGCTGAGCATCGGTCCCCTGCACTGTCTTCAGTTCAACCCAGACGTCGCGACGGTCGTCTCCGTCGGCGGCAGCGCCAGCGACCTCATCCGCGTCATGGACCTCAGCAAATACGAACCCGTTGTCTCGGCCTTCTCGCAGTGATTTTTGTTCAACTTGTATCCTGTTTCTTGAGGACTTGTTATAGTTCTTCTAAATCAGCTTGTTGTGTTTTCAATTTTTAAAAAAGACCAGCCTATGAGACCAGGCTGATTTGAAGCTCACTATGATTGCTTCAACTTGTTTTTGATGGTTATTTTGGGAAAAGATGGGTTCATAGAACGATTCTTTTGATATAATGAGCCAGGTCCCTGAATTTTAGTGTTTCTGAGCTTCTATTCAATTTTCTTTTTTAAAAATTTATTCTTGCATGCGACGACCCTTTATAGTCCATTCTAAGAAGCCGTTTTGCCTCAATCCATTCGCAGTTTAACTTTTTTTTTTCTTATTTTGACGACCATATTTTACGTAGAAAGTGACTCTTTGCTTTTGAAGTTTGATCCGATTTCCAGAGAAAATTTTTTGGAAAATCCGAAATTTTGGACAGATCTGGGGTGTTTTCCAGTTTTTCAATGGAGAATACTGCATTTTCGAACGTTTTTTTTTCAATTTTTGAATTTGTTAACCTTTAAATTTTTTTTTACCGCTTTTCTCCTCACCAGAGCCTTCCCATATACTTTTCGCTGTTGCTGTATTGTTTTTGTTGAGTTTCACTTTAGTTAAATTTTGCTTTCATTTTCTTTTTGAATATTTTATCGGAACCGAGTCTTCTCAATGAAGTTGTTATCATTTGACTTTCAGTTGGATTGGGAAAGATTAAATAAAAAAAAATTTCGGAACAAAGAAAAGAAGGAACTTTAAAAGTGTTCGCTGTGATTAATTGTACTTTTGACGAGTAAGGCGGCACACGCTTTGGTTTTTCTTTCTGATTATCCTAGGGGATTTGGGCTCTCTTCGAATTGGCTGCGCATCGACTGAAACAAGGAAGAGTGCACCTGGATTCTTTTCAAACTTGGCTATTTTTGCTGTTTTTTTTCCAGAGGGGTGACATAAACGTTGGCTGCGTATCAACTTGGATTCATTTGATATTCCTTCAGACTTTTTTCTACAGATCTTCTTCAGCCCCGTATCGATAATATTGGCTGCGCATCGACTAGATTCCACTCCGTATCTACCTCAGTGAGCTGGGCAATGACTCTAGGTGCATTCACATTAAATTTTCCGAAGTTTTAGCATTCAATGAGCTTTTTGCAGTCCATATCACCAATTCGCTGCGCATCAACTGGTCAAGACTGAAGTGATACTCCCGAAATGTATTTATCTCACAGCTGGACGGCTACCTATCCTCTAAAAATTGGTGCGAATGAAATTGGAGGTTAGTCCTTGTTCACTTTCGGGTTATATACCTCGCTCCGTATCCTAAATTTGACTGAGCATCAACTCCCTGGGTCTTCGCTTCTCAAAAAGATCTTGAGCAGACTTCAATACTCAACATTTACTAAAAATTTTCTGTTTCAGCAGTTTTTTGACTCCTTCGAATCCTTAAATTTAACTGAGAATCAGCTCCCAACTTCTCGGATATTCACTCAGAATTCTCCTATCTTCCGGCTCCGTATCCCTGCAATTTCACTGAACATCAACTTTCCCAGTATTCTCTCGAATTTCTCTATTATCTGGCTCCCTGCAAAGTTGGCTTTCTCTCGGAAAAATCTCCATTCCTTTGTACGAACTGGCGAATCGTTGAGCTCTCGACGTTTGGCTCGTTTGTGGTGGCGACGACGGCGACGAACTTCTCGAATCGCTAACCGAATTTCTTCGGCGGCTCTTCGCCCACATTCAAACGGCCGCCTTCCTCCCACTCCTATCGTTCTTTTTTTCTTCCTTCTTTTCTTTTGTTGTTCGGACGTCTTCTTCGTTTCAAATTCCCGCCTTCTCCTTCGTCTTCTTCTTCTTAGCCTTCTTTAGCTTTTGACGCCTTCTGTTGCTACAGCGGCTCTGCTTGATTTCTGGCCCGATGACGTCATTCATAGGATTTTTTGAAGTTTTTTACTAGGACCACTAGAGGAGTAACTTCAAAGTCGAGTTCTTATGAAGAAACTTATCTATAGATCACTTAAGAGGTTACTTTAAATTTGAATGGACTGGAAAAATTGAGCTTTTTCACCTTTGGAAATTAAAACAAAGCCTCTCGCAGCTTTCCTGAAGTTTTCACTTAAAGTGGATTATTTCTGAATTTGAACTTTTTTTGAAAAAGTTTGAAATACATTTTATCAGTCAGAAAAGTCTTTCATTAACTGGCTCAGCTTTTTTTCGTAGAGAAAATCAGTTTTCAGGGGTCACTTAAGGGGTATCTTTCCGATTGACTTGATCGGAAAAAGCAAACTTAATTTTGAGGGCTTTATAGATCAATTATTTTCAGATATGCGTCAAAAATTATCGACTCGATTTGGGTTTTTTTGGTTTTTTTTTGAACATTTTTTTCATGAAAATCGCTGCTTTGAAGATTAATCTAGAGAAGAATACTGCTTCCAGTTACTTCAGAATTTTTCAAAGAAAGATAGAGAATCTCAAAAATTTGGATGTGTCGATTTATACATTGTGGTAACTTTGAATATAGTGCGGAAAAATGAGCGATAAAATACATTTTTGGTTTAAACTTTTTTAAACCAACAACTGAAGCTGTACTGTGTCGAAAAAAATAACTTCCTTTTCGAATTTTTTTCCCTAAAAGCTGATAACTTTACGATAACACTTTATCAAATAAAAAAAGTGACGTGATTTGTTAGCCGGGAGTTGTCCAAAAAGGAAAAAAAGACGAAGATTCGTCTGGCGCGTGGCGCCCCGAGGGACGGATCCTTCGCCATTTCGATCCGACCCCCTGGCAAATGGACCACAAAAACGGCTGTTTTCCTTCCAAATTCATATTTTTCCGAGTTTTGCATGTAAAAATAAGAAATTTATGGGTTTTTTTCCATGGGTAAGCGTCTTTTTGTGTATTTCTGTCTCAAGACTTTTTAGTCACGGCTTTTTATAGAAATAGAAATAAATATTGGTATCCTTTGACCTGAGATTTGAAAGTGAATGCCAAAAAAGGGTTCATTTTTTTCGAATTTCCCGCCTAGAACCGCTCCGCGACCGCACGCGTCACATTATCAAGCCTGTTCTTGATGAAAAGCTGCAAAAAAAAACCATAACTAATAGATTTTCAAATTTCGAACCTGTTCAGTTATTTTTCAAGTTTCTAACGACTCATACATTCTTTTGTGACAAGCCTAAAATTACCATTATTTATTGAGAATCCTTCCTTTCCTCTTCTTCCATTTTTCTTTCAACTTGAAACGATTCCCGGAAGTTTGGAGGCCAGTGAAGTACAACAACAAACGAGAAGCGATTTTTTTGCCTCGTTTGCTGAGAATAGATGGGTTTTTGGAATGAGAAGACCCCAAGGAGTCAAGTGCGCTCCAAGGTGAAGCTGGGAGTCGAATAAGTTATTTTTTGTCATTTTTTGATTCCTAGCTCCTTAAGGAACCCTCTCAAGGTGCTAAGTGTCCACTTGAGTGCTTTTTAAGAATCACTAACTCTCAAAAAAAAAGTACTGAAGCTTTCTTGACTCGCCGAATCTCTCCGAGAAGAGGAAAATCACCTTTTACGTACAATATCTTTGGAAAAAGGCTACTGCAAGCAAATTTAGAAATTTCTCGACGAGATTGCTTTAAAGGTACTTATTGAAGCATCAAAAAGGCATTTTTTTGAAAATTACAAATTTTCAAGTCTAACCATTTCCCCTCTTGAATCTCAAGTGGTCATGTTAGTGGTCCTAATGATCTTTAAACTTTCTAGGTAACTATAGAGTTATTGGAATGCTAATAACCAAAAAAACATTTAGAAAAAAATAATAATAATAAGTGTGGCTTTAACAGACACCTTCAGAGAGTGTAATTTTGGTTCTCATAGCTAGAGTTCAAAATGAAATGGATTCACTTCTTGAACCTCAAGTGATCATTTTAGTGGTCCTAATAGTCTTCAAAAGTATCAATGGCCACTATGACGTTTTTAAAATGTTGATCTGAAAAAAAGTGAAAAAAAAAGTCTGGCTTTAACAAAACTCCTTAAGAGATCACTAGGTATCTAAAAATTACCGTAAGCACTCCAATGGCTACTTTGAGCATTCCTATAATGATCACTTAGTTTTTTCCCAATCTTCCTGGAAAAGACCACAATCCGATTGTATCCAGAACAATCAAACTACAATTTTCCACTCGATTTCAAGCAAGACTATACAATTTTCTCTTCAACCCTCGAAATTTTCTTTCAAACCAAAAACGCGGAAAAAAACAAGTGACTTTGGCGCCTCTTAATTGGCACTCCTCAGATGCTTTTCCATCCGTATCTGATTCCAATCTTCTTCTTTTTTTCTTTTTTTCTTCCTTCTCTTCCGTTTCATCCTCTAATTATCGCCTCACGTCTTTTCTTTTTTCGAAAAGTCGTTTTGGTTTTTTTCTCCTTGGAGCGCATCCTCCGTATCGAATTGCTTCCCTTGAAGTCATTTCTTCACCTCCCTAGAAGGCGTCAAGGTGATGTCATTCGAATATATCACTTTCAGATGACGTCATTGATGATTTCATGCCCTGTCGCTGAATTTTTGACTTACTGAACATTAAGCTTTTTTTACAGAAATTGAAAAAAATAGATGGCATTCTCAAAATTTGTAAAAAAATTGTTTTAAGAATAATAAAAGTTTCATATTGACGTCATCAGTAGCACCTTCGGAAAACGATTGAAAAGTGATGTCATTTTTTTGAAGTCGAAAGTTTTAGTTAGAGCGCAATTAACTTGTCACGAAAAAAATGCTGATTTTTCTGAGTTTAATTTTTTTTTTTCAATAAGGTTATTTAGGCAATTTTTCTCATTTTATCAGTAAACTTTAATATTTTTTGAAAAATATGACGTCATCAAGGAAGTCAAAAAATAAATAAAATAGTAATTTGATGAGGTTTCCTTTTTTTCAGCTCAAGATAATAAATAATTTAGAAAATTCTTGAATTTCTCACAAGCTCTCATGTAGACTGGAATCTCTTAACTCTGTTCTCAAACTGACAACCAACAATTATCCTTGGAGCGCACTTGATTCGAAAAGGAAAGGCTGATATTTCCTCCATCTTGCCCAGCGACCTGTCATCGGAGCAATCTCCCACATACATTTGAATAAATATATATTTGGCCGTTAAATCTCATCCCTTTTCCGTAGGTTTCTCTCCCAATCTTTCCTTTTTTTCTGAAGGCATTTATCCTCGAATTTCCAAGTGCATTTGGGGCCATTGAAATTGGTTGGCTTTTGAGGAGGCGGACTGAGATTCTCACGATTTTTCCGCGCCAAAATAAAAGCTTCTCTTTTTCAGTTGGATTTTGCAAAAAATTTGGGGGGTCTTCGAGGTTTTCTTCTTCACTTTTTGTTTGATTATGGGTTTATTCAAAATTTTATTCATTTTTGAGAATTTTCGGCCATTATCAAGACATTAAAAAGCGCTCTAACGGACAAGGTATCTTATTGGCTAGCCACGCCCTTTTCTTCAAGTTCTTGAGCTTCATTGTTTTAATATAACCATTACCCTGTCTGACCTGTCTGCGCTCTCTTGATCTCTCACTGGTGAGAGAAAAAGAGAGCGCAGAGGGTCAGAGAATTTTATAGGCATTTTCTCGAAATTCTCTTGAAAACCAGGATTTTTTCAAAAGCTAAAATGAAGAAGAGATCTTTATTCAATTTTTAAAAATTCATTGAAGATTAAAAAGAAGCTTCCTTTTTTTCTCTCTCAGCATTTTATTTCTTATTTTTCTCTCGAAATTTGTTAGCCTGAAAACGGGTGACGAATAAGGGTGGGAAGCTGTCGCGTAATTAGCTCAATTCTTGCAGCAACCATGACTTTTTTTTTCATTTTCCTTCCTATTAGGTTTCTTGCAAAGCCTTGCGAACACTTGTATTAAAAGTGTTCCATTTTTTTATATTAATTATTTTTTTAGCAATAAATTTTCATTCTTGTAATTTTCTGGATAGTTGAAATCGCCTAAAAATGGTGAGTATTAAAATTTTCAAAAAAATAAACATGTAGTAAACTGGAACATACAAAAAATTAAAAAATAAAACAGCCTAAAAAGAAAAGCGATAGATCAGCGAGGTCTGAAGAGACGCCAGAGAAATGTGATTAGTCTCTTTCTCTGCAGTCTCTTCAGGCCGCCGTTGCTCTCGCTGGAACTTTATCCAGGTGTATCATTATTTGAAGTTTACTTCTCCTCTTCTGAGATTCGTTAGAAGGCCCATGACCGCATTGAGAATGGCTCGAAGCGTCATTTCAAAGCGCGTCCGACTCTAAACTACTTGCGCCCGGTGGCATCGGCAACCCTCAAATCGACTTTTTAACCGCAAGGCAACCGCGACGACCACAGCTATTCAAGTCAAGACCTTAGATTTCTGAATATTTCTCGATAATCAGCCAAATTTTTCGTTTTTTTTTTTCTTGGAAACCATGATTTTATGTTCCAACCGCCAATTTTTGAGCCTTTCTACGTGCGGCCACGGCATTTTTCTAGAATTTTTCGCTGAATTTTTCATTACTTGGTCAATCTTTCCAACATTTCTTTAACAGCATTCCTAATCAAAACCTTATTTTTTATCCCTCCAAATCCAAGTGTTCGGAAGGAGAAAATCTCGGAGCAACGGCGACGAGGACGACGACGTCAAAAGATGAAAATCTTGAATTATTCAAATTTCGCAGGGCACCCACCACCGTCGGTTCTTCTTTTCGTTTCGTTCCTTTTTCTTTGCCGGGAAAATTTTTCTTTTCTTCTTTTTCTTGAGTTTCTTGGGTTGAAATTGTGGAGGGGTAGGTGTAAAATTTGAAGTGTTTTTTAGAATTTCAAAAAAAAAAAAGGTGGGAACAATAAAAGAACGCAGTTTTCTGGCAGAAACGTGGAAAAACGAAGCGAGAAACAATACTTTCAAGTTTTTTTGAAAGTTTTCTTTTCAATCCGTCACTTAGGTAATTTTTTTTAATAACTTTTTATTTGATGACGTCATTTCGTCTGTTTGATGGCGTCATCCTGTTTTTTTAATGACGTCATTTTAATTTGAAAATTAGTTCCTCAAATTGCGGAAGTGAGGCCAAAAAGGAAACTAGAGTTAATTTTTCCAAAAATTTATTTTTTAAAAATTTATTTCTCTTTTTATAAGATAACAAAAACGATCTGATGTCTCAATCTTTACATCCTTCGCTATCTTGTTAGATGCGTCGCGGTCGCGTTGCGGTCGAGCAAAGCTAGTTTCAATGCTCAACAATGCGCTCTCACGCAAGCCGTTTTCGGTCGGAAGCGCCTTTTGAAAGCGTCTCCGGAACTGTTGCGCGTCGTATGGAGAGTATTAAGTTTTTTTTTATAAGGAATCTCAATCCGAAGCTTACAAAACGAAAATCAAAAATACTAGGAAAAGTCGTAATTACCCCTATTGAGAGGCCACAATTTTCTTCTAACCGAAATTATGAAGCGAACGGGAAAATTTGAGGCCTCGAGGTGCTTATTTCCATGGAATCTCAAACACATTATTTTTCCCACGTCGTTCGGCATCGATCCTCCCAATTTTTTTTTCTCTTCTTTTGGGTTCTTTTTCAATGTATGATTCATTTTTTTAATCGTTGAAATTTGATTGGATCTACTAAAAGAAAAATTTTTGGTGAGTAGATTTTTTTAAGTCGTCTTGACGCTTTAAAAAAATATAAAAAAACCAAGAAAAAAATTTTTTTCTGACAATGGGACTATGTTATAAGGTTCCACATCCCCTTTTTTTAGAATTTTTTTGTTGAATTTTAATGGTTTTTCTGAAAATTGAAATACTTCAACACCATTTTCTGTCGTTAGATTAAGAAAAAATGCTTCTGTGAAGTTTTTTTGAATCCTTTTTATTTTTTTATTTTTTTCGTAGTCACTTTTTTTCTCATTTTTTTCTCAATGTTCTGCCAACTTTTTTTGAGTATCATACTAATATTTATGTTTCTATAGTTTCAATAATACCTGATATTTCAGGTCGACAACAAAAAAGACGGAGAAATAAGAAAAAATGGCGGATTTCATGGGAGTCGTCGCCATCATCTTTTTCTACCTCCTCATCTTGGTCGTCGGCATTTGGGCCGGCAGGAAATCGAAGGTAAAATGCTATAACTTGAATATTTGTAATCTATAATCTTGGTATCAAATTATAGAGCTTTTGAAGCTATTTTTGGAATTTCAGAGCAGAAAGGAGCTGGAGGAGGAAGTTGGCGCCCACACGGAGGAGGTGATGTTAGCCGGGAGGAACATCGGAACCGTCGTTGGGATTTTCACAATGACAGGTTCGAAAATGATTGGAATTCAGAATCAAACAAAAAAATAAAAGAAAAATTCAAAAACATGGGCTGGATCCACCTTTCTGGGCGCAAAAAAAAATAATAACTGGAAATTGTACTGAAGTTGGCAGGACTTTTTGAAGATGGAGAATGTTCGTCCACCTTTTTGGGGTTAGGCCAGCCCAAGTATGTCCAGAATAAAATCAAAAAACTAGGAAACGACCCAAAATTTAAGAAATGAAGCCTTTTCCTATTTTTTTTTCCTCATAGCCTCTCCCTTATTCCACCATTTCTCGAGCCTTTAAAATCCCAGAAAAATGGAAGGCTCGATAAAGGGACTCTTTTTGCTGCCTTTTTGCTGCCTTTCTGCAGCCTTTTTTGAGCAATTTGACGATTTCCACTTTTTTTTTCAGCTACTTGGGTCGGCGGAGCCTACATCAATGGAACGGCTGAAGCGTTGTACAACGGAGGTAAGATGAACATTTCTGTGATAAGAATAGGAGCGAGTTTTAAAAAAAACGTTTTTTTCTCTAAGAAGTGTAGTACAGTTCCAGAAAACGAGATTTCTAATAAGAATAGAACATTTCAAAGCCACTGATCATATATTATTTTTCTGCCAAAAAACCGTATCTCTTCAGTTCAAATTTCGCGTCGAGACGAACTTTTGCGGTTTTTTGTGGTGTCTCGAAGCGGAAGCGCAGAAAAATTGTGGTTACGGTAGCCTATTTTGGTTGTGTTTTGAAGACGCGACCGCAAACACGGAATATTCTACATTTTTGGATTGATCTCAAATTTTCTACAGGACTTCTCGGATGTCAAGCCCCAATCGGCTACGCTATCTCTTTAGTTGTTGGCGGATTTTTGTTCGCCAAGAAAATGCGAACTGAGGGCTACATAACCATGCTTGATCCGTTCCAAGTGAGTTTTGACGAGATCTCTTAAGTGGTCACTAAAAGAGCCAGTGAGACTAGATATCCAACAAAAAGGAAAAACTGTGTCATTTTTGGGAAATCTGTTCTAAAAAATAAAATTCAAAATAAAGGAATGATGAGTTTCAAATATTCACAAATGCAGAACAAATACGGGCAACGAATCGGTGGTTTGATGTATCTTCCAGCTCTTCTTGGTGAAACTTTTTGGACCGCCGCGATTCTCTCCGCATTAGGTATATCTCAACTTAATTTTATTTTTTGACTATATGAATAAAAAAATACACGGTTTTTTTGATTTTTTTTTCTTGGTTAGCTCCAGGAGGAGCTTTTTTTCTCAAAAATCTGTATGGTCACCAGAACTATGAAAACTTTTTTTACTTAGCACAAAAAAATTCCAAAATTTACTTTAAAAATAATCTTTTTTTGTAAGAAATTTCACATAGGCGAATTCGGAAAGGGTGGATGTTCCTTTTAGAGGGACAAAGGCTTCTTTTTTCTGGCTTTTTGCGCCATTTCATCGGCTGTTATGTACCATTTTTGCTGCCTCCCCTTTTTCCACCATTTCTTAATCCTTTAAAAACCTATTAAAAATGAAAGGCCCGATAAAGGGATTCTTTTTGCTGCCTTTTTTGAGTCTCTCCTTTTAGCGGCCATTATCCACCATTCCGACTTTTCCCAAGCATTTTTCTACAAAGTTACACCTTTTTCGCTTTTTCTTGCTGTAATTTACGTGTCGATTCTCACAGGAGCCACCTTGTCAGTCATCCTGGGCATCGACATGAACGCCTCGGTGACTTTGTCGGCGTGCATCGCCGTCTTCTACACGTTCACTGGCGGATATTACGCCGTCGCCTACACCGACGTCGTCCAGTTGTTCTGCATCTTCGTCGGATTGGTAGTTATTTCTTTAAAGAACGAGTTAAACTCGAATTTCGAGCTATTAAAGCCATATTGGACATCATAATTCAAATTTCAAGAAAAAACATGTTTTTTTTATCCATTTTACTACGCGTCAAGACAACGAGGGAATGAGGTACAAAAATTTGGTTATCGTAATTTTTTTTTTGACCGGAAAAGGTGTCATATCTAATATTTGAAAACTCTAATTGGAAGGAAGTGTGTGATCAGACTTTGGTAACGCGAAACAAATCGGACGTGTCGGGTCATTTTAGTGACCGCTTTAGTAGCGTCTTAAGAGATCCCTAGAAGGGCTCAGAAACGTCCGGAGCATGTCTGATTTTCGTTATCGAGGTCTGAGTGGGAGCAAAATAGACCATCCGATTCATTCATAAAGCAACTTTGTTGCAAAATGTACTTTTAGCAGAGATTCAAACCTTTATTTCGACTCCATTTCGAACTAATTTTTCTCAAAACTACGATTTTTGTTTGAAGCATATTATTCGACTCAAATAAAAAGCTCAACAATTTTGACTTAATTCCAGTGGGTTTGCGTGCCGGCGGCGATGCTCCACGACGGAGCCAAAGATATCTCGAGAAACGCCGCCGATTGGATCGGCGAGGTCGGCGGATTCGAAGCAAAGTCTCTCTGGTGGGACTGCATGCTTCTGCTGGTGTTTGGCGGCATTCCGTGGCAGGTCGGCTGCGAGATTTTCCTTGTTCCAATGTTTGGCATTAGGTCTACTTCCAAAGAGTTCTCTCGTCGAAGACGGCATCTGGAGCTCAGACTCTGTCATTTGTGGCCGGAGTGGGATGTATTCTGATGGCTATTCCTCCGGCGCTCATCGGAGCCATTGCTAGGAATACAGGTAAACTGGAAGAATCAGAGAATAATTGAATTTTGAGTCTTGGTTTTGACTTTTGAAATTTTCAAGGCTCTTGTGAGCAACTTTAAACGTGTCAAAACTACTTTAATTGTCTTTAGAATCCTAGAAAACGCAGATTTCTCGGGAAAAAATTAGAGAAATCCAGAAAACTTGGTTAAAACTCTGGAAAAATCGTTTTTGATAATTCCAATTTTTTTTAATATGAAAAAAGGCTCTACTGATAAACATGATAAACGAAAACGAGAGAGCAAGGACATTCTGGAGAGACACCAGAGAAGTTAGATGGTCTCTCTTTCTCTGGCGCCTCTTCAAACTTGCCTGAATCTCTAGCTTCTTTATTCACAAGCTTTCAAGAAAATATGTCTATTCCTACTACAAGCTCTAATCTTTATGCTTTCAATCCCTGTTAAAATTGAATTTACTGATTTAATCGTTTTTTTTAGATTGGCGAATGACGGACTACGATCCTTACGGCAACGGAACCAAGGTCGAGGCGATTCCGGTGGACAAGCGAAATATGGTCGTTCCCCTGGTTTTCCAGTACCTCACCCCACGATGGGTCGCCTTCATTGGCTAGTTTTCAATCATTTATTTAAAGTAATCATAACTCATTCGAAAGTACTTGAAACAGTCTGACCTCTCTGCGTCTCTTTCCTCCCAGTGGATCTCTCATTTTTCCTCCTGGTTTTTTTTTGAATGTGTCTATCATCACGAAAAAAAGAAGCAAGCTAGCATTTCCAAAGTCATTGTGAACGGGAAATATTAGCTCCCAACTCATTGGTGAAAATTGCAAATCGGAATTTTAACCCTCCTCACCATCCTGACGTCATATTTTGCGAAGGAACATCATAAGAGTGTTCTAACAAGTACTCAAACTTACATTTTATCTTGAAAAAAGTCTCCATCGATTTGAAGTTCTATTTTAGGTCTCGGCGCGGTCTCAGCTGCTGTGATGTCATCGGCAGACTCGTCGGTCCTCTCGGCGGCTTCGATGTTCGCCCACAACATCTGGAAGCTCACCATTCGTCCTCATGTCCGTAAACCTTTCAAAAATTGATTAAATATTCCTGGAGGCTTTTTTTGAATAGTCATGCTCTTATAATTTTATTATGGACGCTAAAATTCACTATGGTGGTTACAAAAAATCTAAAGAGAACCCTCTAACTATGCCAGTAGCCTACAGGAATATTTTTCAAACCAGATCAGGCTCACTAGATACAGGTTTTCTTTTTTTTTCTTTTTAGAAAGATGAGATCGCTGAAATATCTGAATAACTTTTAAAAATTATACCTTGTTCGGTTCTTCATATACAGTAAAAGTCGATTTTTCGTGACCACTAAGGCTGATTCTATTTCAAAGTCAAACTTCCAACTTCCAGAACATTTTCAATGGGTCTTGAGATTATTTTTAAAAAAATAGATACAGAACCAGCGTGAAAAATAGCCTTTAGTGAACCTTATCTTTTTAGAACTGTGAAATTTTCGTTAAAACTAGGAAGATTAAAAAAAAAATTCGTTTTCCAGGCCTCCGAGAAGGAGGTCATCATTGTGATGCGAATTGCGATCATTTGCGTCGGAATTATGGCAACGATCATGGCTCTCACGATCCAATCCATCTATGGACTTTGGTAATACCACTTTTCTTTCAGAAAAAGATTCAGGATTCCAGGTACCTCTGCGCGGATCTCGTCTACGTCATTCTGTTCCCTCAACTCGTTTGCGTCGTCTATGTGCCGCACAGCAACACTTATGGATCTCTGTCTGGATATGCAGGTGGGAGAATGGATCGATATTCAAAAAAACCTGGTGTTTATTAAGTCGAACATTTCGTAAATTTTTGAATTAATTTTCATTTCTTCTTTTTCGTCTTCTTCCTACGCCTTTGTACCGCTTTCTTTTTCTTCCTACGAGGTTCTATCCTGATATCAGTGGACTGGCTCGAGCGAAATTTCCGTCCTTGTGTGTGACGGCTGGGGATCTTTAAAATCGTGGTTTCCCACTACCAACATTTCTTGAACCCCTTGGTTGGGATCGAACTTGTGACCCTGTGAGCCGTAGACAGGCACACAACCTGTTGAGCTACGGCGCGCCTCGAAGTAATTCTCATTTCTCACTTCTATTCGAACCTGCTCATTTTAAGTTTCAAACTGCTTATTTCAGCGGCTTAACGAAGTCAGTGTTAGTTTATGAAGTCTCCTCCCGAAAATTCTTAATAATCTGTGCTTGAAATTGTTCACAAGATTTTCAAGTCTTGAGCTTTTTCTCAGAAACTAAACGGATTATAAATATAGACGATCTCCCTTAAACATATTTTTGGAATCATTTAGAAAGAATGGCTTGCCGTCGCTATTTCAAGAAGAGTTGAGGGACCGAAAACTTTGACAAAAAAAAGAAGAAGCTCATTTCAAATTACAGTATTATTTTGAATAAGTTATAATCAAGGAGAAGAATAGAGAAATAATTGAAAAAATTAGAGAATAAGGAACAAGTAGGGAAATATGATAAATGCTGCCTTGCTGAATAGTTTTGAGATCAATAATGAAAAATTATATCAAGGCTGAAAATAATTGAGAAAATTTTTTTTGTGATAACCAAGGCGAAATCCATCTACCATTCAGAAATAAGATCTCTCTGACGGATGAGAGTGGGAACTTTTTTTAAAAATTTAAGCTAGTTTAACTTTTTTTCTTAAGCCTCGAGGGTTTTTTTTTCAAGCACCTTTTTATTTCAGAATCAGCTTAAATAATGTTCATACGTCGGCTGGGTCCCACTCCGGGAATGCGGCCTACCCCCATCAAACTGTGCCCTACCCCCTCAAAGTGCGGTCTTACCCCTGAAAAAGTCCCCGCCTACTTCAGTAAATTTTTCGAATTTTTTTATCGCACAAAAAGGCTGGGGTGGGCATCCAGCCGACGTATGATACTATTCTTAGTTTTATTATTTTGTTAGAAAGTCCCTTTGTGAGTCTGGGAACATTTTTTTGGTTATCTTTCTTTGATAACTTCGAGGTCTTTAAAAATGATCCGCGTTTTTCTAGATGGCTTCTCGAAAATATTCTTTTTTTTTTAAATTTTTCGTAGTATAACCGTCTGTTTTCACCCAATAACTGTTTTGAAATATCATTTGAAAAGGAAAAATGCATTAATTTCGCCTTTTAAATCCGAAAAATGTGCTTCTTTTGTAATGAGGAAGTCGTCAGTAGCCCCGCTAAAAAAATTTTATTCCGCATCCAGGAATTTAAAATTTTAGTTCTGTCTATCTCTGTCCCATACGCTAGGCCAGGCTTTAATAATTGCTTCAAAAAAAAAACCAACAAATAATTTTCAGTCGGTCTGATCCTACGACTGATCGGCGGCGAGCCGCTTCTATCCTTCCCCGCCATTTTCCACTACCCGATGTATTCTGAAGGCGTCCAGTACTTCCCGTTCCGCACCACCGCCATGCTCTCCTCCATGACGACGATTATACTGGTCTGCGAACCTGAAAAACTGAAAAAAGTTTCCCTTTGAGGTATCAAAATACACGGAAAAGCTGTTCCAAAGCGGTACGATCTCGCCGGAATGGGACATCTTCGGATGTGTCGTCAATATACCGTCGGATCACATTCCTCTACCTTCGGATGTTTCTTTTGCCGTCAGCAGCGATACCATTTCTGTTAATAAGGTGAATATGATTAGCTTACAGGTAAACGGTCAGTGAAAAAGTTATTTTTGAGATTATGATGTCATCTTTTAGAGCTTTTTTTTTCTAAAATTGTGCTTGAAATTTTACAGAACTCCTTCGTTTTGGTGACACATAACTTCAAAAGGGAAAAGAAAGAACTTTGAATTCTTACTGAAAAGGCCTTTTGCAGCAAAGTTGCTCTATGGTGAATTAGGAAACCACAGTATACAGAGCTTTTTTGCGCGCTTCGCTTCAAGACCTGTAATCTGAAGGTATACGGTTCTTCGGTCAGAAAAAAACGTGACAAGCTTTATTGTATTGAAAAAAAGGAAAGGTTGAAAGTTAAAACGAAAAAAGACTGGAAAAAAAATCGAAAATCTCCAAGAAGTTACTAAAGGGTTTTGGGGTTAACACTAAAGTGATCACTACCCGTTTCCAGGCCAACGGCAACCACTCGACAACACAACACGCAAATCCGGCATTCTCAGAAACTTCCTCCTTACATCCTTACACAGATCAGAATTATTTGTCCACCTCATGAAAAAAAAAAAGTTCAACAACAGAAAAAGCAATAAATCGATCTCCTAAACGGCTAAACCAACCCCCGGTCTCAATACTGAAAAGATCTCCGGCCAAATGTTTTTTTTAAAAATTACCCATTGGACCATCCAATATTTGCATTCATACGTGTAATGCACCGAATTTTTTTTAGTTCTGTCATTATTTGAATTAGATTTCATGATAGTGAGAATAAAGGAAATAACACACTGGGCTTGGTTTATTTCTTTTTGAAAGGAGAATATTCACAACGAGAGAAAGAGATTTTTGAAGAAACGAGTTGAATTGTACAAGGTTAATGGTATTTCTTTGGAGCGCACATGTGTTGGAGTTATCCGCCGAAGCCGTAGAGAGTGCGGCCCTGACGCTTGAGGGCGTAGACGACGTCCATCGCGGTGACCGTCTTGCGTTTCGCGTGTTCGCAGTAGGTGACCGCGTCGCGGATCACGTTCTCCAGGAAGACCTCAATCAGAATCGTGGAGATCAGAAGGTTGTTGATTTTTTTTTATTTCAGAAAAAAATTCAAAGGAAATCTTCAAAAATCGTAGAATTAAAAAAAGGACTTTAACCGTTCGAAGGAAATTCAGACGTCTTATTAGAAAAGACCATGACTTTTTTTCATTTCCCATACCAAAATCTTCAAGTATGATACTAGTTTGTACAGAAGGAGAAATAATCAAAAAATTAATGATCAATTTTTAATTTGAACCTTTTTCAGTCTTGTCATTCACAAATTTGAAAAAAAATTTTTTTCACTTCTCATATTATTGACTCCGCAAAAAACTGATCTTCCAATAATTTTTATTCAACAAAATGATTTTTCAAACTTTTCACCCAGCTGAAAGTTGAAACGCTTGAAAGCTATCTATAACACTAGCGAGAACAAAACCATGATGAAATGAAAAGAAAAAAAAAATGGCAAAGCTTCCAAAGCATGCATTTATAAGAGTAAACTATATTTTATTTCGCAATTTTTACTGCCTAGAAATTCGGAAGTTTACAAGATCCCACAAAATTAGTTTGACGAACTATATAATCAAAGGATATGATAACTTTTTTCTGCTTCAAAAAAAACCTTAAGAACTCCACGAGTTTCCTCGTAGATCAGTCCCGAAATACGCTTGACACCACCACGACGAGCCAAACGACGGATAGCTGGCTGAAATTTTTCTATTCAAACTTCACGGAAAATTTTTTTTCATAAAAAAAGCAGAACATATAACTACAAAAAACTAACCTTGGTAATTCCTTGAATATTATCACGGAGGACTTTTCTATGGCGCTTGGCGCCTCCTTTTCCGAGTCCCTTTCCTCCCTTTCCACGGCCTGACATTATTAGTTTCTGTAAAACTTTAATTCTTAAGATTCAGAATACGAATACGCGGAAGTCGTTAGATTTTTAATTAGGGCATTGAAGTTTATATTAATTAATTTCTTTTTTTCACAATCAATATCTCAAAAATAAAACTTAGGAAAGTTACTAAAAAGATTCGAGTTTGAAAAGCCAAATCTAAATTATGAAACGCATAAAATGTCATCAGTGGCAAAGTAATCCTAACAATTTACTTGATTAATAACAATTTTGTACAGAAGAAGAAAATAAAAACTAAAAAAAAACTGAAAAGGATTGGACCTTTGAAGAAAAAAAAATTAAATACAAACAAGGAGACGGCTCCGGCGCGGCCTGCGTCGCGGCTCCCGTTGGCGCGAATTCAAATTTCTACTCCAGAAAAGGAAGTCAATTAATTTTTCAGTTTTTTTCCTGTGTTTGCTTTTTTTATTTCATTTCGTGCTTATATTGATTCGGAAATTTTAGAAAAATAAGTTGAGAAAATAACTCGAAAGTCCTCAAACTATCCATTAGAAATATTCCAAAATACTTTTCTAATTTTCATCAATGTTTTTGTGATACGTTCTGTGGAGAAACAGGAAATGTTTTGATACCTTTTTCTTCATTGCATAATGATTGCTCCGAAACAAAAACGTTATTGTTGTGAACAATTTTTTCTCTTATTAATGCTCATTGAACGCCCCATTGAAAACTTCTATTCTTTCATGAATTGTTGCTTTATAACTTATTGAGAAAACATCTTATTGCTTTTTCGGAGACGCTGAAGTCGATATCAGCTTGGGTCTTTACGCAAAAGGACTTTCGATCTCGAAAACTTCAGGAATTTCGTCTGTGCTGATCAAAAAGCGGATCAGGTTATTGTGAGTGGATTAGAGTGTCTTTCAATATTTTTCCATGAGAAACATTGGTTTTGATTGGAACATTGAACTAATAAAATTATCATTTTAGGTTATTTAACGTGAAAAAATTCTTGCTCTTTCAAACAGACTGTGGGTAGAATATCAAATATCAAACACCCCCTTCTTCTGTCCAAAAGTGCTCGATTTTCATGGAAAACATCTCAGAACACACCAAGTTGTTGACCAATTCGAGCCAGGTGCTCGAGAAGTCAAGTGATGACGGTGCAAAAAAAAAACCACTTGAAATGGCGGCTGGTCATTCGTTCCGCTTTCGCCCTACTGCAGTTACCTAATTTCTCATGTTTCCATATTAGTTATCATGCAAATCTCTCATATATATATTTTTGAAAGTAAAAGGGCGCCATGGTGCAAACAATTTCCTCAGCGCACACCGGAAATCGGATCTCGGACCTGGCCGGAAGCGCTGAAAAAACTGCGCCCGGCGACATGTTTTGCCATCAAATCTCACCACTTCTTTTTTTTCTCACGTTTCAATACGATTCTGGAAAATAGGATGAGTAAAAGAATTTCGAGCAACTCGGAGTGAAAATAAATTTTTTTAATGAACTCAGAGAAATGGCGATTTTTGAAAATTTTTGGCGAAACGAGAATAAAATAGGTTATATTGAACTTTTTAGCATGTAAATTTTGCTCATCAACGCTTTCTAGTTAATATAAAGGTCTCAAAAAAAAACCTTTTTTCAATTATACTTCGACAAGGAAGCCTTCTGCGCCTTTAAACTGGCTTTCTGAAATTTCTTAAAATATAAATGAGCTATAAAGGATTTTGGGATGGAAAAAGCTCTCCTAAAATCGGGAAATAAGCCAAAAATTGTTCATTTCAAGCTCATACTCTCTAGCCAGGAACTTTTGGAATCTCAGCGTTTCTTTTTACCAAAATTGAGCCGTAGAAAAACCTTTTACCGTAACTATTTTTCAAACTCATCACAAACTGTCGTCATTTAAATTGCGTTTTCTGCAACGTGCGTGCACATTCAGACACCACCGTTTTGTTTGCAAAATGAAACTCCAATTGTTTCCGATATTTATCCCCAAAATACACATAATCCAAGAGTGTTGCAGTTGAGAGGCGTAGGTGGCACCGAGTGTCGCAATTATTTATGCTCGACCAGGTCTTTCACGCCTCAGAAAATGGGATTTGTATGTAGTAGTGGGCCAGGTTTTTTTTATAAAGATGTTTTCTGGACTTCGAAAGGCTTATAAGGGAACCGGAACGGCTTCCTTTGTGCCGCCTGGCCATTGTCCGGTGTGATAGTTGTTAGTGTTGATGTTAAGGCGCTTATCCACACAAAAAACAAACAAAAACGCACTGAAGGAAGCATTTTTCTAACAACTGGCCGCATTTTTGGCACTGCCTTCAGCTTGAAAACATTGAAAACTGTTCAGTTTCTTTTTTTGTTGCCAAAACAGTGATTATTTACAAAAATCTTTTCCTTTTTTGTGTAGAAAATATTTTTAAGGAGATACTTAAGGGCTTTCCTGAAGTGGTCACTGAAAAGTTTATCCATTCGACAAATTTTTTTTATAAATTCAGATTGATAGTTTTTGGTTTTTTGTTGGCTACTACAGTGGCTATTTCAAGTTTCCAAGCTCGAAAACTCCGATCAGATTGCTATAGTGACCACTTAAAGCACACAATTTTTTTCGATAAGTCGAATCTAGGACTCAATTCGAATATTTAAAATTTATAAGGACATTTTTAACTTTGCAGAATTGTTTTAAAATCATAGATTTTTGAGATCCATCGGATTTTACTTTTCAGACTTTATGAGTTTAAAACAAAGTTCTAACTGAGTTTCGGCTTCTCTTCCAATCTTCCAAATTTTTACTTTACCTCTCAAAAATGTTGTTCCCGCTGGAAAAAAAAATTTTTGATTTTAAAAATGAATCGTTCTGAGGTTTTTTCTTCTTTTTGTTTTTTGGAAAATAATCAATGCTATCAATTTGTAGACGCTGGCTACCACCGAAATTCGTCACAATTTGCAAACAAAGACAGTGTTTTGTTTGACTCTCTTTTTTTTTGCGCGCTTCACTGATAGGCGTTTTTGACCTCCGCATAGTGTTCGTAATGTCCATCAAGTTTTCCTCAGCTTTTTTTTGAAGGAACTTTTTGAAGTAGGATTTTTTCACTGTAATGATTTTTAGTAGCAATAATGTCTTTGATAGTCGATTAAAGAGTTAAGATAATTGAAAAAAATAGAGAGAAGAAGGAAAATATAGGTAGGATGTTCAATGTTCGAAACAAAAATCACGAGTTGATTGGAGTTTAAAAGATTCCGAAAACTTTCCGATTTATAAGAGTTCAGGGAGGATCAAATATTACTGAATTTGGCAAACCTGAAGTTTTTTGGTACCATTTTGAGTCTCTATCAACGTAAATATATTCACAAATCTACTTTTCATAGAGTTAAGTTGATTGAAATAAAATAAATGTAACAGTTGAACATTTAAAGAAAGAAAAATTCTTTTTTTATTTTATTTTAGTTGATTTACATCGCTTTAATTGAAGCTGAGCGCTATAAAAACCTGAATTGAAACTTCGACTTCAAATTTATTCGCCGACCGAAAATTTCAGCTTTCAAGACAGATTTTCGAATTCGGCTTTGGTTTTACCTCTACTCGTTTAATAAAAAAAAATTTTTTTTTCATTCAGAACCAGCGAAATACAAAGGCTCTCAAAAATAAAATTTTGTTTTGAAATTTGAACCTTCTAGTATTAAACCAGGTATCAAGCTAGTGATTTATCCATAGATAGTTAAAACTTCACAAACCCAATTTTTTTTCGAAACTCGAGTGTATGTCCTTCAGTTTAGATATTTTCAGAGCAGTAAATTAAATAAGCCCCAAAAGTTTGTGATCTTTGAAAAAGTTTGTGTTTCTTCTTCATTCCGAGTTTTGAAGTTTTAAGGTCCGAAGGTTTGAATTTTTCTTTCTTCCAACATGGAAGGTCATTTCATTTTGAGGTTGGAAGTGTAATTGAAAATTGACTAGAATACTTTCTGAAGTACCAGATTGAGATTATAAAACTCGCAACCTTCCAAACTTTCACAGTTTATTAGAAACGAGGGCTCAAAGCTCCAAAATGGATCATTTTTACAGATTTAGAGGGTTTTATTTGACTTGGATAGGTACTTTCTCAAAAACTAGTAATTTTTGCAAGTTGAGACTTCTAGTATATTTTTTCGGTACTTCGAGAAGTACTGTGGCCAATTTTTAAAAAAGTTCCCAACCACAAATTCCTTGTAGGGATTCTCATTTTTTTGAAACATCTCCACGTAGATCAAGAAGTTCGTAAACTCACATCCATGCATTCGTACTCGACATGAATGACACATTTTCATTGCCCTATTTTCTTCTCACTTTCTCCGATGGTTGAAGCTCGGGGAGCGAAACGGTGCGCCTCGAATCCGATGCATAAACAAGCGATTTCGCCTGGTTTCGAGCCGCCGCCGCCGGAGGCCAATTTCCGTCGCTCCCCAAGGAAAGAAAAAGAACGGCCGAAAAAGCAAGAGGCGAAAAAAAAAGAAGAAGAAATCGCGCCCTTTTGGCTATTCCTGTCGTCCGTCTCACGGGCTCTCCTGAACCTTATTCACTTGCCCCTCGGTGTTTGTCTTTCCTTGAGACTTCCATCAACAGCTTGTTCAATTATGTCCTTTTTTATTTGAAGATTGGAAAGAGAAGGATGGTTTTTTGGTCCCTTTGGAGTCAGATTGGTTTAGGGACCGCAAAGCCACGCCCCTTTTCGCGATAGAAAAAGTGGCTTTTTTTTGGTTTTCAACTTTCATTTTGTTGTAGTTGCAAAATATGTGGAACTGGCGAATAAAATTTGACACACATGTACAGAAAAGCTTCCTCTTTCGTTTAAAAAATATTTCACGCTTTTTTGATGCGTTCTCGCGGAATGTCGTACAAAAACGTGAATGGAACTAAAAAATTTTGTCATTTTTTGCTTTTTCATGTGTTTTCAGGTCGAACGCACTCTTTCTTTTTTTAAATAATGATTTTGATTCAAGTAACGAAAATTTTAAAACAATAAAATAAAAAATTCGTCTTTGCCAAAAA